TAGTTTTTTGAGAGTAGCTGGGATCGACGAGTGTTCAAAGAGGGTATTCGGGTCATCAGAGTGATAAACTGCACCCGGGCTGACTTATGGTGAAATGATGATTGTTGGCACACGAGGACCAAGACGGTCAAACTGGAAATCTCCGGCATTCGAGTCGGGATTGATATTGTCTGGTCGAGGAACACAAGTTGGTGGTGCAACATGATCGTAAAAACCACCATTTTCATCATATGTCAGTACAAATACAGTGTTTTGCCATTGAGGACCGGCACGAATGGCTTCGTATATGTCTTTGACATATTGCTCGCCAGCATGCAGGTTGTTTGGAGGATGGTTGTCGTTTTTGAGCCAATCAGGATCAATAAACGAATATTGGGGTAGTGAACCGGCTCTGGCATCTTCAAAAAACGTGCTCATGTTTTTGATTCTCATCCAGTTGTAAATATTGCGCAGATTGCGGTACAACAGTGGTGTAGACTTGAGTTGAGGAGAATAGAACTTGTACGAGTTTCCATGATCGGCCATATTTTCGTAGATTGTACGGCACGGAACACCAAGAAAAGCACCATTGTTGGCAGTATAGCCAGCAGCAGTAGCACAATGGAAGAAATGACGATTGGGATAAGTTGGTCCAGGAACAGATGCTATAGATACGAACAATATTAATTTACAGTCGTCAAAATGCATAATTATCATGGCTGTAAATCTGACATACCAAACCAGTTATCAATGACGGTGTATTCCTGGGCAAGCGCATAGGTCACTGGGAACATGTCAGGACCAAATGCTTGCATGACTTGGTTGACAGAATCCATATTTCCTTTGCTTTCAACAAATCCTTGTTGAGCAAATCCAGCCATGGTTGGTTGCTGGCCTTTGGCGTTGACAGTACCGGCTCCATAAATCTGCTCAGTGACTGCTACAATACCGTGATTTGGATCGAATCCTGCAGCAGGATTCGTGCCCTTTTGAATTGGAACAACTTGTCCATTTGCAAGAGTATTCGACTCATTGCCAGTTAATCCATCAATGTCACTCCTGATTCCATCCCATTGGAGGCGTCCCAAAATTGAGTCAAATGATCGATTTTCTATATTTTACAAGCGTATTCATGTAGAGCGAGCATTAGTAAAACTATCAAGTTTGATTGAAAACAGTCAAGCCCAATATCTGGATTGAAATGAACAAGTTCAGTTTCAAACTTGTAATTGTACAATATATGATTATTTCAAAAGAGAAAGAGCAGGTTCAAAAGATGACTGAAGAATTCAGAATGTCTTGTCAATCTCTAGTGTGAAAGTATATTCAGCCATTGTATATTCTAAAGCAAAAGGCAATCACTGCAAGATGAATACAAACGTATTCCATTGCGTGAATACAGTTACAAATCATGGACATCAACAATTCTATTTTGTGGCAACAGAAATAACAGCCACATTTGACATTGCTTACCCATCACAAGAACAACGACATTTTTGATGCGAGAATCGGCAGTTTCAGCATCAGACTTGAGAACAGCAGATAACGCAAGCGGCATGTGGAGGGCGATTGCCACAAGAGAAAACACAGTAGCAGAAACCTTCATTTGTAGAAATCTAATATTGTATAATTGGATTGCAGACAAGGTGTTTTGAAAACTGGCGTAATCCATACCATTTATATATCTGTAGCGGTATTGGCTTGAATGTAATGAGTTGCTACCCTGAATTAGCTTTACGGGTTGCCAACGTGATACAAATGGTCAGACCATTGGACGTTGCCATGATTTCCATTGTTTAATGTTCCATTCTACGCGAATACGGTTACAATTAGTTAAAGGTACTATACGGGGTATATTATTTGACAAACATTAATCAAATTAGTTTGAAACTGGGGCGTATTACCCGCTGAAATAAAGTTTGCGACAAAATCACGCATGATGTCATCATCAAATTGGTCAGATATTAAACGAGGCAATTTTTGATAGTCGCTAGAATACATTGCCATACTCCTATGCTGCTTTTTACTCTCTTAACATGGTCATAGCACCTATACCATCGTCTGCCAACAATACACGGTATGTTTTGTTGGACTATCACCCCCTATTTACCGGGTGACTTCGGCTGGTGATCTTGTGCATGGATTGCCGAATATTGCATCGGTTTTACCCGTTCATGCAGTTTTCATTTGAATGCTTTACAGAAAAAATAATCTTTTTCAAATTAAAAAACCTGTAGTTGGTTTTTCATAGTTTCATTTACACTACCAATTAGCCCCTTTACTGTACACAATATTATCCACTTGTTTTGAAATTAAAGTCAGGGTTGTCCACAACAGCACTGCAAGCCACTCTGCCAAACTTCAAGCCATTTAGTAGGACTGTCATTTGATGTCTACTGATGGCAAAAAAATGAAATGACCATATCAGCCATTTGACTTGGATTTATCCAAACTTGATGAATAAAGTGACTTGATATCTATTACCAAATGCAATGTATACTTTCCCCTATTCAAATTCTAGGCTATCCACGCCATTTGATTGTATGTGGACATGCAAAAAGTACGAGTATATCATCTTGGAATCACCATTGAAATAGCAATATAATTCCTTCATCAGACAGCCTCACGTTTACATGGTTTTTGCTGAAAGCGGCCATGGATTTGTTGTCCAAAAGACACGTCGAATCCAGTCGTGGATGTGCTTGACATTCAAGCCACATCCATTTGGACAATATAATTCGAGACCCATCAGAATTGTCATTGATCAAGAGTATATTTTTGGCCATGCATACCGCCTGTAGTTTGTAACTAGGTATACAACTCTAATTTATACAATACACTCTGCATTGGTACCAAATTTCTTTATTTCTGATTACATTGTATGGTTTATTGTTTAGAATCTGTTGATGTAAATTTAGTGTCAATATATTAACTATACGGATCACTATTCTGGTTTTAATTACTTTATTTTGCGTTTAGATTGCTTCTAAACACACTTGCTATAGCTAGTCAAGTTTAATCAGACAGGATGCAACAGGATTATCAAGTTCAATTTTCATTACCACCAGGCCGACCCAGTTATAAAAATGAGCTACTAGCCAGCAGATCCAACATGGGATATAGGCAGCATCCTGCACAACTATTATATACGAGAGAATCCGATTATCCACCTCATCAGGCAGGAACGGCTTTATCTCAGTTTGGACATGTTTCACGAAATGCTTCGGTGCAAATTCCACCATCTCGACCAAGAAGGTTTCCTGCAAGTTTATTTTCACAGCCACCTACACAACCCCAACACATTCAATACTCGAGACAAGAACCCCCGATTCTACCACAGCGGTCTCGCCAACAACAAATGCAACAACACGTTCCTCCACCTCAACCAGACTATTTGCTGAATCAATACCAATACCAAGATGGGATGATCGGTAGTCATCATACTGATCCTTTTTACAATCAACAATCTGAAACAGCGCTAAACCCATACATTCAATATCGGCAATCATCGCATAGATCTATACCAGTTCATAACGAGTACAACACGACCCGTTTTCCAACAATGAATCATCGTCCTACCCATTCGACTCCTTTTAAATTATCGAGTCGTGTAGATATCCCCCCGGGTCCATCGCTTCATCTCGATTATGAGGAAAAACAATGGCGTATACAGCACGCCGAAATGCTTAAACAAACAGCTCAGCAGAATCAACAACGACAAAGCAAAGTAGTGAATAAGCAACGAGATCGTGGTAGAATGATTCCATATTTACAGGACGAAAATATCATTCAGGAGGGATATCCTTTGATGCAACCATCATTTTCACAAAATATGACTGAATCTAACTGGGATACGGTTTCACAACCTGCATTGTCATCACCCACTCGAACCAAAACGGCTTCAATTAAAAAACGTGCAGCATATCCTCCATTGCAACCGAATCAACCTTTATATCAAAGCAACGAAATCTATTCACCTGTAGAGCTTGCTTCCACATATGATGAACCTTCTAAAGTGGTAGCTTCAACCTCAGTTGGAATGACTAGATCTGCAAAAGAAATGGCACATGAAAAATACCTTCATCGTTTATCGACACCCACCACAAGCCGTCAATCCAAAACCACTTTGGAACGGTACAAAAGTGATCATCCAGATACTTTACACGGTCGCCATATGGGTGATTCAAACAAATCTTCATCTTCACTTCCGATTGCTGTAAACTATATTCCTTATACTCACAGCGAGTATCGTCAACTCAAAAGTCGTGATTCTCATATGCATCTACCAAAAGGTCTAGGAAGAAACGATGATGAAGAATGGAAAACACAGTATGATAAACGTATGCGTATGCATGAATATTCTGAATTGATTCGACAACGTGAACGTGAATCTGGGCGTAATGATGGGATGTTTGATACTATACCACATGATGTGATTTCATTCTCCAACGATGATAGCTTGAAACATGATCAATATCGACCACGCCGAAAACTTTCAGTAGTATTCAGTGATGACATGGTAATGAAGGAATCTGTGCCAACATATCGAAACCGTAAAGTACTTGCTGGATATAAACCTACTTCGTCAATACATTCACGTGCTCACAGTAGCAATATTACCCCAGTAACATCGAATACTGTTCAAAATGGAAAAGTCAATAAGCTTGCAGTACTACCTCGTATTTCTTCCAACGCTGAATCTGTCAAACAAAAATCGGATTTGGAGACTAGAGTCAGTACATCACATGGTAAAAAGCTTATATTTTTAGACCCAACCGACAAAGATATAATCACAAAAACTGCAGCGTCAGAGTCTCTCAACAACGTACCCGACAAGTCCATGCTAGACCAATCCGAAATTCAAAATAATATTGAGCGTGATTCCAAAAACGTTGATGAATCTGTATTCAACGTAAATGACGTTTGCAACGATACGCTTACACATTCTCAAGCTGCGTCAGATTCATCGTCCATGCCAACCGATATACAACCATCAGAACCTAGTTCAATAGACAATGATCAAAATGATGATGATCCAATGCATTTAGATGGTACAATCACATCACATTCGCATCTTGAGGATATTCACACACCTCTCACACATTCACAACTTGAAATTGCAACAGTATAATCAGACCTACAAGTAAAACCTTTTGCATATAATAATTCTATTAGCAATAAAATTCAATCCAAGCATAATGTAATCAATAATCAGATCCCATTACCACTTTGATAACCATTACACCTGATTTGATAGCTGCAGTCAATTTGATTCGTCGGATAAAGATTTAAATTTCACAATAATAATCTTAAATATTCATCATTTTCTACTATAAATTGATTGCTTTTATCAAAGCTCTTGATGTTTTCATGTCTGGAATGGCTTGACATACGAAACCATTTTATGTAAGATTCAAGAATGAACACTATGGAGCAGTCTAGTTTCAATCATTCTAATCAGACAGTTGGTTTGTGAAATGTTGTCCAAAATAAAATGTGTATTTGGAAAGTCTTGAATGTTCAATCTGTATTTTGTACAATGAATACAATAAACTAGAGTTTAAAATAAATGATACTGTTTTTAAACTTTTCTCTAGTATTTCATTCAAGTGAATACGATAATAAACATTAAAATCAATCACCAAGCGTTTTCATTAAACCATCGTTCACAAACATTTCCTACAAGTCTGTTGTACCAAACCAATTCAGTATCGCCTCTTCGTAAAAATGCAAAAGGATCGTCCATTTGCTGTTCAAGTAAAAGCATGTCTTGTTCATACACTCCTGACAAGGGTCTAGGTTTCCATTCGCTACTGCCATCTACATTTGTTTCCATAGTTTCTCCGCTTACTTCGGATGCAATATCAATACTTGTACTGGCAATACTGCTGGCACGTATTCGACGAACTTTTAATCCCATGGCACGATCTTGGTGACGACGTCGTATACGAGCATCTCTCCATCGCAAAAAGTTTTTTTCCACAAGCACTTCAATTAAATTCAATCGTTCTGAATCCATCATAGCCAAGGAAATGACTCCGTTACGCATAATCATTTCCAAAATAATGTCCTTGAAATCAGCGTCTTCTTTTACTGGAGGCGCATAAGGATTGAGAGAGTTGTGTTTTTGTGTATGTGGGTTTGTTGGAATGTGTTCCTTGAGGTACTGTAAAAAGGAATCTTCACGTTGAGCAATAAATTCAGAAACACTCAGAGTGGATCGACAGTATTGGTAAAGCTCGGTGAGGTTGCCTTCAAACGTTTCTACAAATTTGTAAGCTGTTTCTTCAGTAAACTGACGATCTTTGGAAATGGTTGGATTGACTTGATCTAAAAGATAGTCAATCACATCAAGGTCATCTACAGATTCTACAGATCGATATCGAAGCCGCTTGTCATATCCTGGAACTGCAAAATAAATGATTCAGGTTTGACAATGTACACTGTTAGGTTAGTCGATACGATATATTAAATAAACAATCAAGTGGAACTACTTGCATCGTTTCATAGCAGGCATAACTGATTTAGAGGAGCTGCAGAAAATAAGATCCAAAATCCCTTCGCTTTCACATTGCAACATCCATGTGAATGAAGACATGAATGCCAAATACGTATCCACAAGGGGTTCACGGCCGTTGAACAGTAGCTCAAGGTTGTCAATCACAAGTAGTGTTGGACCATATCGAGATTTAGCACGAATGAGTCGAAGTGCTTCTGTGATGTGGTCAAACGAAGCGGAAAGCATGTTGAGTGGATCGCCATTTGCATCGTACAACTGTTCCTGACGAAGATAATCAAGTCCAAAGATGGTTTCAATAGCAGATCGCCATGACTCGGCAATATAGCAGCTATTTGACATTTCTGGCTGCTCAATGTCTGTATTGCTTGCAAGAACTGTTTGATCAGAAAAGGAATCGTTGCATAGATCTGTTTGCAAGTGCTGAAATGTGTCAAAACTCTGATGAACACCAAGTTTGGAAAGTACGTTGTCAAGTTTGAGATAGAATGCAGGACGAAGTTGAGATTGACTTTGAACAAAAGTGTGTAGGGATGCGCCTTTGCCGATTCCTGGACCGCCTTCCACTATTGATGATTTAAAATTGCAAGAGTTTTAGAAATTGAGATTCAAGCTTAAATTTACAAAACAAGTATAGATGGAATCAAAAACGTTGCGAATCACAAGTTGGTTTTGTAGTGTTACCTAATAGTGGATGACGAGGCCGTTTTGCAGATTTAATCTCGTTGATCAAATGATCTTGTTGAGCTTGAAACAATGGAAGAGAAAGAGAAGGTGGTTTGGATTGCTGTTGAAAAAGATAATCGCTGATATGCAAATCTGTAGAACAGTTGATATCAAAGTTGGTGTTATTTGGCCGGATGAGAAAATCGACAATTTTTTGAATAAAAATCGAGTCAGGACTAATGTCAGGTACTAGAACACAAGAAAGACGATTAGAAGAGTGACGGCTTTGAGGAACAAATGATTGAGTATTGTCACTCAAACACTCAGTTTGAAGCACATCTACTGATTCCATCATCAGTTCATTCTTGGCAAGCTGACTGTTTTGAGGATGCTGTTTAGCACCAGTTGAGTGATTGGACTTGCTTGAAGTAGAAGACTGTTTAGAGTTGGTGTAGAAGAACAAATTGATGATGGAATTAGTAGAGAATATACCAGCCACAGTAAGTGACCCAATTAACAGCCAACGAATGCGATTGTGGTCATGAATGGCAGAAGGAGAAGCGCCATAGGCAGCAGGACCTAAAAGTCTGGTGAACGAATGAATCAAGGAAGCCAAATGACGGCCACCTGAAGCAGACAAAGAAGTGACAGTATTTTGAACAACATCTCTGGACATGATGACTGAGTAGTTGTGGCAGTTGGCCCAACAAAAGTAAACTTGCAAGTTTCGAGTCAAATGTTGTTTTTCATTGGCGTAAAAATGGAGTACTTTTTACATCACGCAACGACGGTTGACAAACGACGTTTTCTGGATTCTAACAAGTCAGTAAAACTAAACGTTGATTTTCACTGATTTCCACTGATTTTCATTGGGTTTCATTCATTTTCACTGATTTCCGTCCATTTCCATCCATTTCCATTCACTTACAATCTAAATAGAGTTCAACTGTCAAGGGTGTGTGATTGTTAGTGATGTCAATACTGCTTTGAACACTTGCTTGGCAATGAACAGATTTATGAATTTACCGAGACTGACACTCATGTCATGAGACTCTTGTACTTGGTGTTTCACATCGAGTACAACAGTCGAGAATCCACTCACTGAAAGCATCTCATGAAATGATTACCTTTATAAGCCCTAACTATCCAAGCTCAAGTAGGAAGTCAAGGCGCGTTGATTCTTTCCTTGAAAGGTTTAAAAAGCTTAAAGCATTGAAACAGGGTTATACTATTAAAACTAAACAGGACTAAAACCTACTACTACTCATGGCTCTTCCATCAGCAATCCCAGGGTTGTCCAATTCAGTATGGGAAGGTACTTGCTCTACCGAACAGCAACTCAGACAACCTTCTAATATGAACACTACTGCCAATACTTTTACAACTGCATCTCTCCCTAATCAGATAGTATCCACTCCAATACATCCTCCGCCGTATTGCCATTCGGTTAATGCTTCTCCTACCAGGGGTATTGAGTTGTGGCCATTCTCTCTATCACCGCCTTATAGTTCTGATCCATTGCCTGTTGATGGAGCAACTCAGTCAGTAACCACGGCAGATTCACCAAGTCAACAACAGCTTACTAATGCTTCATATGCTGGACAGCTACTACAGCATCGACAGTATGATTATCAGTCACAACGCTCACACCACCGAAGAGTGCAGAGTCATATGAATGAATTGCGTAGACCATCCTTGATGCTGTTTAGACCGTTTGCTATAGCTGCTCCACCCACGCTTATTCAAGAATCAAGCCCAACTCATGAGAGAACCGATAATTGCTTTTCCATGTCTACTAATGATTCTGCATCAACTAGTTATGCTACACAGTCGATTTCTCCAGAGTCGCCATTGTCTTCCATAGCAGTAATTCCATCCAATAGTCAATCTGCATCCATGAGTTCAATGCCAAGATCTGTTACTCCAGTCCAAGAACCTTCACCACCTCGTCCTGTCTATGAAAGTTCTCCCCTAGCAAACCCGATCATTATAACTCCACCATCATCTGACTTGTCTTCTGCCCACTCAATGACCTATTCGCCTTATGTGATAGGTCCTGAATATGCATTGCCTATGGAGCATAGTCATGATTATGATGATATTGCTGAGCTATTACAAAGGGCCAACCTTCCTTTAGTATCGCTTAATGTCGATAGGTCTGATTTACCTCCTGCTTATGCATCCGCAGATCCTCTTGCTCCACCACCTCACATTGTCGCTACTCATTCTTGGCACCAGGACAGTGTTTCATATATTGCTGAGCAGTTGAATACTTCCGATATGATCGATGTGTTAACCCACCTCGGTGTCAATACCACCGTCCGTAAACTCTACTTGGCTGGAAACAATGTTGCACTCACTGATGAAGTCATGCCTGTATTGGCTCGCTCAATGCGCACCAACACCACGCTAACCTATTTGAACCTTGCTTCTTGTTCCATTTCCCTACGTGGTGCTGCAATTCTGGGCATTGTTCTTCGATCTAATACTACTCTGGAAACCCTTCTAGTACAAGATAATGCTTTCCTGGAATGTGGAAGTGCTGCCTTTGCTAAAACTCTAAGCGGTCCCAACAGAAATGCTCAGAATTCCACCCTCAAGTGTCTAAATCTATCTGGAAATGCGATCATGGACAACGGACTTTCATCTCTCTCAAACAGTCTGATAAAATCATTGGTTGGCTTGCAAGAACTTCATTTGACTTCAAATGCATTTACAGACGCCTCTGCGATACATCTATCCCATCTGGCTGCCTCGCATCCTTCGTTAAAAATACTCAATCTGCAAGGAAATCGATTCTCAAGCACAACTGTGTTGGCAATTGATAATGTAATGCGAGATTCAATTGTTTTGGTAAATCTGACCTATAACCACCCTCCAATCTCGCTCAAATCCAATGGAGTCATCAACCGATCCCGTATCTGGTGGAAGCCTAAACATGAGGTGCGACAGGTACTAATGAACCAGCAGTCGTTAAATAGTGGACAAGAACAGTTGCTTCCATTGATACGAACACTCACTTGGAGTTGACCTATATCGGATTGAGCAATGTTTGCTTTATCTGCAATACTATCACACCTTTCAAGCCTTGCTATATTTGAAATGGTTTGCCATTCAGGATTTTCCGACTAATAGAAAGTGATACTATTGCCCATTCACTCTACTCCTTTTTATTTACCTATGATTTACCCTTTTAAAACTTCATCTTTTACATGCATCATTATGCCACTTATTCATTTCTATACGTTTAAAATATCAAGCCTTTTGAAATCGGTATCACAGTCATGATTGCTTAAAATATAATACCTTTATGTGTTTATCTTGCAATGACTGTTTTTTTGATTCAGAATAAACAATAGTCAAATACTCGTTCTATTTTCCTACTACAAGTTGACTTTAATGGATGTTCTCGACTCTTCAATAAACAACATTTATATGATACTTGCAATTGAACTATCCCATTTTCCTCATTTGGTGCAACTATACATTCTACAATTACCAAATTCATCCAATCCAAACATTGAACTTGACTATTGTCAAACTATTGCATTTCAACTATCATATGTTATGCTCTAGTTCAGCAGAACGGTATTGCAGGTCCCGGAAATACACCTGTTGCTTTCACGTCGGTCATCCAATGTCTGCTTGTAATGTTTTGGCTGGGTTGAGTTGGACTGGCTAAAGGGAGGGCTGGAGATTAAACAAATACCCCAAGATGTGAAATTTATTGAAATCTAATGTGAGCGTTGCTTCGAATATCCTAGTTTTTGCACAAAGTCAGACACGGCGCCGATAAATTTTATTAGGGTGCCAAAAGACAACGATGACCAGTAAGCTTTGATAGGGAGCCTAAAAGACAAGTATGACAAGTCAATCAGCACCAATCATTTCATGAGATTAGCCATTAATTATGCATTTGGCTCCCTTATTCAATACCCTATTTGCGCCAACACGGCTATAAAAAGCGCTCGTTTTACAAATGCTAGTTATTTACTGATTTGCATTCATTGATTCGACCACTATGAAGTACATTGCTATTCCAACTTACTCTTCCAGTGAAGCTCTTCCTGCTTTGGAGACATATAGTCCAGGCAGTAGCCTTCCAACTCTGACTCTTTCTGAAGAGCATCTGGAAATGGCCATGTATCTAATGGCCAAACCCACTACTCCAATCACTATTGAATCTCCTATTTGGTCTGATCCAACCATTGACTGGGCTAAATATTCGATGGTTTTGGTTCAAGATGCACGAGACTATGATCGCAATGTTCATGCATTCCGTCAATGGCTAGCAAGCCTGACTGTTCCTGTGTTCAATCCCTCGTCCGTCGTCAATTGGAACATCAACAAAAATTATTTACTAGAACTTTCTAAAACAGTAGAAACAGTTCCTACATTATTTATAACTCGTCATCAATGGGAATCGATTCGTGATCAACTGAATCCACATCAGGATGTCGGTGCGTTGGTTGCCCAGCTCGTTCATCAAGCTCAACCTGATAGTTTCACATGCTTACCACAAGACTATCCTTCTGCAGCGGGTTACGTTATTAAACCTTCTGTTTCGCTCAACTCGCAAAACACAGAGCGATTCACAGCCACAATGGAAATGCAAGCTGCACAAGCGCATATTGATGCTGTGTTTGCTTCGAAAGGAGATACCGAAACTACGATTTTGATTCAGCCTTTTCTCAAAGAAATACAACTTGATGGCGAAGTATCGTTGGTCTTTATTGGCGGAGTATACTCTCACTCGGTTCAGAAAACTGTGAAAAAGGGTGATTTTCGTGTCCAAGAGCAATGGGGTGGATCATGCAAGCGGGTAACTTCGCCTGCCAGTGTGGTAACCTTGGCTGAGCAGATATTGACGGAAGCTCAAAAAGCGTACGATCCATTAAACCAAGTGAACCAATTGCTGTATGCTAGAGTCGACATTGTTCTTATCGATGGGGTTAAACCTGTTTTGATGGAACTGGAATTGATTGAACCATCACTATATCTATCGTATGATGATACTGCCCTCGAGAAATTTGCCAATGCAGTATTTGCTTTTTTGGAAAAACAATAATTGCTCTATACTGATTTTTTTGATAAAGATGGAGTTTGGTTTTAATGCACAAATGATCTGGGTTGGTTCTAGGCTGGTTTATCCTGTTTCGATACTATCAAGTGCTCGCCAATGCAGCTAATTCTTTGTACGAATAAAATCAAATATGTTCAACTTTACTTTTACAGTTGTATTTTCAATTAAACTCCACTCTATTGTATCCTAAACTATCAGATATGTTTCCGTTCTAGTTCAAGAGAACAAGATCGCAGGTTTCGAAAATATACTTGTTTTCATTTCAATCACCAGGATACCAGTCAACTTTGTCAGTTCAAATGACCCAATGTTGTCCAGTAAACTGGCACAACCATTTCATAAAGTTGGTTTTGTATCATGTATTTTGACATCCTTATTTAATGTTCCATTTTACGTGAATACGTCGGTGATTTAAATCCTATCAACTTGTCCAAACATTGTTTTGCAAACCCTGACAGTATTTCATAGACTACAAAGTTGCATTCACTATAATACGCTAAACCATGAATAACTTGCCAGAACGGGAGTTTTACACCATTGTTGCTGGTGGTGTAGCTCTTGCTGCTAATGCCGGTTTCATCAATGTCGTCTCTATGGCAGGTGTATTTCCAGGCAAGTGCCATGAACCGTGTATCTTGTCGCGCCATCTTCAGTTTGACTTGAATACATGATTGAAGTCTATCCTATCCTTGCATGTATTTCAATTCATAGTGCACAACACAATATATAAAGTGTTTATTTACCACTTGAATACATATTTCTTTGACCATTTTTCATATCAAATGCTCCAAACTCGCGTTAGTCTGACTCAAACTATTGATTGCTACAACACGCTTCTTGTATTCTAATGATTTGTTTTCATAATGCTATGGATTGTGTTATTGCAAAACACAATATTTTCTGATACCACAAACCAATTGGTGGCTGCTCACTAAAACCTGTTCACATTGACACAATTATCAACTGAACCTATAGGTGTGACGGTCTCTCATGTCACTGGATCGGTTTCTCGGGTTGCTATATCGGCTGTTCAGCAAGATTGGGAAACATTTCTTTTGGTCGTATCTATTATTGTATCATTTACATTTGGATCGTTTATGGCTGGATTTATAGTGGGTGACAACCGATTCAAACTTGGTGCCAATTACGGAATAACACTGTGTATAGAATCTGCTGCGTTGTTTACATCGTTTATGTTTTTGCGTCGAGAGTTGGTATTGGGCGAATGGGCTGCAGCATTTGCTTGCGGATTACAAAACGCAATGGTGACTTCTTACTCTGGGTTGGCTGTTCGCACAACACACATGACAGGAATCGCTACAGATGTAGGAAATATCTTGGGTCAAGCGTGTCGATCCGATACCAAGGCCGAGTTATGGCGTCTCAAAGTTCATGTTCCTATTCTTTTTGGGTTTATTGCAGGTGGCATGTGTGGTCAAATCGCATGGCTTTCTATTCACGAATATGCTCTCCTTGTCCCGTGTATATTCACTGGTGGTGTTGCCGCTTTGTATCTCACTTTACCGTTTATCAAAGATGCGGCAGAACAAATTAAACACGCTCTTCCTCATGAACTCCATTTTATGGACAACTATGAAGGAGATCCTCGGAAATATCAAGAGTATCATAAGGAACAGTTGCTGAAGCAAGTAGATCATTATGCAAAAATTACTGGCAAGAATGTCGATGATGAAATTCGAAGGTTTTTGAATGATATGGTTGGAGACGATGAAATTGAAATGGGAGTATTGAATAGCGTATCCATCAGCAGTACTGGCAAAAGAGATAGTGGATCATCTAGACTGCTCAGTTCAAGACGTGGACAATCTGCATATGGAGCAACAGATGAAGATGACGACTTACCTAAACAAATAAATATTTAAATTATAATCACATGGATCGAGTTTGATTATTAATCGATTGGTTGGGCATTTCAAGTGATTAAATGGTTTATACAGTCGTATTCACGCAAAATGGATCACCCAATACGAGTGTCAATATATAATAAACTGCCAATCTCATGATGATTTAAATTGCATTTACTGTACAACATTTTCATTGAGCTTTTTTACAAGTCTCCTGGTGATTGGCATGCAGAGTTGCATTCTCAAGACATGCAATTCTTGGTTTCTTGAACTATAACGTAAACGTATCTGATTTTAGCATACGAATGTGTGTACAGCTTGATTGCCATCAAAACAGTTTAATCTATGCATTGCAGTACATCAATCTGGTGATTGTACAACGTATGACTACCAGAAATGAACAACTATTTCAGTTCAAAATTATCGTTTGTATGATATGATGGATGTTGCATCAGTCAAAAATGTCCATCAAGTCAATCTTCAATATGAGAGTGTAACAAGTATTCAACCAGTGTTTACTACAAACTAAAACAGTCACATTCATTGCAATACCAATACAAAAACATTCCATTTACATCAATATGGTGTAATTAAACGATGATCATTTGATCTGTAGTCAGAATCCAAGTGCATGTTACAACACTGCACCAATCAACTGTTTGAAACATACAGTATTCTAGCAGTATTCTACAAATTGTTGCTACTACATGATGATGCAGTTTACGTTAATTTGTGTGAATCAAATCAAGCTTATAGTTTAATTAGAGTTTAATGACATGCTCGTAATTGAATTAAACTATTCTGCGTGTCATGATTCGCATTAATATTGTATTGATGTGCAAGTATAAAAACATCTGATTTGGTGTATAACATGCTCGTTAATTTGTCTATTATGAAGTTTACTATTATTTTGACTGTGATTATCACTGCTTCTGCAGTCATTGCTGTTCCTGCCATCAATGACAGACTCCAGTTTAATGCACCATCTATCAACCAAAATCAAAACACTGGTCTCGATGCTGGATCTGGATCTGGTCCTGGCCTGTCATCTGAGTCTGGTCTTGGATCTGAGTCTGGACCTGCCATTCAGGATGCAGCCAAAATCCCGATTTTTTCAGCTCCAACGTTTTCAAAACCAGTATTTCCACAAAACACTGCTGATACTCAAAACATTGATATTCCACATCAATCATCCGTCTGTTCAGTTGACGATTACGCAAACACCATCCAGAATTTGCAAAATGTAATCCAACAACAAATGTCAACCATCCGTGACATGCTGGATAGATTGCACGCATCCAGTATTCAACAACCAGCAATGCCTGATTCATCGTTTGATTCATCGTTTGGTGCACGTCATGATGCATTGACTCGTTTGCATGATTTGAATGATCGTCTTGGCAACAATATGGTCAGATTCACGACTGCTAGTCCATTGGTTATGAATTCATGGTCTGATGTCAAGAGCGGTATGAAACCATCATGTGCCGGAATCAATGTGGTTTCCACATGTCAAGAAAATGCAATCAAGAGTGATGTGTCGTGTGGTGAAGACAAGTCTGCAGCAGTAGATCGAGCCAATGCAGTGCGTGGATTCATACGTGGCATTGCATTGCAAAAACTTGCATTGTTGGACTGTGCATCATCTAATCTTGGACAGCAATATCAAGGTAACCAAAAAACACAGCTACTGCAGCAACTCGATCGTGTTTGTGAAGCCACGGCAAAACTTGAATTGCAATTCAAATCGCTATCATGTCGTGCCAAGCAACTAGGCAGCTGTGATGCCAAGATTGGTGAGTGTAAAGGTGTTCAAGATAATACACGCTTGGAACGACGATGGTGGGGAGCAGGATCAGGAGCTGGATACGGTGCAGGAGTTGGTGCAGGATATGGCGCTGAAGTTGGCGCAGGATACGGTGCTGGAGTTGCTCCGGGATATGGTGTAGGCATGTAATAATTGAATCTACCCATTTTTTGTTAGCACACCTAAAAAGCTTATTATATCCAGACCGGGAATTTTCCCATGCTTGATATATTTTTGCAATTCTGTTCACACTTTGACACAATAAACTCAACTTGCATGTATGTGAATTTGTAATATTGACTTGAAGGATGTTTAAGCTATTTTATTATTTGTTGGAATGGATTGTAAAGCTGTATTTGATTCGAATGTGGGAATAAAACCTTGCAGTTGAGGAATATAAAAGCCAATACACTATCTTTATTGATCAACCAATCTTGGCTATTTATAAAATGTATCTGTTTACTATTATAACTGCAGTGATGGTGCAGATCGCAGCAGCCATTCCATCTTATACTACTATGGGTTACACGACTGAGAAACGCGATTTGGGCACAGGTTGTCCATACACTCTTGATCAATATGGGACTGCTGCGATGCAGTTTCATACCACCATGCAGCAACAACAAACAGCCATTCAAGCACAAGTTCAGGCCACTGCTACTGCCATAGCAACCAATGGCGTAGCTATTGCTTCGGCCAATGCTGTTGGTGGTGCAGCCGCGGCACCAGTGGTTGATCCATCTGTATACTGGGCTCAGTGGCAGAACTGGAATACCAATCTGGCTAGTTATGGAAATGTTTTGTGGAATGCCGGCTGTTTGTCTACTTATTGGGACAACGATAGCAATTATTATAATGCAATGATTGCTCTGCAGCAAAATCTCGCACTTCAGGTAACTTTAAACTCGAAGGGTTGTGAGTTACTATTCTAAATATTAACATGTAAACCCATTATAGAATCAGGCTATTTGGAATAATATAGCCGCTGCTAATCAGCAAGCTGCAGCACATGCCAATGCGCTGTATCTACAGACTGCAACCCAAAATGCGCTGACAACATTCAATTCGGCAGCATGCCAGATTAATACAGCGTATGGAGCACAGTTGGGATGGAATAGTGTTTCGGGAACTTCATGGAACTGTTGAGGCTTATATTGAACTGAATTCCTTGGCATATCATCCAATATGCAGAATGATTAAATAAAGTTTGAAGTTGGCTCAGATCTTGTCGATATATTATCATGACATTGGCTGAGCGGTAAGTAGTGTTGGCTAGAATGATAGTATTCAGCCATTGCTACGTGTAAATGGTTTGTATTAACGATGCTCATGCTGCATTCGCCTCAAGGTTTGCATTGATTGAAAGGGATAGAGCTGTTGCTGCCAAGACTCGAGCAGTTCATCCATCATCCTCTACAACTGTTCAGAAAAGACTTGAGCCATCCACTTCCAACAAAAGACTTGATGCAAAGACTGCTGCAACTCTCTTGAAGCAGCAACAACAGACTGGTCATAAAATGTCCAATTCTGCTGCTAGTATGATGACCAAGCAAAGTAATGGTCGTACTAAAGCATCCAAGACCATTTCAGTGGTCAAACCCCTTGTAAAGCGTCTTGGACCCAAACCAGGTCCAATTGAGAATCGTCTTGGCAAGCGGCTTATTGACCGGTTAGGTGATAAACCCACTGCTGCTGGAAAGACTAAAGCTGTATTACGCTCCAAGAAAGCAGGAAAGGTATCCAAGACTATAGTATCCAACTCGACTCCTAAAAGCAAGACTCGAGGATGTGTTGCTAATATTGGCTCATCCAGTTATTCTGCAGCAGATATGATGGATGATGACGATTACAAATTTGGTCAAGCTGCAATATATTAATTCTCGATATTTCAAGATTATAATTAGACTGGTTCATTACTATGGTTGCAGTTGTGGAGTGGATCTCTATTGCAGTGTGGATGGATGCGCAATCATTACTGCACGATAAGCCTTCAACATGCTTCGACTCGTGCATTACAAAGTATCGGGTGAAACTGCAATAGATTCAAGTGGTGCATGTGTTGCTTGATCAACAGACTCACCCCAATCACTTGCCGGATCTTGTTGATCAGTAGTTGTTGCATACTCGATAGAAAGCCGAGCCGATTCCTTATTAGACCGTGTCGGCTTGTCCTTGTCTGAATCAAAACAAATGATGCTATCGGCTGCATATACTTTTGTCTCTGTGGACTCCTGTTTTTGCTGATGTGCACAATCGCACAAGTCTTTTAGCTCGTCTTTATGCGTATTGACATACTCGACGGCTGTACATGCCGCTGCTTTTTTGGCATCGCGTTGCCCAGTGCCGAGACATTGAGCCAATACCATGTTGTGATACGTGATAGTTGCGGTAGTACCTCCATGTAGACCATATTCATATCTGAATGTTTTGTTTTTAAAAATAGTTGGATTTCAGTATTTTTTGGCAATTGTATTCAACAGAAATGCAGACAATAGATTTGTAGTTGTCAAATTTACCCGACAAAAAACATACGTGTAATCTATCTTGACACATTTAAACAATGAATAGGACAAGGTTCGCAATTCAGCAACTGGGTTTTCGTATATCATTGATTCTCCACCAAACAGCGATGTGAATCGCCACCACCAAGGTGAGATCACTGTGATGTCAAACATGCTTTGCACGCAGTGTATATCAAATTGAGAATCTACAAATACAGCACCTAGCATGGACTCGTAAACATCACCTGCAGTTTTTGGTGCTGTATTTCCCTTGTTCCAAAACAATCGAGCAGAGGCAATTTGAGTAGCTGACGTCGATATTGGTAATGGAGTAGATGATTCAGATGCGAGATAGCCTTGAACCCATGCAGTAAACCGCCCGATTGCTGCTTCCATAGTCATATCTGTATGGCGTATATACTTTACCAACCCAATTTGAATCGACACACATGCCAGAAATTGATTGCAAACAAGCTCAGCGCGAAGTTTTGATAATCCACCTGGATTCAACGGTGGTGTAATTTTATACAAATGTTGCATTGCAAGGTAAGAAAGCACTGCATCTCCTAAAAATTCAAGCCGTTGAAACATGCTACCCAGTTTTCCCGTTCCTGAATGCGTCAAAGCTTCCCACAGCAAAGTTTTGTCACGGAATGTGTAGCCAATCTGCTCTTCAATCTGTTTGGTAGCAATCGGATCGACATGCACTACAGATTCATAGTAATCAGTGGATGACGGGGATGCTTGAATACTAGTGTACAAATCATGATGATAATTTGACCAATCTGTTTCGTACTCGTCACTGAGAAGTCGACTTACAGCCAGTGCAGCCTGTTCAACACCACCTTCCTCCACGCAAGCCCCAATCACGGCTTCGATCGAGCCCGCTAACGTCTTGTTGGATATCTCCTGATTTAATCTTATATTTTTTGCTGGTGGAACCCAATTTCTTTTTGTCAGTGGTTTGGTTAAAATAAAATGTTGCAACCCTGCATCCAAGGCTTTCTGATGTAATACTTGATTTTTTTCGATTTTGATTCGCTGTTGTGTCATCCATCCTTCATTTTTAAATGGATTGCGGCAAAACAAATGAAGGGATTGATGAATTTTGAGGAAACTATCTCCAAGCGTTTCAAGGCGTTCGTAGCTGTATCCCATATTAGATGCACTTGATGTGGTGGCTATTTGAAGAAGTTTTGGGGTTGCACTGAATTGAGACCCTGTGAAGGCTTGGTTTGCTAAAGTCAACCCATATCCGTACTTGATATCTCTAGCAAGAAAATAATGCCATATTTTTTGAGTAATCAGTGGCAACACAAGAGCCTGATGTAGATGAGTTCGCTTTATGGGATATACGCCAAGAAATTGCGGAAGCAAATATGCTTCGTGATTCACCAAACGTAGCTGTTTGGTTTGTACTGGAGGTGGGATACTCAAACCTCGAATTAAAGGCTGATCGTCCTTGATTGTGTCTTGATATTTGAGCTGATTCATATAGTACGACTTTACCGTATTAAACTTGAACATCTTTGGAATAACGGTAGATGGATTTTTATCGTAGCAGACATCCAGCACTGTATATTTACGCGAGTACTGCAGACGATCAAACAGAACCATATCACAATGCCCTGTAAAAGGTTCAAGCGGATCGCACATTATATCCATTACATTAATGTTGTCGCAATGCTTGCTAAACTTGAGTTCATCCCAGTCAATCACATTGTCTGCCAGTGTGGTTAACGGATTAAAAGCCAAAGACGTTACAACAGAAATATCAATAGGAACACAAAGCATTCCCCAGTCAGAGGCTTCATCAAATGAGCTACGCAATATACCAGAAAATACATGAAAATGATATTTTTTAAAACTGGCAATATTCTTCAAAGTAAGTTTAAACTGATGCTCCAAAGTTAATATTTGGATCTGTTTAGACTCTCCATGAAAATCCAAGTCAAGAAATTCTGTTTGCGCATTGTCTTTTCCACACGTCACAATTCCAATCTGCAGTGGAATGTCGGTGATTGTTGGTAAATTCGAGGTGTGTTGAATTGCTGAAGAGGCTTCAAGAGATTCTTTAAAAGCTTTAGCAGATGCACAAATCACGTCATTCTGTTTAGTAAGTTTTACCGGTCTACTGCTGTCTGTTCGGATAATAATAATACTTAGCCAGGCACATGCATCCACAGTCCAAGTGCAATCAAAAACAGTAGGAATATTTAGCGGAAATATGTCAAAAGATCCAAATGAAGGTGTAATCGAAGCTGGCTCAACCTGATCATGCATTTTTTTGCGAGTTTTTGCCAATGCAGTCACATTAGACTTTTCAAGAAATTTATCCAGCTCACCACAGAGATGCAATTGCTTTACAAGCTTTAAAGCAGCCATACGCTTTGCTATTTTTTTTGAAACATTTTCAGGTCCAATGGTTTTTTGACATTCTTGGCGAATATAATCTGGCATAACGATCTCTACATAGAATAAAAGTGATTTACTCTGCATATATCGATACTGGGGCTTGTACTGCACATTATTTACAGTGAGTGTTGCACAATACTCGTGAAGTATTCTAATCGAGTCGGCCAACCTGATGACACTATTAGAGTTTGGTATTTCGTATGTGATATCTTGGGAAAGGCTCTCACTTGTAAAAGTATCAAGAGTTTCACGATGGTGGTATGTTGGCGAGCAAGGTGCGACAAGTGGAGACTCTGAGAAGGGACTTGATATGGAATCAAGGGTAGATTCAAGAGACATTCCTGTCACTTGATCGCATCTCAGCTTTGATGATACGGCCTGCTGATGATCATCTAATAATAATTGAATGGGCATCGCATGCATTTGAGACTCCTTTTGTTGTATGTCCATAAAGCAGTTTGGCTCGTCTTTTGCACTCTTTCCCATTAGCACAATAAATTGTGATTCAGAAAAACACTGCCTTTTCTGATATTGCTTATAGTCAGATACTTGCATATCTGCATCATATTGTATTACTACGTGTATAGGTGTGATATCACATATTTCCTCGGGAATCTAAAATAAAACACTGGATATGGTTACCAAATATTCTAAACCAATAAATAAAAAGCATCAGCACTTGTAATATATAATGAAACTTGATTACCCATGTGGTGATTAGCAAATTACAATTGCCTTTCCGAAACGCGTCAATTGATATAGAATTGTCGGATGTATCCATTCCTAAAGGTTCGTTCAACACCAGAGGCTTCAACACAATCAAATTTGGATGTGATGCAATCATGAACTGTATAATTTTGATATGAGATGTCATTTTCATCATCACAATACCGCATGCTTTTGGTATAGTACTGAGCCAATTTAAAATATCCACCAAAGATTGAAATTTGGAGGATACCGTGCAAGGCAAAATGAGATTATGCTTTAGTCCAAACTTGCTTGAAACTATATGGTCTGTACAAAACTTGACAATTCTATCTGATCGGCTATTTAACTTGGTTTTCCAAAGTGGGTTAGAAAAAAGTGGATCGTCTAGCAATTCGGCTTGTGAAATGATATCTCGGGTATCGAAATATAAAACCGCTTTGGAGCAGTCTAAAGTTGATGAGGATTTATAAAGCAATCGTAGTTGGTTAAAATAAAAGTATTACATTTATAACACTGTATAATAAATCTACTTACCAAGATTACACTCAAAAAAACTGTCATTTTTTTGGTTATGGCAAGATGTAAGACTTGAATCATGAACTGGCATTGAAGTTTTAAAAAGTGCAGCACATTTCAACTTGCGCAAATACCAAAGAATGGTCATATCAAGTAGCCTTTCAACACACCATGAACCAAACAGATTGCATAATTCTGACAACACATTCAACTGGCAATAAAGATCTTGAGCAAGCTCTGGACATTTTTTGTGAATGTCGTCATAAATATGTGGCATAGACTGTGAGAGACTAGCATCAAAGTAAACCACTGTTTCAGTAGGCGGGGGTTTAAAAAGGCAAATATCTCCTTGCATATTAGAGACCACTGCTTTTGAAAGCAGCTTATTTTGCAACTCACTATAAAATGGAAACCACACGCATTAGTATCAAGATTCACCAAAAAGTATTGAATGATGGATTGGGAATATTACCATAGCGAGTCGCATAAATTGTCCTTGTTGAAATTGGATAAAGAAGTGACACCCAGTGTTCGCCATGATATATTTTTGGCATTGAATGTCCAATATGTGTGCAAAAATAATCTGTGTGACTGATCACTACAAATAGAATGACATTCATCAAACACTACCAGATTAAACTATAAAAGTCGAATATTCCACAATATCTTGCAAGTTAGTAAGCATGATTACGAGATTTAAACGAGATGCATCCACTAAAGTACCTCGCTCATCAATACATATTTCTTGTTTAGCAAATGCATCAAGGTGCTAGCAGTCATGACAACAATGTCTGCTTGAATCGGTTTTTTCGTCCAAAATTCAGTCTTTTTATTCAACCAAGTATCCACAAATGAGTGATTTGCTAAACGGAAATAACAAGTCGTTTTTGTAGTAAAATCAAAAGCTCAACTTTACCTGTAAATCCTCCACGATGTTGATATCTTCCGTGTAATTAGTATGTAGCTTGGAGTGAGTGTTTATAAACTGAGTTTTTTTGATTACTGAGCAACTTGAAGGAACCAGTATAACGCTAGTTTTGTAGATCTAAAGATTAAAAGTGACACATAAGCAATCTGATGGTATTACAGCCATATTCATGCAAAATAAAACACTAATAAACGAATGTTTATAGTTTGGTTATATCATATGATGGAAGCTGTATCGATTGGAAATGTATATTCAAATCAATTGTAAGAATACGCAACGAATATTCAGCCAGTCTTTTGAAGTGACAAATGTTCCATTTCATGAATACGACTTTGAAATATTCACTAGTATATAAATCGTGCCAGTAATTCAAGAATCTTAACTGGATTATTGTTATTCCACTGCAGAGAGTTGAAGAGTTCAATGACCGACAAACTCAAAATTGTCTAATGTAAATCCCAACAACAAAGTTAGAATATTACTTTCATAGCTGATCAACAAGACGACACCAACGAATCCAGACATGCAAGTTTTAAGCACCTTGTTGATATTAGGTGGTAGAGCAACAACAACATTTTCCTTTTGAATCAGATTGTATATTTGATTTGAAAGATGGTTTGATTCAAACGAGTGCAAGTCGACCAATTCTAACTCTGGGATTGAACATGGCTCAGACAAAGCCGTAAATAGTCGATCAATCTCTTCTCTGTATTGTGTATAATGTTGATGAATAGCAGTAATTGGAGTTGATGGGTTTGCAGACGTTGAAGGTTCTTGAATAAATTGTCTTGAATGTTGAGTAGAGATGAATGACTGATCAAGTCGAGGCAGAAGAGAACAAACATATTGCTGTCGCTTTGTACATGGAGAAATATCTAGTACAGCAGTGGAGTCTTCAGCCAAAGTAGAATCCACGGTTCGTTTTAATGCAGAACGATCAGACATTGCAGTCACCAAGCCGAATTACACAATCTGATTGTCACGGCTATCGACAACGAGAACAAGAAATATTTATATTTCAACAACTCGATTTCATTGTTTTAAAACCATTCTGTCGATTCAACAAGTCAGATTGTCGTTGTGCACAAGACACGATCGAGGATATTCTCGCCATTTAAATCTACCAATTTGTGAACATCAAGAATAACGATTGCTGACATTTTGATTTGATTTTTATTCTTCTTTAGCATGACCTTTATCACCAGTTGCAACGATTCAAGCTAATGTCAATTTTGTGTAGCTATATTGTCAGGCTTGAAATTCTTGAGCATCAATGAACTCACAACCACCGATACTGAGCTTAGTGCCATAGCTAATCCTGCTACCCATGGCGCAAGTGCAACATGCATGAATGGATATAGTATTCCAGCAGCTATTGGTACACCCATCAAGTTATACCCTAAAGCCCATGCAAAGTTGAGTCGGATTCGGTTGAATGTTTTACGAGAAATATCAATTAGAATCAACACATCGCGTAGATCGGATTTCACAAGCACAACTTGTGCTGCTTCTATAGCAATGTCAGAACCTGCTCCAATCGCAATTCTATTACAGTCAAATCTGGTTAGTATATTGTGTAAAGTGATAGTTTCAGCACATAGAATTACCCAACATCCGCCTGAGCTAGTGCTACCGAATCATTGATCCCATCGCCTGCCATGGCTACCTTTCCTCCGCGTCCATCTCGAACTTGCATTGCTTGAAGATGTTTGATTTTCTCAGCCTTTTCTCCCGGTAACACATGACTCATTATACGATTTGGACTGATTCCAAGTTGTGCACCAATTGCTCTTGCTGTGGTATCGTTGTCCCCTGTTACCATCCAGACTTCGATCCCCCGTTTCTCCAATGCAACAATCACACTTGCTGATTCGAATCTTACTGGATCTGCTATGGCTAGCACAGCCAACAATCTTCCTCGCATCTGCATTGATGGTGCATTGACAACCGATAGTGGTGTTTCTCCCGATGGTTCGGGTGCGGCTCCAATCATGACAATCGATTTTCCAAGTTGCTGCCATCTGTACGTCACTTCGGATATCTGCTCTGGGTTATCATAGCAAGTATGTTCTCGCATCCATCTTTCGTTTCCTACAACAATGCGAAATGTTTGCTCGCTTGGATCCGTTGGTTTCAGTAGTGCAGAAAGACCGCGACCTGCAACTTCCGCTATATCTGCAACCACATATCCTGGATGTCGATTGGCTTCATTGATTGTGTCTGCATGATCGGATTTAATAAATGCACACACAGCATTGGCAAGTGGATGGTCAGATGCAGATTCCATAGTAAACAGCATCGACCAAAAGTCATTGTCTGTTGGCAAAACATGCCGAAACCCATCAAGAGCTGCAGTGGTCTTGACATCTGTAACTGTTGGGTGTCCATATGTCAAAGTTCCTGTTTTATCAAATGCAATAGCAGTAACCTTGTGTGCCATCTCAAGTGCTGCACCACCTCCTTTGACTAATATACCAAATTTCGCTGCAACACCAGTACCAACCATTACCGCAGTGGGCGTAGCCAGACCCAATGCACAAGGACACGCTATAACTAGAACAGAAATTGCAAACTCGACAGCAAAAAGCATAGGTGATCGCGACGGTGGTATCCAAGTTTTAGGTACAGCTCCAGACAAAACAGCAGTTGACCAAACTAATAGCGTTATCATCGCAACAATCAAAACACCTGGAACAAATATCGCCGAGATACGATCCGCAAATGCTTGAATAGGAGCTTTACATGATTGTGCGTCCTCTACAAGCTTGACAATCCGCGCTAGAGCGGTATCTGTGCCTACTTTTACTACTTTCATAAGTATCATTGCCGATTTGTTCACTGTACCACCGAGTACCTCATCACCAACTGTCTTTGAAACAGCAACAGGCTCACCCGTGAGCATGCTTTCATCAATAAACGATGTTCCACAAACAATGATACCATCACATGGAAACCGACCACCAGCGACAACTTTCAACACATCACCAACCTGGGCAAGACCAAGATCAATCTCCGACTCACTAATAATACTGTTGGGATTGACTTCATCCAAGTGTACTAAAATGACCGTGTCGGGAGTAAGCGACATAAGCTGTGAAATAGCCTCTGAAGTTCTGCCTAACATCATCAGGATTAGAAACTATACATACCGACATGTCAATCTGCATAAAACAGATTCAATCCAATTACCTTTTGCCAACGTCTCCATGTATTTCCCCAAAAGAATAAAAAAAATCAGAAAAATAGAAGTTTCAAAAAACTGATCCAAGTTATGTCGCTTGGCCATTGCATTAAGCATCATTGCATAGACAGAAAAAAAGTAGGCAGCACTGGTTCCAAGTGCAACCAAAACATCCATCTAAATGACGTGAACATTCAATTAAAAGGCATTACATTTAGTCATTGAAACATCAGCTTAAATCATAGTATTGTATTACTCACGTTGGCAGTACCGAGTTTAACCACGGATTTGTATGCACCTCTATAAAAGCGATACCCCAGTATAAACTGAACAGGTGTGGCCAGCATCAACATGACAAAATCCTCAACAGTGACGCCGGGAATAAGATGCTGCATGAAAAACATGCTTACTGGATGATCATGAGGAAATACCATCATTACAACCATGGATACAAAAAATGCTGGAAGAGTAAATATCGATGCAATGGTTGTCTCGTAAAAATACTGCTTCAACTCTCTGTCTTCAGAGGTGGCTATTCCGCCAGAATGTGAAGTATTGTTTTGGCTCGAATACAACTCTGCATCGAATCCAATGTCGTTGACAAAACTGATGAGATCGCGTACTCCAATAACCGAGGCATCGTGTTCAATAATGGCCTGTTTTGTGATCAGATTGACTGTAGATGAGTGCACACCAGGCTGATTTGAAAGAGCCGTTTCAATCGAAGCAACACACGATGAACATGTCATTCCCTCCACCTTGACTAATGTTCGAGCAATAGATGAAGAGCTTGCAAGCTCTCCAGCTGCAACATATGGCAGTGATGTTTTCTCGATAACATCAAAACCTGCCTCTTCAATCACCTGCGCAATCTGCTCCATTCCAATCTTATTTGGATCATGAACCAAAACAACCTGTTGAGGAAATAACGTAACAACAACCGACTCGGAAACAACACCCGTTACAGTTTGGATCATGTTTTGGATAGAATTGACACAGGATGCACAAGTCATTCCAGAAACAGTCAATGTCAGTCGTTTTAAAATCGGAGAAGCAACAGGCAGCACCGAATCACTGGTGGTATGATCATCGCGTATTGAGTTGACAGGGATTGTATGAGAATCGATAACTTGATAACCAAGACTTTCAATGCGCTGAATTAGAGTACCAGAGAATACCTGCGCATAGTGATGATGTACTGTTGCAACACAAGGTCGTAAAGTGACCAAAGCTTTAAACACGCCAGGAGTTTTGACCAATATATCGTAAACATTTCGCACACACGACGAGCAGGTCAATCCCTGCATGACCAATATAGTTTTCATAGTACGAGTGTTTAGCAATGCAGGGGTTGTGACGGCTTCAAAACTAGGAATTTCTTCACCCAGATAAACGGATCGATGACCATCATCCAACAATGCCTGTTTCATTAAAGCGTTGGACTCATTTGATGGAGCAGTTTTTAATACAATGTCCAAATAAATCAATGGACCAGCTCTTGGATCGTTTGAAGAGAGAGTAACGCTTCGTAGTTGTGGAAGCACCTGTATCAGACATCTCAATATATCAGATTGGAATGTTTTTCGTTGTCGCCATGCTTGCTGACGATCCAACGATGATGACAAAACACATGACATTGCATTGTGTGATATGGAAGCAGATAAATGAGAAGCCAAATCAGCAGCAGGTAAATGACGGTCAGCGACTTCTACACAAATACTAAAAATGTGAAACCCTCGAAGTTGTTGCTCAGTAATGAATCTACAATTGCAATGAAGACAACTGCAGTGTGTGCAACTGTCGCATCCATCTTCCGGTGGTTGTAATAAAGGAGTGCTTTCTGTTATGACTTCAAAGCCCTGTGATGGGTATGATTTTGGTGCAGTTTTTGCAATAGCACTATATTTCAATGAACCATTCATGTTAGCATTTACACTTGAATAATCATTCCAATGAGCTAGCATTTATATTTAAAGTGAGCATTAACAACAAAGACTAACATGGCATTTTGTGAAGAATGAACAGGAGTATCCCAAAGCGAATCGGTTACTTGATGAATATTAAGATTATCATCATCAGTCGTGCTATTCGTTGCAGTGTTTGTAGAAGCAGTTGCTGTCCATTTTGGCTGACTATAAGGATAAAATGACATTCAATTCAATAGTCAAATGTGATGATTGAGTTGGTTTCTGGTTATAAATTGTGCAGTTTCAAGTCGACTCGAATAATATTTGAATGCCAACAATTAAAATCACTGCGTGAACACGATTAAATTGACAATCTCGCCAACACTTGATTTTCTCGCAGGATTTTACTCGGCCAATTCAATGGCAACATCGCAGCAGCCAACTGTGTCGCTGTAAGTGAGCCAATATAAACAATTGCTGTTGAAGAATTCTAAACAGTTTTTATTTCATAGTTATCCACTCTCTGGGTTCAGTTTTGGTGCCAAAGATCCTCAAATGGAAGACGATCAAACCATGTCAGCCAAACTGAATCGTCTACAATCTGAATTCGAGATTCAAGGCATGAGAACCTCAGTCGAGGGTGTGTTGTTGGTCCATGAACATGGTCATCCTCATATTCTTATGCTTCAAGTTGCAAACTCTTATTACAGTCTGTAAGAATCATAACTTGCTGTACGGATCTGTAGCTTTGTTTAAAAGCGATATGGCTTTATACAAGAGCTGTTTTGTTGTGCTCTTGAATCATTGACACTGCTCTGTTTCGTAATACTTTTAGTCCAGGAGGCATTCTCAAGCCAGGAGAGGATGAGATTGAAGGACTGAAACTAAGAATTAACCAAAAACTAGCTCCGATTGGCCATGATCAAACCTCGGAATCTGATTTTGATGTTGGTGAGCTTATCGGTGTTTGGTGGAGACCTAGCATTGAATCCATTATGGTAAGCACTGCTCGAATCAATGGATTCATCTGCTATCTTGTTCAACTAATCTTGTTTCAACTATGCAATGAATATCTATCTAGTACCCATACGTTCCGGCTCATATCTCAGTAAGATCCTTATCATGACATTGTACTAGATTTAAAATCACTATTTTTAATGTTCATTCAAATAGCGTCCCAAGGAAATGCGCAAAGTATACTTGATACATTTACCTGAAAAGAGTAAGAGTTTATAAAATCACACATGTAACAGAATGCTCAGTTTATCGTCTTACCAAGATGTCTCATTGAATGTGTTTAGAATTACTTTCTGTGCCTAAAAATATGAAACTATTGGCAGTTCCACTGTTCGAGTTGTATGATAACGCTGCAAGATACGGTCCACATCTTACTACATTGCCCAACTTGCTCTCTAGATTTAATTTTGTTGCTCGATAATAATACTCTTACACATAAATCACTGGCTTGCGTGTCTTGGGAGTTTGGATACCAAACTAAATGAAACGTTGATTGAGCCGTACTTGTTTAGCTAATGAGCGATGCTTTTGGAAATATGCCAAACACGTGATGGTTAATGGCAACACATGAATTGTATTATTTTAACCTTGTTTGTGGATTCGTCAATAATGAATATTGAAAACCGTGTTAAAGCATACGTTGATTCCGGACTGTCTGCAGCATCTGGACTTCAGCCAACAGAAATTCGTGAATTGCTAGAAGTGTTTAATCTAAGAGACACTCACCAAACTGGCACTATTTCAGCCAACGAGTTTGCTAAACTGCTAAAGTATATTGGACTCGATATACTTCAGGTATGTCGTTCAGTACAACCTGCCATACAAACTTGCATGAATATCCAATAATCAACCCTTTAGAGATACGCCGAGTCAAGTCTGCTTTTATCCAATTTTACAACTCTGCCAAATCAGGCTCTTACCAGCTTGATATTTTGTATCATACTAGGACGAGATAGATGAAATAATCAAGGAAATGGGCAACACCACACAAGTCAGTTTTGAATGTAACAATTACTTGATATGGAAATTATATTTAGTCCAATCTTAGTATCAATCATTGAATTTGGTGTAATTTTGAATTTACTTTAGCATTTGTGATGACAGTAACCAAAAGGCCACAAGTGAAAATACAACAAGAAACTCTCCAACAAGCATTTGCAGTGTATGTTTGATGCAATCGATATTGTCTTGTTTAGATCTAAACAATCTATGTTGTAAATCAACTCGGCTCATAAAATCAACCCAAATTTTATCCAACACATGGCATTCAAGAATACAATCATATGATTTGGAACCAATACAAGTAAATCATATTTCAATGGAAAAAATGCTAAAAGTATTCACTGAATATGGAAGTCATCGTATCTCTCGCGAGCATGCAGCCAATATTATCAAGCAAGTATGTCAATAGTATCGGCATTGTGTTGTACAATCAAATGGATGATTAAAAACGTAACTATTTATTTTACTTTTCACTTTAGGTTGCTCATCATCCAGATACAACTGCCTTTGATTTCACGCAATTTATCAACACATATTTTGACAATTAAAGCAGTTTTTTAATAGTATTGAATAATTTAGCTTTCTTTGGTATGTTTATTAGGCGAAGGGAAAAGACCGAGTTGGGCTATCCGTGTCTTGGAAGTGTACTTGCTATTCGATCTATCCAATTCAACAATAAACCAACGTGATCAATAGCTATAAACAAGTTTAGCATCGTTGATATAAACCTTACATTGTAATGGACCAAAAGAAGTTGAAGATCCAATCGAGGATGTTGCAGACAAGGCACTCATAGCGCTTGGTTGTCGAGAACGAGATCCGCTAAACCCACCTGCATATCCAAATGTTGTCAATCGTGCAGGCTTTGTGCTTCCTTGCCTCATAGTATCAAGTGCGTCTGAGCTACCTATAGAAGCTACAGATGGCTGCATGCTGTTACGGGAGTTGACAAAGTCTGATGTGCAAGAGTACTGACCACCCGCCATGGAAACGTACGGTGCGTACATTCCCTGAGAAATCATATTGGAGGCTTGCTTTCTTGCAATATGCTTCAACTTTCGTAATGACGTGTCTAGATTTTGTGTAAGGCCCGACCAGACTGCGTTGAATTCATTGTTGATATCCATATGAAATTGTGAATCCACAAGCATCCCGCTAATAAAGTATAGTTTACAAGCCAAAAATACAATTCAGTCAGCTCAATGTTACAATAGCAATCAAATGGTTAGAGATACTCGAACATGTTCAAGCTTACCTTACAGACGTGGCATTATCATCCAATGCTTCGCACGATTTTGCACTGTCCAAAAGCGATAGCGCACTTTTGTCTAGATTATCACCCGATTGATTAGACTGCGGCAACATGGAAAATCGAGATATAACTGATGTAGTAGATACAGAATCTTCTTCCAACACAGGAATAATAATCTTCATGCACACGCTTTGATGAAGCACTGAATTCGTCAAGCCATTATAGCGTATTTCAAAAGCAAGGCATCTGATTAGTCTCGATATCTAGACAACATATCGGGGTGTAGAAATCATAAAAATTAAATCTGTGATTTACCTCCACCAACTTCACAGTCCTCCCCCAAACGAATAATATCTCCAGATTTTAATTCCATCAAAGCGCTTTCAGTTCCTTGAGGACTAAGTCGCTGATCATTGAGAAAAGTACCGCTAGAACTTTTGATATCCCTGAGATAAACCTAAGTTTCCAACCAAAACTTGATTAAAAAACCAAGCGAATTTTTAAACTATGTCACTATTAGAATAGTGCGAATGGTATATTTAACCAGCCTTTTTATCGTGAAACATTAGATGTGCGTGACGTCTTGAAACGACCTTTGACACAAACTTGAGAGTGCCAGCAAGTGCTTCCGCCTGGTCCACGCTTCTACCAATAATAAATGGTATGCCAACTGCAATTGAGAATGCTCTCTGTCCTTCAAACGATGAGTTTAATGGGATGACTGTTACTGGAATTTCCGGAAATGCTACAAGATACCAAGTATTTCAAGTTTAAAAGGCGAATAGATAAAATCCAAGTCAAGCAATTGCATTGACCAATGATGCCATCATGAAATAAACAGCATGTATGTTTAAAATAATATCTCGCCAAGATATAACACTACCTGACATTTATTAAAGGATTGTACTTGGTCGAGCTGTTAAAATAAAATAGGGTCAAACCAAGTCGATATTTATATCGTATATACTGTAAATAATAAACGTGTTTTGAAGTTATATATAACTGCCAATTCTAGTTTTATAAAAATGAATCTATCTGCTGCTCAACTTGAAGTCTTGTTTGAAAGTCGTGGAGGTGGCAAAGAGTTGATGGAAAGACTAAAAACAATAGCGCGTGGCTTTCAATACGAAAGGGTGAATCCTGAGCTGTGGATTTAGTATCCATTAAACTATCAACGAACTACTACAATGGGATATTATATTCATTAAATAAGAGTTTTGATGTGTTGTATACAAAGTGTGTGTTGAGCATGGACTGATTTCTGAAAACTGGCTAGCTTTAATATCCCATCTTTGCAAAAGTTTTTAAATCTTGGGTCGAGTAGTTTATGGTCTAATTGTTCATTATTTTAATCATCTATGTGATATACAAGCTTTAAATGATTTGAAGTTGCTTGATTGCTAAAGGGTTCAACACACCTGCTCGATACTTTTTAATGCGAGTTTGTAATGTACAAAATTGAGTCGGAGACTTGTACAAGGTCTTTCTATTTCTAAACACGTCAGAACACCTTGAATTATATTCAATAGTCCCTAATATGTCGTTCATGGAAAGTCAAGATGCAGCAATGTTCAATCTAGCTGGGTTTACTTTAAACATCGAGGAACGAGCATCACTTTTTAATTCACTTGTAATTAAGAAAGAGCAGGAAAAACTTCCAAATATCTACCTTTGGGGTAAAGTTTTGGGAATTCAGCAGGACTATCTGCTTGCTCAGTCAGTCAGCGAGTCTTTGTTTGACCGCAAGTACTACTATACGTAAGTGTAAATGATAGTCTTGAACTTTAAGCACAAGAAACTGGTTGTATCATAAATTAGTATAAACATGCACATGCATCCAAGAAACAGATACAAATCGAGATACGATATTGAACTTGACGCGATTACAAGTCTTTGAATATTAAAACTGAATTGAGTGTGTAGGTGCGATAGCAATAACTGGTTTCAATTGCCTGAAATCACACCAGAGGAAGCCAAACTGGCTGAACTGGCTCATGGCCGTTTTTACGGTGATCCTTCATATGAGCACACTATTCCAAAAGACTGTAAGTAATAAAATCACGATCCATCCTATACCAACCCCTATACTGTTTAAGCCAATGTCAAAACTAGGTTTTGCTAATTAGACTCGTGTAATTAGATTCTGATCCAAACAGCTCCGAGGTAAGTCGTCCAAATATTCGACTTTATACAAGTCTAGTATTTTCAAGCATTACTAACTTGACCCTGTATCTACAACACTAAATTTGCTGCGACTATTTAAACAAAATTATAGACAAAGCTTCGTGAAGAAAAGCGTCTTACAGCCCTAATGTCTATTATCAATTATCAGGCACAGATTGTTCCACGTGGTGCCTATTATCGTAATCTAGATCATAAAATTATCAAGAATCCCAACTTCCGTGGTAAGAACAGATTCGGGCACCATTATTGCTGCAATAGCAGAGTTTAAAAGCAAGCTAAAATGTGAATTATTTGAAACCAAATGGCTTACTATTATAGGTCTGGATACGGAGGACATGAAAAATATTGATTCTTTTTTGCATTTCCGAGACGGATTTGAAGTAACCAGCCGTACGCTATCTGAGCGTATCGAAAAATTTGATGATACTATTGATATTTTCGAATCCATTGGAAACGACGAGCCAAAAGGTAAATAGGCGATTTTTTGATCAAATAACATCAAGTATTAACAGATACACTTCGAATTCACGAGTAATTAGGAGCGTGGGCAGTGAACGCAGAGCAGGAGGGAACAGCAACGATTGTTCGCAGTCTACAATGGCCAGGATACACGTTTGTTCATTCAACCTCACCACTGTCGTATGCATCGTTTTACTATGGAACTGGTCAAAAGAACCATAACATTGGATTCATGCTTTAAATAAATACGTGAATGAGTGCTAGTCATTGCAAATGTGTCTGCCATGCAAATTTCTACCGTATTCACAAATTGACACACTAAATAAGGATGTCCAATAAACAGCCAGTCTCGTATGATGGGTGTCAGGTTACTGGAGAATATTGTTTTCTTGAACTAGAACGTGTCCGAGATGTTAAGATACAATAAAGAGAAAAAGGCAGTTTAAACCCAATTTGATTGGTTTATACGATAAACAATGTATCGATTGAAGAATTGAGAATGTTCATTCAAGTCAATTTGCAGTAGGAAAATACCAAATATTCAGCCATTTTTTATTTTAAAAGTCACTGCAAGATGAATGCACAAAAGTATTTCATTTTACAAACACGATTGTAAATTTCTGGCATTTAATCGTCAGATTCGGCCATTCAATTACAATTATATATCTGCAATGAATTCACTTGCAGTACTGTGTATACAAACACTTTTGCTTAAAGAGGATCTGATTTTATCATCCACTGACATTGACAATCATGACAATCGTTTGCCACTTCCTATAAGTACTGTTCAAACGAAATTGAGCGCATATTGCAAAAATCCAGTCTATTCTCGGACAACAGTAGTAAGCCGTAATAGTCAACCATTGTCGTCTATTCATTCCATCTCCTTTCTACAACCAATTATCATCTGCTTTACTAATGTATTTACTGTTTTATACAACATCTATAATTTGATTTTAAATGCAGAAGGACCTCATTGATCGATTGTGTAAAAAGAAGATTATTGCAGTTCGTCAATATACGCCTACAGAGCCAGGCACTCTAATTCTGTACTACACTTTAGCATCACAACAGCAAATTCCAGGAACAGTGTGTATTTGGTTGATCTTGTAATACTTGAATATCAAGGATATTAATCTAACCTATTTTTATAGATTGCAATAGCTACTCCTTCAAAACCATCCAAAACCATATCTAATGTTGCATTTCAAAGTGCCAAAAAACTGACACCAACTTCTAATGACGACCTGGCTCTTGCTGATACACCTAAAAAGTCTTTTGAATTCCAATCTGCTAAAGGATTCAAACATGAATTGTCGAATGATTCCAAAACCACGACTGTAATGGACTATGCTTGTCATTCCGTCGATAGTATTATGTCAGATGACAATATAGGTTTTAAAACAGCCAAGGATATTGCTACAGATACACTTGTCTCTAAACCAGACATATGTACATATACTACCAACACCGTGTCTGATGAAAGTGCACAGTCAGATTTATCAGAGTTTCAACTTGCAAATGCACTTTCAAAAAAATCAATCGCTCAAGCAATCGATGCTCCAAATTCCAATACGACCCTATTGAGATCTATGGATGCATCGGAACATCTCAGTGCTAATGATGAGCTTGAAAAAACACAGATATCTGCTTGCATTTTGGCATCAAATGAACAAGCTTTGCCTACAGTTGAAATAGAAAAAACAGTAGATCCAGAGCCAATCGCTATACCGGTAGAACCCACTGCAACTCCAACCAAAATCCCTTCTAAGCGCAAGTCATGTTGGAACACTCCATTTAAATCACCTTTAGCAAACAGTTCAAGAAAATCGACCGTAACAACAAAGCCATCAGTATTCAAATCTGCCAAGCCACCAGTAAAACCTATTTTTTCTACTCCCACAGTCCCCACTACACCAGCTCGGGAATCGATTGCGGAAGCAAGCACTTCTGAAATCTGCCCAGCATTCAAGCCAGCATCGGCAATAGCATATCAAGTATCGACACCCAAGTCCAAGTTTAAATCCTCCACGTCGTCAAGCTCACTTCCACTTTCATCGCGACCCATGCGGACTCCACTTTCTATGCATAATAATAACAATTTACCAATAACTCCGTTGAATGCTCGCCATGCATCTGGAAAAAAGGACTTTCAAAGCCCACTGGCTAGAACCGATCCAGCAATGCAGGAAAAAAAAGCACTTGATCGAGCCATTGAAGACTTGACATGCCTTAAACGCAAATACGAGTTGTATCAATCCTATAAAGAAAATGCAAGTATAACTGTTAGTTGGAATTCTCACAATTCCAAAACATGGTATTCTACTACAGTACAAGCTAAACCATACTATTGATTGCTTTTATTAGAACGAAATTACCAAAGTTGATCGACTGATTGCTAAATGGAAAGGTGTTTGTCAAGATACTCTTTTGGACCTTCGCACTCAGATTGGAGAAGTTGCGATTCCAAAAAAGAAGCAAACATCCAATCCATTTTTTGATCGTTCTGATTCAACAAAAGGAGTGGGTATTCATCCCAGTCGTGCACATTCTTGGTGCGCTCAATTTCCTGACTATGAAAATGAAGATAGTGAAACAGGGAGCAGTGGTGGTGGAATGTTTAACACCGATCGGATTTACCAAGAACGTCCAAGGATTCTTAAACTGATTGAGCTTGCAAACATGTGCCAATTTGATATTCACATGATTGGCAAATATGATGAGATGGACGATGATTTTGTTTAAAGCTTCCAAATAAAACCGACTATATGGTATGCATAAAAACTCAGCACTGAGATCAACCAAATAAAAAGAAATACTAAACTGATTTATTTTTGTACTGAATGATACAAAAACGAAAAACTATTTGGAAAAAATAAGGAGATGTTTAAACGTGGTAATGCTCTGATTGCAAAACGATACATCATTTTCAACCAATAGAAACAAACATAGTTTTTGCATTTATAGCAAGAGTTTGAAAAATCAAATCATAAACCATGAGGGAAATAGCAGACTGTAATGTACTGAAACTGTCTACACGTGTCTAACAACGAATAACCATGGAAAATTATACATATTGGTAGTTTTGATATCTATAAAAACAAAATCCAAGGTAAGTTAAAATGTACGACAAAAATATATAACTTAATCTTGCTAATCCTTAAACACATGGCCCAAGATGTAGTTTGATCACTTACCCATACTGTACTTTGGTGCGATTAATGCGCCAAGCCTCATTGAGTAGATTGCTCTGAGCAGTTTCTTTTGACGCGATCTTGCGGAAAAGAACAACAGAAAAAATCAAACCAATAAGCTCAACAAGACCAAGAGCCAATCCAGCTGCGCCAATCGTTGATAGAGATCCTTTCAGAGTAGCAGTCAGCTGATCATGGCAACCAGTACTATTAGGGGTTTTGAGCACGCAATCTGGTGTGACAACTGCGTCGGTAGTATTGTAGAATCCGCAGCAGTCAAACTGTGATTCAAATGTAAGTACACAGTAGGAAATACATTATACTTGAAATCATCCAAGATTGTAGCAGAGCAAGCTAATTCATTAATCCATACCAGTTTTTCAATGCCCACAATTGTAGAGTTGTTGGGGCCTTGTGCTGCATTGTGCCATGCAATATCAATAGAGGTATTCATCTATCATAAAAACATGTCAGCTAAAAGTCACTACAATACTATGAGCGATTCGTTTACCTCGTCGCGCTTAGCATAGGCAGCAGCGCCAACGCTGATTTCCAAAATCACGAGAATAATCAACAATGCAAAGTAGGTCTTGAGAAGCACACCCTTTTCATTTGCAGCACCAAAGCAGCCCAAGAACGAAATAATAGTCACAATGCAGCCAATAACAATAGATGCTACAGCAATACTTCCAGAAAGACCCACAATATCCTCGGCAGAATTTGTATTGATGTAGCCTCCCGCACCAATAAGGATAAGACCTGCAAGCTGTAGTTTTATTAACAAGTACGAGTTTGAAATAAAATATTAAATTTCTAAAACTAACAGATTGATAGCAATAAACTAGAGGTGTCGAGGTTGAAATTTACGTGACGGAGCAAAAAGCATCATCAAAACTCGATAGTTTCTATCCAATATGCAATTATAACGGATACTGCAATTTTGTCGATAGTCAAACATACGAGTGTTTGAATAGATGAGAGAATGAGATTCCAACATTCAGCCAGCATCTGTCTAATTGAAAACTGCACGATTTCCATCACAAACACGCAAGCTACATTGATGCAGCACGATAGCCATAAAATACCAATATAAAATTGATTATAATAAGCTTACCATGGATAAAAAGTTGATCAATAGCAGCAGATTTTTTACGAAAATAAAGCTGCTAGTAGAGAACCATGACTCTGTGTTGAAAGAAAAGGCTTGTAGTCGCGAGAGAAGAGGCATATCGACAAATTACTTTACTATTTGATGTATAAAATGAAGTTTGAGGTAAATTCAGAGATTTATTTTGAGAAATAAAGTGTTTTTACCATCGTATTCACGTAAAATAAAATTCTTTATCTTGCAGTGACTGCCTCTGCTTTAGAATAGACAATGGCCAAGTATTTGATGCGCTTTCATACTACAAATTACTATTGACACTTTTATTTTCCCCAATGTCTGGGATCGCACGCCATATAAAACCACTTACTAGAATGGTTTTCAGCAGGGTTTAAGAATTACAGATGGGTCAAGTAATGCAACTATGTATCTCGCGACATTGCTGTTTGTTGAATGGTTGGCAGATCATGTTGAATCGGTGGGTCTGTATTTTATGGAATGGAATGTGTTTGGAGCACTACCAATGTGATTCAGAAAGTCTTGAAGCATATTTACTTTTCCATTCTCATCCTTTTTGTTGCTAGTCGTGAATTATTGATACTTGTAAAGTAACAAGGACACGAGATGCATGATAAACAGTCTCATGAAATGATAATTCTGCCATTTACTGGACAGCATTGTCTTGGATTCTGACAAAGTTGACTGGTCTGTGCTCTTGTATAAAACAACTGAACGAATGCTCAAAGCAGCATTCACATCACAGCCTCGGTCAATTCCACACTTGCTCAGTTTCCGAATCTCCTTTCACCCAACCAAGCATTACAAGTAAGCATTGGATGGCTAACATGGGAATATTTATTACCGAGACTGTAGTCTTGAACTAAAACGCAAGCGCATTCTAGATTTCAGGATACAAGGAATTTGTAAAGTTGTGCCGAGAACAGTCAAATCCAATATCTGGATTGCAGTGAATGAGTCCGATTTCAAGCCTGGAGATTGTACAATGCATGACTACCAAAAGAGGGGAAATAACAGACTCGACTATAGTCTATATCATACGATTGATGTTGTGCTTGGAAGAATTGATAGTATCAATCCAAGTCAACCTCCAATAGGAAAGCACAGGATTTAACCATTGTACATTCCAAAGCCAAACAATGGCAGTGACCACAAACGATATATTTCACATGAGCACAGCTGTAATCATAGCCAGTAAAAGGCGTCTACTAATAATCAATATTATATTATAGCCCTTACGATCTGTTTCCACCCATAATGATTATGATGAAAACACAGCAGCCAAAGCTGTACGTTATTGATTCCAAAACTGTAGACCCGCAGTGATTGCTTTGTATCGACATCACAGTGGCTGTTGGGTTGTTTCGGGTTTCCCTGTTTAAAATACTGGTTATATACTCGCATCATTGGTACATTTTAAATTCTTGTAGTTGATATACCTCAACTGGCGGGCATTCATTTCAATTGCACAGAAAAGGACTACCGTTTATCATTAAATTTCAGCACTCCATTTCAGCTCGTTATTGGGGTATTCAGCTATTATCAGCCACTTTACTTCATTGAGTATACCTAATCATCTGTATTTAAATTCCTATACATGATGCTTACGGATACATGCGGATGCTCCAGCTGCATGTCCTTGAAAGATATTGTATTCACGCTTCCTAGTAAGGAGAATCAAACAACTTCTTCATGGACTACTGTTCAGCAACGAGTACACAACTATTATTCTACCGTCAGCGCTATTCCCACTCCAATGATTCCAACTGACTTAGTTTTTGAAAGCGACTCGAAGCTGTTACTTCAAGCTCCCATTTTGGAAGAATCAATGCCCCAATACGGTAGTGTTTCTAGCTCAAGTACTCTTTATTCTGACCATGCACGAGCAAGTGTCACCTCATTAGCATCGGATACCCATTCACTCTATCACGGAGTGTCTAACCAAACTCGACGTCCATCCACTCTTTGTTCAGTCAGTCTTGGGCACTTGAGCAATGAGCAAAAGTCATATCAAGCATCCCTAAGCACTGCCACAACTGCGTCCATTACAACGCCTTGCTCTCAATCCAACTCGTGTGTGTTATCTGATACTTGTCCTTTGACTCCCAGAGATACTGTAGTCACCTCTCCACTTTCCAGTATAGGAGATACATGCTCCTCATATGGTCAAACAGACAACTGCACTTCAAACTCTCGCACCAATAGTGTTGATATCAATGCATTTCCCAAGATGACATCACATGTACAAGAAGCAACGGCTTGGGTACCTATAGAGTCGGCAGTACCCTGTCTTGCTCAAAGGAGTCCTTCTAGCATGGCTTATACATATTCATCAAACAGAACAAGTTATGCAATGGGTCCCAGCTCAGTCCATCCGAAACCTCACGTGTTACCATGCCGCACCAATAGCAATTCTGCCGTATCCTTCACATCCACTTCTTCACAACAGCATGCATCATTATGGACACCTTTTACGCTCGATGGAAATTTATGGGCTACCAACTCGGTGTGTGATAATGGTGCTAGACAACTCACTTTCAACACCGATCCAGACATTTCAAACGGTTGTAGTCACCATATCTACCAAGATAGACTAGACAGATCTATTGCCTATTGGGAAAAACCACATTCGTCGTTAATTTCACATGGTGACAAAAAACTGTTTAAACATCAAATTTTGTACATACAATTCAACAAGCAACAAACTCGGGATTCGGATGCCGTCGACACCCGTAACTCATGGCTGGATCCGCATTCTTCTGATCTATTCGATTCTAATTCAAGTGAGGATTTACATTTGGTTGAATTTGATTCAGATGAACAGAGTCCTCCAACTCATTACTGCCTTCCCTCCACGCATCGCATTCGACTGTTGTTTCCCTGGTGCAAGTATATTGTACGTGCTGGCTGGCTTCCTGATGATGCTGGAATTTGGGCTCAGCTTTTGGACCAATCTCGAAAACGTACTGCTATTATTCGCATATCTGAATCATTGTTTGTAGAACATAGCAACGTCAAAAAACCAGTACATGACACCATTCAACTATTGCTTGAAGAAGAGTGTGTTTCTGGCCATATTACCATCAGTGATGCATTCTGTTTTGTTCCTGCATTTGATGCACGTTCCGGATTAAAATCTAAAAAACAGTCGCCTTCAGATCTTGTCGAGTTTATCTGGACAAGTAAACGATCTGGATTCAATCATTTGTATCTGGTTACATGCACTCTAAGTAATACCTTGGCTTTCAATAGTGACTCTGAATCACAGCCGACTGCTGATGGTCTACCAACACCCAATTCACCATCCATTTTGCATGCATTGCCAGTAGTTTCAAATGTTGCTTCCAAAACCCGCCAAATTACTACTGGTGATTGGAATGTTTTACATTCTCAAATATGGGCTGATGCGGCTCATAAATTGGTTTATTTTATGGGAACCAAGGATACACTTTTGGAGCGTCATTTATATGTTTCCAGTTTCCATCACGACGCTATTCTGCTAGTATCATCATTTTTAACCACACACGATACTCAGTCTGACTTTTCTCTCATGCAGTCTCCAACATGTTTTTCACGACCATCTTCTCGACTTACCGTAGCTCATATTCAACACAACATCCGACGCTTGACGGATCTAGGTAAATCCCACAGTGTAACCATGAGCAACTCTTGTTCTCGCTTTGTGACCGTGTTTTCTAGCATCCTCGATCCTCCACAAACCATGGTGTTTGATATTGTATATTCCGAAAACACCATTCGTTCTGATGCGGATTCAAGTGGAATTTCTCGAAAAATTCCCGTCTTGACTCTCCCACCATCTCCAATGCACCCCCAAAAGATCCGACATCGCAAGGCATCTGGAACATGTGTGCAATCCAATTCATCTGTAGCATCTAGTCCTGAAATGTATTACGATTTAAAACATCGGCATAAGTTTTGGAATGCTTGTGTGAGAAAAAGCCTGGGTACCGTTCCAGACAAAACCCAGCTTATTCGTACCACATTGCTTCTTTTTGCCGATACCAGTGCCACGGCTTCAATGGATGCGTATATGGAGTTACTTGACAAACACATCTTGCCTACTACCAAATTTATTACCCAAGTACTTCCACCGCTATCTACCACAAATGGTAACGAGTCTTCTGAATCCATCCGTGAATCTTCTCGGCGCCAGTCTCTTGTTTATGAGCGTCTTCCTGTTCCAGAGATTTTTTCATTTGTTTCATCGAATGGCACCAAAGTTCACGGTATGATCTGCAAGCCGCTTCATTACTGCGATGGCATGACTTATCCCACTATTGTGTTAATACACGATGCACTTTCTGAACAAACTGTTTTGAACGAGTTTCAATATCCCAAGTTGCAAGGTGTATTTATGGCACTCAAGTTTGGGTTTGCACTTGTGATTGTGGATTCTGTTTATATTCATGACACTGGCGGCTGCAGCGTTAGTTTTGTTGGCGATCATATTGAAGCTTTGTTGTATCTATCCGTTGGATGCAATCAGGCTCTATTCAACAAGGAGCTTGATAGCGCCAAAGCAAAACCAGCAGAACCTGTCGATCCATATGATTTATTTGATCTACCTGAATATGCATACGGATGTTCGTCTAGTACTAGCATGACGCCTAGTTCCTTTATTTCTTCCTCACAGCCTGCGCTCAAGTCTTTTGATTCTGCTACACTTTCCTGCATATGGGACTCGGTCAAGATGAAAAAGTTTTGTGGCGAATACTCTGGTTTAATTGATATGGATCGTGTATTTGTTCAAGGTGTGGGCCGTGGTGGACATGTAGCTGTGCTATCAATCTGCCACTTTCCAACCGTGTTTAAACTTGCACTAGCGATTGCTCCTCGGGTTATGGCCAATGTCGATGGTGGCATGGATGGTGTTGCAAAGCATTTCAGATCCATGCCTGACGATCCTCACCACCGAGTTATGATTGTTGACAATCATGACGAATCGGATTTGGTTCGTGGAATTGAATCAAGTGGCAAGACGTGTCATGTTGCTCCGTATGCGTTCGATACCCATCCCATGAATTCTTACACAACCATCAAGAATATGGACATATTATCTATGTGTTGGTTCCAGTCTCATTTTTGAGATTTCTTTGTTTATATATTCATTTTTTATAGAGCTGATTTGCTTTTAAATCTAGTTTCCCAACATTTTAAATGAATTTCATTTCATTTAGTTTTTATTCAATTGTTTAATCAAGAGGAGCAACTGCATTTTAATCCCCTCATGTTATCGGGAACTGTACCACCAAACTCTGCTTGCTCCTTGTCACTGCCTTGATCAAATGGTCGCATGAGTACGTTCAAGTACCGATCCACAGCATCGCTTGTGACATCATGTTCCATTTCCTGAATGACTTTAGCAACAAGATGATTTCGTAATGTATACTTTGGATTTGCCATTAACATCCGCAACCGTCTTTGTTCCGTATCAGCAAACAAGGCATCCTCAGATGAATAATCACATAACATACGAGTGCGATACACTTGAACCCAATCATTAAACCGTTGTACTATTGATTTAGACATATCGTTGGATTGAGTTGATGTTGGATTTGCATGCCATTCACTTTTGCTTAATGTGGAGATGTTATACAATCGGTCTAGTACTTTATCCATGGTTTCATTGGTACGATCAAAAAGATCCATTTCGCTTACTATTCTAAAAAAGTGTGTGTAGTCTACTTTGGAATCATGCATGAGTCGTAGAATGGGTTGGTAGAGAGTGTCTAGGTCGTGATTGGCAGTAGTCAACAAACCAAACTTGCGCGACATCAACAGACTAAATGTTGTATCAAAACAAGGAATGAATTCTCGTACGGCATCAATGAGCACAGTTGTTACGGATTGTTTTGCACGAGATTCGGTTTCTGAGTTGTTGATGTGATCATTACAAGTGGGTGGTAGAATCAATGGATCAAGGACGGATGCTAGACGAGCTAAATTCCACAAGGCTATACGTGGTTGTTCACAGAATGCGTAACGTCCAGTCTCATCTGAATGATTGCAGACATATGTTGGGTCATACACATCCATAAACTGAAATGGGCCGTAATCTATCGTGATACCCAAAATTGAAAAATTGTCTGTATTCATCACACCATGACAAAACCCTAATGAAAAAAAGGATGAATAAGGCTAGAATAGAACAATGATTATAGAATGTCATGAACTTACCGACAGATTGCCAGTGAGCAATCATCTCGGCGGTATTTTTCACGACTTGTTTAAACCATTGAATATACTTGTTGGTTTGTAAACTTTCGACAGTAATTTCATCTTGTACAACTGTATTTAAATCAGTACAGTGTGTATCGATTACATAGTCGGCCAGTTCTTTCATGAGATCAAACTCGCTTCTTGAATACAATAACTCGAAACTACCAAATCTGATCCAACTAGGAGCAAGTCGACATACCACTGCACCCATTTCATCACCATTTTCCCTTGTGACCTTTCGTGATGGGATAGCAACGATTGACAAGGATCTTGAAGTGGGAACACCTAGAGCATGCATGGCTTCAGCACAAAGATACTCACGAATGGATGATCTTAGTACAGCATAACCGTCTGCGAATCGTGAGTATGGAGTCATACCAGCTCCTTTAAGTTGAATCTCAGTGAATGCTCGAGTTATTGGATGCTGAACTTGACCTAGACTAATGGCTCGACCATCCCCTAGTTGACCTGCCCATGATCCAAACTGATGACCACCGTATGAGAGAGACCAGGGATGAGTACCGTTAGGAATGGATGCACCACTGAGAATATCAACCAAACGCTGATTGGGTGAAACAGCAGGGTTGGGATAGAGATCAATGCCCAAAGTTGATACAGATGCTTGATGATTGAATGAAATGAGCTGAACAGTACTCTGTGGTGGAGTGGGCATCACATAGGAGAAATGAGCTCCTGGCACTTGTCGAGGAACATGCGATAGTTGTGTAGGCACGGATGGAGACTGAAACGGAGTGCCAGGAGTGTGTGGATCGACTCTCAGTCTTGATGTCAATGTGTTGTTATAATTCAGACCGTCCATTGTTTCAATAGTATGGCTGATGCTACGAGTCCCAAAGCGTCTATAACAAAAGTTTCCAATAAACATCTTGTGTCTTCACGCCAAACACTTCTCGTTTCAACTGCGTGTTCTTGATGTGTAATGAACAAGTCGTTGATTAGAAACGAGTCGAGTGAACTGCATTTATTATCTTGTAAATACTCGACAAATCTCATTCAAAGTTTGTTTTATAATCGATCATTGTTGCATGGCTGGATTGTCAAAAATACTCTCAAGTGAATCCTCATCAATAATTTCCCTTTTGGCTGCATCAACCACACTCGTCACATATTCTGGCAATCTCATTCCAACAATCATTGATGACGCTGGAGCAAGATAGGACAACGCAGATACATTGATGCGTAGCATGTTGGTTGCTAAAACATCATTCTTTTCAAGTGCTTTAGGTGCTAGAGTGTAAAGCAAGTCATTTAACTCGATATTGGCTTGAAAGGCACGTATGCGAGTCATGGTAAGCACTGTCTTCATCACTTGCTGGATCGCCTACAATCAAAATCTCATTGCATTTAGCAGTGTCGTGCCATTTGCATCAAATCAAGGTAAACTTACATTGCTATAGGATTGTGCCCATTTTCCAAGAATATCTTGTCCTTGACTGGTAGCATGAGCCTCTGTATATACAGCAAGCGCATCAAGACTTTTTTCAAGTGCAGGCTGAACTTCTGTAGAAAAATATCTCTCTGCAGCAAATTCGTTATCGGTAAGAGTGGCCAGGTTTTCTGCCATGGCCTGTGCCCACACAAATTTAGACAACAGCTCGGTTTCTTCTTGAGTCACGCCCACTAGTAATCGTATGTTTTAATTAAAACTCGTTCATACAGATTTTATGATAAATATCAAGAGCAAACTTACAGTGTTCAGCAAGCTCAAGTTCCAGATGTGTTGCTACTTCAAAGTGTTTTGAAAGCGCATTAGTAACGGCCGGTTCATCTTCTGATCTGATGTTGCTGCGAGTAACAAGCAGTCGCACCAATCCTTTACAGATTGAGTAAAAAGGACGTTGAGTCATCAAAAAAAGCTTTCGTTCCTAAAAGTACCCAATGCACAGTGTTGGCAAAAGATTGGTTTAAAGCTAACTTATACTAAATATAAAAAACTTACTCGACAGACTTGAAAGAGTGACGGCGTGCCCTCCAAGCCATCAGCCATTGCATCTCGTTCATATAAATTAAACGGGGTCTGCACTGTCGAAAAATGAGTAGCCCAATCTGACAAGAGTATATTTTCTATTGAAAAATGATAAGGTGAACTTGGATTGTGGGCACTGTTGGATGCAATACCAAAGCTACCAATACGTCCAAGTTTCACTTGTTTATCGAGATATTCCATTGCGCGATAAATCATATCATACAAGTGTTGCTTGGTAATTTTTTTGTCAGTTGACATCAGCATACGTTCAGGACTATTGATCAGAAACGTATCAATCTTGGAAAGACCCAAACGATCTAGTGAGCCAGTGAGTTCTGCTTCGAGAAATTCAGGGGATATACAATGTGGGATGCCGTTTGAGCCTGTAGAGATTTGATCGGGAAATGGATTTGGATGGCCATGAACAAATCCAGCTTTGGAAACAACAACAATTTGCTAATATGCATAATCATGACTGAAGCATTAGCAAATCATCTAAAACGGATTCAATGAAATGAGTACATACATCACGAGAAATTTCATTCGAGGCAATCGCTTCTTGAATGGCATCACCAATCAATAGTTCAGAAAGACCACCACCGAAATGCGAGCTGGTATCAACTAGATTCACTCCAGATTGAAATGCAGTCAAAAGAGCCTGTTTATGAGGAGTGAATTCAGGACGAATGCGATAGCCTCCAAATCCAACTCTAGACACAGTTAGTCCTAAACATCAAACGTATTTCATGGTTTGGATTAAATGATTGTTATACGTTGAATGGTTCAAGTCATGATGCTATCCAAACACACCTGTTTTGGGAACTGTAGTGTATAGCATGGATGGAAACTTTTGAATTAGTTTTTGGGTTGTTTCGGGAGTTGCAGAGTCAGACTCAGTCGAGACGGTGGATAGCATTGACTTGCGAATGAAGGCCTGATTGTAACGGGCAGTTGAACGATACAAAGCGGATGGAGAGCATTTCGCATACTTTGTCCTAGACATGGACATGGAGCCAGCAATCCATTCGGCATTCAATCTTGATATCATATTGCAGATTTGGTTGTAAAATGTTGAATTTGTAAAAGCTCAAACTCATCCAACCTCAAGATTCATTTACTAGAAAGTTGAATCATTTTGATATGCTTCGTATTTATTCTCTCTTAGTGGTATAAACCAAGTCCAGCTGTATAGCTGCCATGTGAACCACATCCAGCTATTATATCAACCAGTATGGAAATTGTTAAATTACCAAACCACAGCTTGTGCCAATTGCAGATTGAATCAAACTCAGCATCTGGAAGTGGACGAAGCACAGGATAAACCACAAGTAGAGCCGGATTTAGCAGCTATAGAATCCTTGATGTCTTGAATATGCGCCGACTTTTTACCATTGCATGAATAAAACACGCATTTTCCAGATGATCTGCTTACTCCAGTCTTTTCGCAAAAAGTCTTGCAGGTATCAAATGGTGGAGTGTAGAGATGTAGAGAAACAGCTCCTGCACCAGACAAGTTGGATACCTTGTGTAGACCCAGTTTATCTATTCAAATGGTAATAATACAACATGATATTGGCATTAATAACAATTTAGAGGTTGAATTGCTTCCAATTTCCATTGCAGTCGTATTCACAAGGTGGGATATTAAATAAAGGAGCCAATTGTGAACCGAGTCAGTTTGCTGGACAGTATTGTCCTTTCAACTCTTGACTGGTATTTATGGTGGTGATCAACATGAAAACTGTTGCATTTCTAATATGTACAATCTTTGTTCTCTTGAACACAGACGTATCTGAGATTAGGAACAACGAGTTTGTAGAACTAGATCAGCAATTCCAATAGGAGAGTGCAATAAAGATTTAACCAGCCATTGCAAGATGAATACAAATATTCTATTTTACAAACACGGCTGAAAAAACGATGCAAAGCACCAAGAGTCCATCATGTGATGGTTTCAGCCAACGCACTACAATCAAGTGATGTAAAAACTGTAGAATGGTTGCAGTCCAAGATTGCATGAGTAGAATGAATCCCAGCTACCATTGCAGTTATTTCACAAGAAAAAGCACCGCTGTTCTGTTCACTTGAAATGGCAAATTACAAGCACCAAACGGTCTAGATTGAAAAGCATCCATTCTGTATAGTATCTCAACTCACCATGCATGTATGTTACGCTGTCCTTGCTATACGTACTCTGCCCTTTGATGGCTAGTCCACATTCGGATGTTGGCAAGTTGGCACAATGTGGAGAGTCTGCTGGCCAGTCGTACTGAGTCTCGGCAATGTTACCGTCCAGTACTTTTACCAGACAATGAGAGTTGGAGTGATCGTGAATAGGACTACAATGCCGAGAGTCGAGTTTCAGTAATCAAGGTTAGCTAGGGTTAGTGTTTACATGAAGCAAGTCTAGTACTTACCTAGACTGACCAGCACCCCAGCACAAAATCATCAGATTGAACTTTCCATTACCACTGTCTACCAGGTTGCGTGTATACCTGCCCGCATCAAACATGGCGAATCGTTCCCAATCAGCTTGGTTAGATTTGTAGTTGGCCATAATAGCCCTCACACGTTCGACATTCATATTGTCGAGTCCTTCGCCATCGAGTTCCTTGTGCAGCATGGCAACTAGGTCGTCAAGGTCAGTTGGCACCAATGAGGCAGTGATTTTTTCAGAAGTGGGAATGGCTTGGGATGTGTTTTTGGGCTTGAAGCAGGAGAGCTGCTGGAGAGCCTCTACGGATTCATTGTCCGAGTCTGAAGATACGAGTGATGCAGGGTCTGTAATGGTAGACTCGGAAGCGACTAGAGCAGGACACTTTTTAGGCAATTCAGCATACATATCCTTGGATGATTGTTGGTTAGAAACGGTAGTCATTTTCATGCAGATTTGTGTTTTTGGCAAGTCAAGTGTTCTTGAGGGATTCTTGTGCTTATGTACCCCACACTTGATTTGCTTGTGGGGTACTTTAGCGTTTTATCAAATGTGTGGAGTGACCGCATGACATGTAGGCGTTTGCTTATATTCAAATGTTTGAGTCCTTGTGAGTAACTCGTCAAAATATGCTGTGCGACTCAAGTTCCACATCTCCTGACTTGCTAGCTGTCATGTGTCCGAGTGATTTGTTCAAAGTGTAAATATCCTTTATAGCCATATTACATATAATGGATTACTCTCTTGTAGCCCTTTATTTTGCTTTGAATAAACAATGGTCGAGTATTTTTGCGCTCTCTCATTAGGGTTGGCTCAAGTAGATATCAATTCAATACAATATCCATCATATAGTACAAATTATAGTTTTAAACCAATGGTATCTCCTTTTTCTTTGTAGCCATACAATGGTACAATCACCAGATTCATCTATTACAATTCAGATAGTGTTGTCAAACTCTTGTATTCTAAAAACTCATACGTTTGCCTCTTAGTTTGAAAAAACAAGATTGCATGTTCCAGGAATACAACTGTTTTCATGCCAATCACCAATACCGTAATGTCTGGTTTGTAGAAAAGGAGATTCGGAGATTAAACTAATGTCAAGGATGTAATGGAATTTGGTGTGATGTCAAGATATGGTTTTTATGCAAAATAAGCACGGAGACTGCAAGGTTTATCAAGGAGTTCCGAAGACAATACTGCCCAATAGGGTGATAGTTATCATGAGACTGTTTATTATGTATCGATACTTATTCCGTGCTTCATTTTACGTGACTATGCAACGGCTCGATTACTCCACTTTCTCCATCAACATATCCCATGTCCTTTTTATACGCCATTTCTTCTTCAAAGGTTAACGCATCTGTACCAAGCCAGTGTGCTGAACTGGTCCGCTTCTTTAGTTTTTTAGACTCTTTGCTATCAAAAATCTCCTCCAGTTGACAGGTCTTTACTGTTCCAAAAATATCGTCTGGATCACGCTGTTGTTGGCTTGTAACCACTTGACGAATGTATGGAGTAGATGCCCACGTAGCAATCTTGGGTCCACCTCGAGGAGTTGCTGCTGTAAGTGAATCATCATCAGAATCTGAATAGTCTGATGGTGGTTCTGGAAGTTCGCCATCTTCACCAAGAATTGTATGGACATGGTTTTGGGTTGATGCTGCTACAGCCTTCTCTCCCTTTCCAGATAAAATACTTGCCCCAACTTGAGGCTTGTGTGGTACTTGGCTAGCATGTGTTGTGCCCATCAACGATGATGGCAAAATAAGGTTTTTGGTAATACCGCTTTTTGCATCAACCAATACAGAGTTGAGTGCATTCGATTTGAGGACTGCCTTGGCACCATGTTGCTTTAGCAACTGCAGTTTTTGCTGTGGCAGTAATTTGTGCTGGTCTTGTGATATGTGGTGCTGGTGTGTTGGCAGAGGTCGCAAAACTTGTGTCTTGGGTGCTTCTAAATCCGATAATTGTCCAGTCAATGTAGCTTGAGCTGAGTAGGACAGCGGAAGCTTCTACCAAGCGATTCCGTTAAATAATCAAATACAGAATTGAGTGAATATAATTTCAAAATGTCAAGTCGCAGTGCATGCAATAGTTACAAACCTGTTTTCCAGCTGTTTCTCCTGAAAGTGGTTTGGAAGTTATTGAAAAAGGCTTATTCAATGAATGTTCTACCAATGCAGGAATAGCGCTCTAGTACAAAAAGTCCAATTTAAACATTCATGTCAGCAAGCTTGTGTACAGATAAACACGATCTGAATCAAGCGATTATTTACTCTAGGTGCTACAATTAAGCTCGTGGTATTTGTCGGTTTATATGGTTTGTCAAGTACCTTGCGCACTGTACCAAATCTTTCTTGATCCTGATGGGGTTTCTCAACATCACTCTGACTTTCTGCTATATGCATGGATACTGTGTTATGTTTTGCCAATGTAGTATGCACAGCATCATCAGATTGTTGTTGCATACGAGCAGTAGCTTGCACATGTGTTTCTTTAGCTATCAGCTCCTAAATAATTAAATCCAGTTAGACTCACAACATATCAGAGCTGTATATGTAAGCTACAACTGTATTCGTGTAAAATGGAACACTAAGAGTCAAGTACATAAACTGCCTCGTAAAATGATGGTCAGTTTACTGGACAGCATTATGTTCCTTTAACTCTTTAGTTGGTTGACATTTCTCGTGGTGATTGGCATGGAAACAACAGTTGCATTCCTGAAATGTTCTTTTGAACTAGAACGTATCTGATATTAAGATACAGCAAAAATGAATTTGATTGAAAATAGTCAACCCCAATATCTGGACTGCAATGCATGGGTCTAGATTCAAATTTGATCATATAATGTATGATTGTGCAAAATGAAGAAAAACAAGGCCTGAAAAAATGATCTCAGTTTAAAATCATAGTTTGATTGTATATGCATCATACGATGAACGTTGTGTTTGGAGCAGGAATTGAAAATGTCTATTGGAAAATCGGTAGCCAGTTTCCAATAGAAAAGTGCAATGAATATTTAGCCATTGCCTACTGCAAAGTAAATGGAAATGTTCACCACAAGATGAATGCAAGTGGTTCATTTGACACGGATATTGGCTGTAAGCTTTTACAAAATCCAAACCCCGATTTGGCAACAATGCTTACCTTTTTAGCAATCATCTCAGTAGCAGCAACCGGTTCAATAATTGGGTTGGATTTAATTTGAATCAAAGCAAGGTTTGATACGGTTGCAGTAGAGCTTGGTATGTCGCTTGTAATAGTAACAACCGCCCGAGTGGGTAGTAAACCCGCAGGTATGCTTGATGGAGCCAAGACGCTAATGCCTTGACCAGCAACACTAGATTGATTTTCAGCGACAGAAACTCCAGAGACCCCGAGCAAGGCAGAAGTATTTTTTGTAGATATGACGGGAAGGTGTGACGATCCGAAATCCTTTTTCTGAGCATTCGCAACCAATTCTGTAGCAAATGAGCTAGCTGCCTTGACAGGTGTTCGAAAAATACTAGATCCCTTCATTGGTCCGCCTGATGGCAAAGCCCAGCTTAAAACGGGTTTTGAAGAATCAAATGCTAATGGTGCCGACAAGGACGTGCCTGATTTTAGTTGACTTGTAGTGCTGGTTTCGGCTACGCTTGAATACTTGGACATTTGCAAATCCAGTGCTCCTTTTCCAGTATCTGTAGTTTCTGGTTCAGACTTTTTATTCGGTTCAGGTTGACATGAAATACTATGAGATGCCACGGCATCATGGGCAGCTGTAGTTGAAAAAGAGGACCGATCAGCATGAGCCAATTGTAGCAATGCAGCTGCGCCAGAATGGCTAGAAATATGGATTGCACTCGTTGAATTAGCATTGATGGCAGAAACAGATCGATCTGCCAATCGTAGAGTAGTCGCATTCAGTCCACGTCGCATCATTTCTAATGGACCGGCATGTGCAGTCTTGAGTCGCAACTCACTCATTTCCCTACTAGCATCCACTTGAGATGCAATTTGTGTAAGGATACTTGGAGCTACATAAGATGAATGTTGTAATGCTGATGCCATCGTGTTAAGCTGACTGGTTGCAACAGGAACATGTGTAGTTGAAAGTTCCTTTGGATCTGATAACTTTAAAGTTGCCGGATTAAATGGTGCTGTCACATTAGCTTGATTATCGGAGTGAGATGTGGTGGTTTCTAGCAAAGGCGCTGATGAATCGGCATTTTCGTCCACATCAACATTCGTTTGAGCACCATCAATAAATCCACTACCACTACTAGAAAAACTTTGCACACTTTCATCGTGCTCCATAGATTTGGATTTCTTGACAAAGTCAGACTGCTCAGAGTCTTCCGAAACAGATTCCAGCGATCTTTTGATTGTAGTGCTTTGATATTTTGAAGTTTTAGAGGCAGCTGATGAGGCAACCGAAGATACATCAGATATTTTTGAAGCAGTGCTACGACTGAGCTTGGGTAGATTTTGGATCAAAAGACTAGAAGTTCCTATTGAGGGTACCGAGTTGGCTGGAAGTATATCCGAAAATTTGGCCATATTCATCAAGCGAGATCTAGCCATCGTTGGTGACAATGGAATGGCAGGACATTGTGGCTTGGTTGAATCTGGTACATGTGCTTTGGAAGCTAAAAGGAGATTAGCAAAATATTTTAGTTTGTCATTACAATCATTGGTTGGCTTACTTGATACTGCATCCGTCAAAACATTCGGCCCATCTTCAATTCGAGTATCTGCGGTATTGTCTACACTATCCATCTTGTCAGAAATTTTGGAAGAGATTGAGTTTGGACTTTGCTCAACAGGCAGTGATTGCTCTGTTGAAAGTGGTTCTTCCAAAGGTGTAGGAAAAGATGTTTCATGCAATGGGGTTACTGCATCTGTATTTATGGTTTTCAACAAATCAACCGAGTCTGTTTCCTGTTTAGCAGCAGGTAAAGGTTGACTATCTGGAGAAACTTCGTGTTGTTTTTCAATTATACACGAATCTGATGATTTTGATGATCCAGCAGATAGAGTAACTGGTGTTAAAGTGTCATTTTTCTCTTGGGTTGACAGTTCAGCAGATATTGAAGATGTGGACTGAGTTACCACAGACGTCTCTGTATGATCATTGACTGGTGCTTTTAAAAGTTGTGGAGATTCTGCTGAAATAGTAGATTCAGGTTCAAGGTTTTTGATGACGGTAGAATCGTCCACCAAGCTGCACAGGGATGCGGATGGCTGTTCAACTTGTTTTTGCTCATTCGCAGCAGTAGAGTTTTTGGTAGATACAGCCATATCGATTGGAGTAGTCTTGTTGGAAATGACTGCCTTTTTTACTCTCTTGATAGGCCGAGATGGTTTGGTCTTGATAGGAGAGTTATCATCTGGTTGTTTCACCTGTAGAGCGAGTGGTTCAACGATCACATCACCTGCATGTTCAGTATTGCCGTGGTTATCCAGTTCGATATTCAAATCGTTGACATTTGACAAAATAGCAGATGGCTGGTCGGACAACTTTACACTGTCTAATACAGGACTCCGTAACTTGCGTTTTCTACCAACGACGGATTTACCACTTTTGGGTTTAGTAATGGTTGAAGAACTGGTATCAACAGAAGCGTTTGATCTCTTGGACAGCTTTGCTGCTGACTCGGTAAACTCACTACATTGCATATTGATAGAAACGGTTAATGCTTATTCTAATCATCAATGTATGACCATTCAGTTGAAGTATATCCAAGTACAGTTGCATACACACTAAAGCAAGATGAATTTATTTATTGTGAATAATAAACATGAATGAATTCAGTAATAAAGACATACCTGAAAGGCAGTTGTTTAGTCAGACTTGCCAAGTATTCGATATGCCTATTCAAAGCAATCTTCAACTTCTTGCAGCTTTTTCTCTGAGTCTCATCAAAAAAGGAGAGTTCGTTGGCCAGGAATGGCTGCAGCATGATTCAATGATGAATGAGATAGCTGAATGCAGTTATATAAAGTAGTCGAATGATTTTACAAGATTTAAAACCAAATTAAATGATTGATTTTCGACTTGATAATTGCTCAAATTCACTGCAAATGTTGAGCTCATCTTGTCAGTAATTTCACATTCTGTCGAGTTTCATGTTCTATTTTATGTGAATCTGCTGTCATGTCAGATTTATAATACATTGATTCTCACCAGACTTTCACATTGACTCGGATTTCAATTGGTTTCATTGTTCACAGTATCAAAACTGCTACTCTAACAGTTTAGAATATTCCCTAAAATAATCTTGCAACAACACTTTAATAAAACAAATATTGTTATTGCTGTTTAGTCACGTAAGATATTGAAGTTTTCATTGGAAACGATTACACATTTGAGATGGAATTACGATAAAATCCTGATTAAAATGCACGATTTTATCAAGCATCTGAGCTTTACTCACGTTGGGATGAAGGCGAAAACACTCCAGATTCTATGGCATGACCGCAGTCCTGTGTTCTCTGCAGACTTTGAACAAATCCTCGATGGTCGACTCGCAACATGTGGTGGTGACAACAACGTTCGGGTATGCATTGATCCTGTTTTTATGTATTTGTATCAATTGAACTTGCATCGGATTGGCATTCACCGCTTGGGATAGTCTTGCTAACTTGAAGCATTCATATGTCGTTGATGCTTTGTCATGATTTAACATCAATGATTTGATTCATATAAAAACCTATTCAATTGCTCCTGTGAAGATATGGAAGGTTGTCCGGATCAACGACGAACCTCCTAAAATGGAGTTTCTTGCAACTCTTTCAAGACATACTGCTACGGTCAATTGTGTGCGATGGAGTCCAACCGGTATTGCTTTGTAATTCACCTGTTTGATTCAACAGTCATGATACTGCGATCGCTAACTATTAAAACCCGACTCTAGGTGGATTGATTGCTTCTGGCGGAGATGGTAGATTCATTGTTGGATAGGATTTCAAAAATATTGTAATCATACGTTGTGCTAATTGATTTGTAGATGGCTCAATCTTGATATGGCAACAGTGTGAGCAGCGGCAAGACTCCATGTCTGAGGATGACAATGAAAACATCCAAACATGGCGAATGACTTCGTTGCTGAGGTACATTGGTGTATTTGCTCATCGTTCCGTGCTGGTGTATTAATTTTTTACATTGTTGCTGTAAATAGAGGAGCATCTTCAGAGCTGTACGATCTTACCTGGTCTCCTGATGGACGCTTTATACTTTCTGCATGTGTAGATAACACATGTCGTATCTATAATGTAGCTGAAAGTATGTCTGCTTATTTCTCTAGTGCCAAAACATTACTATTTTTAATTGTTTTGGGTCTATTGCGATTATACAGATAAATGTGTTCATGTCATGACTGATCATCAGCACTTTGTGCAGGGAGTCGCATGGGATCCGCTTTACCAGTTTCTTGCAACTCAAAGCAGCGACAGGTATTGTACATATTTGGTGTATTTAAAATATCAGCGTGTATGACCAGTTGTTGATTCTGCTTGGATATTTAGGTCTGTGATTGTATACGAGCTGAGCCTTTCTAAAGCAGGAGTGTTGAACACAAATATAATTGCACGGCACTCCAAAATTGAGCCATCCAAATTGGCATTTAAATCGTTCATCTCAAAGCAAGATTCTGAAGTACCAATTGATGATACTGCTTTGACACCTAGCAAGTCCCACTTGGCTTTATCAAGCACTGGAGAAACGGTTTCGATCGATTCTGCTACCCACAAGTCAAAAGCATTTAGAATATTTCACGATGAGAATCTGACTTCATTTTTTAGACGATTGGCGTTTTCCCCTGATGGATCGCTTCTTGTTGTTCCTGCTGGACTGTCAAAGTATTCTACACGAAAGAATGGATTAGCTACTGACTCTGTTTTGGAACAGACCAACAAAGCCTCTCAAGGTACAAACGCTGCCAATAGTGCCCATACTGTTTATGTTTTTGGACGTGGAAAACTATCTAGGTATTGTTAAAGATGTATCCACTATGATATAGTGTAATATCTATTATCACACAAACCATTGACTGATTCTTTTTGCTAAACGATCAATAATCAAAGTGATCCTATTCTGCATCTTGCTGGCCACAAAACAGCTCCAGTTGCCATTCGATTCAATCACAACCGCTACAAACTTCTTCAATCCACATTAGATACAGGAGTTCGTCCTACCATCAATCTTCCATATCGCTATATTTTTGCCGTAGCAACACAAGACACAGTTGTGATATATGACACTCAACACATTCGTCCATTGGCATTTTTTGGCAACCTGCATTACGCAACGTTTACGGACATGACGTGGTCCAGCGATGGAAGAACGTTGATCATGTCATCAATCGATGGGTTTTGTTCAATGGTTGAATTGGATGAAAATGAGCTTGGAGTTATATATACCCCACCTGCCCCTGTCGAACCTAATATTGTAAATTCTAATAGTGACGATTTAAAAACTAAACCTGTAGATAATCCAGCTGTTTCAAAGCCAATTACAAAAATGGCTTTGAAATCTACAGATTCATTTGCATCAAAATTTGAATCTGACACTACAATGGCTCAAATCAGTACTGAATTACCAGCCGATGTTACCATATCATCTTCAGTAATGGTACATACACAAATAGGTCTTCCAGTTGTAACTGGAGCAGAAACGGCTTCAAAGAAACGACGCATTGCACCAGTGTTTTTAGGATTGTCATCAACAAAATCATCGTAACTATATTTTATACAGTCGTATTCACGCAAAATGGATCACCCAATACGAGTGTCAATATATAATAAACTGCCAATCTCATATGATGATTTACATTGCATTTACTGTACAACATTTTCATTGAGCTTTTTTACAAGTCTCCTAGTGATTGGCATGCAGAGTTGCATTCTCAAGACATGCAATTCTTGGTTTCTTGAACTAGAACGTAAACGTATCTGATTTTAGCATACGAATGTTTGTACAGTTTGATTGCCATCAAAACAGTTTAATCTATGCATTGCAGTACATCAATCTGGTGATTGTACAACGTATGACTACCAAAAATGAACAACTATTCCAGTTCAAAACTATCGTTTGTATGATATGATGGATGTTGCATCAGTCAAAATGTCCATCAAGTCAATCTTCAATATGAGAGTGTAACAAGTATTCAACCAGTGTTTACTACAAACTAAAACAGTCACATTCATTGCAATACCAATACAAAACCATTCCATTTACATCAATATGGTGTAATTAAACGATGATCATTTGATCTGTAGTCAGGATTCAAATGCATGTTACAACACTGCACCAACCAACTGTTTGAAACATACAGTATTCTACAAATTGTTGCTACTACATGATGATGCAGTTTATGTTAATTTGTGTGAATCAAATCAAGCTTATAGTTTAATTAGAGTTTAATGACATGCTCGTAATTGAATTAAACTATTCTGCGTGTCATGATTCGCATTAATATTGTATTGATGTGCAAGTATAAAAACATCTGATTTGTTGTATAACATGCTCGTTAATTTGTCTATTATGAAGTTTACTATTATTTCGACTGTGATTATCACTGCTTCTGCAGTCATTGCTGTTCCTGCCATCAATGACAGACTCCAGTTTAATGCACCATCTATCAACCAAAATCAAAACACTGGTCTCGATGCTGGATCTGGATCTGGTCCTGGTCTGTCATCTGAGTCTGGTCTTGGATCTGAATCTGGACCTGCCATTCAGGATGCAGCCAAAATCCCGATTTTTTCAGCTCCAACGTTTTCAAAACCAGTATTTCCACAAAACACTGCTAATACTCAAAACATTGATATTCCACATCAATCATCCGTCTGTTCAGTTGACGATTACGCAAACACCATCCAGAATTTGCAAAATGTAATCCAACAACAAATGTCAACCATCCATGACATGCTGGATAGATTGCACGCATCCAGTATTCAACAACCAGCAATGCCTGATTCATCATTTGATTCATCGTTTGGTGCACGTCATGATGCATTGACTCGTTTGCATGATTTGAATGATCGTCTTGGCAACAATATGGTCAGATTCACGACTGCTAGTCCATTGGTTATGGATTCATGGTCTGATGTCAAGAGCGGTATGAAACCATCATGTACCGGAATCAATGTGGTTTCCACATGTCAAGAAAATGCAATCAAGAGTGATGTGTCGTGTGGTGAAGACAAGTCTGCAGCAGTAGATCGAGCCAATGCAGTGCGTGGATTCATACGTGGCATTGCATTGCAAAAACTTGCATTGTTGGACTGTGCATCATCTAATCTTGAACAGCAATATCAAGGTAACCAAAAAACACAGCTACTGCAGCAACTTGATCGTGTTCGTGAAGCCACGGCAAAACTTGAATTGCAGTTCAAATCGCTATCATGTCGTGCCAAGCAACTAGGCAGCTGTGATGCCAATATTGGTGAGTGTAAAGGTGTTCAAGATAATACACGCTTGGAACGACGATGGTGGGGAGCAGGATCAGGAGCTGGATACGGTGCAGGATATGGCGCGGGAGTTGGTGCAGGATACGGTGCTGGAGTTGGTGCTGGATCAGGAGCAGGATATGGCGCTGGAGTTGGCGCTGGATACGGTGCTGGATATGGTGCGGGATATGGTTCTGGATACGGCGCTGGATGGTACTGAAAGCTTATTTTACAGCCGTACTTGCATAAAATGAAACACGACAAGATTGCCAAAATGCATAATAAACAGCCAATCTCATGAAATGATTGATACCAATTCGCATCACATCTACTGTAATACTGTTTTTTGCATATCTTTGTATAAAAAATCAATGTTTAGAGCAGCATTCACACCACAGTTCCAATACATCACACATCAATATACTTTAATCCAAATCAGACATTACAATATTGAATGATTAGCATGTGAACAACAGTTGCATTCCCGAGACATACAAATTTGGTTTCTTGAACTGGAGCGCAAACGTACGAGTTTTTAGAATACAACAAAAATAAGTTTGATTAAAAACATCAAAGCAGTTGAACTAATATCTGGATTGTGATGAATCTAGTGATTATACAATGTATGATTATGCCAAATGTATGAAAAGAGCAAACTTGGAAATATGATTTGATTTTGTCATATGATGGACGCTGTTTATTCAAGATAATGTCTATTCAAGTCAATCTGTAGTAAGAAATAATCAATATTCAACCATTGTTGATTTCCAAGCAATATAAATACAAGTGTTTCATTTATTGTTTATTTAGAATGTGCTGATTTAAGGGATGATCGGTATATTATGGTGGTAGCCACCATCACAATGAGTATAAAACAAAAACAATCAACTTGCAGTTTCACTAGTTTTGTGGTTGTCAAGTGCGGTCCATTACTCGGTTCATTATACCTCTCGTCGTCTGCTAAACTGCTCATTGAATATATTTATTATAGTGCCTTGCTATTCAACAGACTGTCTTTTCGCATAGCATTGATTTTGCAGTAGTTACACAAGTTTTAACATGACTTCACTTGCATCCACGGCTGCTCCCCCGGCACTCTCCGTTACACCTCCTCAACAGCAGCCTCAGTTGGATCTCAACTTGAGGCTAATTTGCAGAGACTGTAAGGATGCAGTTCCAAATATTGTAGAAGATTTTTCGGCTGGTGATCTCATTTGTGGAAATTGTGGTCTCATTCTTGGCAATCGCATTATTGATACTCGGTCTGAATGGCGAACCTTTAGTAATTCAGATGACAACAGTGGAGATCCTTCTCGTGTGGGTGCTGCTTCTGACCCCATACTGGGAAGCAAGGGAACAATTGATTCCACCATTATTGGTGTGAGAGATGGTGGTACTGGACGATCCCGTGAGCTACATCGTGCTCATCTTAAAGTGATTGGTCAAAAGGGAGAGGTTGCACTTTTGCAAGCGTTCAAGGTCATTCAGGCCATGGGAGAGCGCATCTCACTCTCCAAAATAGTGATTGATTCTGCCAAACAACTGTTTAAAAAGGCTGATGATGAACGTCTGCTTAAAAGTAAACCTACCGAGGCTATTATTGCTGCATGTCTGTATATTGCCTGTAGAGAGCATAGCGTTACTCGAACTTTTAGAGAAATTTGTGCACTGTCAAAAGTTTCTAAAAAAGAGATTGGAAGGTGCTATAAAGCACTTCAGCCCAATATGGAGCATCCAGTACAACAAATCTCGCTTGATGCATACATTTCACGGTTTTCTTCAAGCATAGATATAAAAGCTGATGTACGCAAAGCAACAGTTTTGGTAAGACTCGATCGTTGATTCTGCTTATTGACTTGAAGCAATTGCATTGCACTGCTATAGTCTTTTAAATATTTGAAATCACTGACATGCACTTGTGTGGATGATACTGCAATTTCAAATCTGCTTGACATTTGTTCAAGGTTGCTGATCGTATTGTAGAGCTGGGTACTTTGGCAGGAAAATCTCCCATTACACTTGTTGCATCATGCCTCTACTTTGTATCGTGTCTATCTACCGATCCCAAGCCTGCTAAGCTGATTGCAGAGGTTGCAGGGTGTACTGAGTCCACTCTTAAAAATGCATACAAGCTATTGCTCGAGGTTAAAGATATAATCGGAAGAGATCTTAACTTGCCTCATGGTCTGCATACACTTCCTAACTAAGAGTGTTTTGACAATGGATCCAAAATAACAATAAAGCATTGAATTGTACTGGATAACGCAAGCCAGTTGATTATAGCTGGGTCACAAAAACACTGTTAATGGGTTGATGTTAAATGTCGATTTTAGTATTCATTTAGTTTGAAATATTGCAAAATACAGCTGTATTCACTTGAATGAAATACTAGACAAAAGTTTAAAAACAGTATCATGTATTTTAAACTCTAGTTTATTGTATTCATTGTACAAAATACAGATTGAATACTCAAGACTTTCCAAATACACATTTTATTTTGGACAACATTTCACAAACCAACTGTCTGATTAGAATGATTGAAACTAGACTGCTCCATAGTGTTCATTCTTGAATCTTACATAAAATGGTTTCGTGTGTCAAGCTATTCCAGACATGAAAACATCAAGAGCTTTGATAAAAGCAATCAATTTATAGTAGAAAATGATGAATATTTAACCATTATTATTCTGCAACAAGAGTCAACTAAGATAAATACAAGTGTTTCATTTAAAGTGAACACAACTGTAAATCAATGTTCTTGTTTCGACAAACAAGGAATACTAACCAGGATGATAGTCCCACCGTGGCTGTTGATCAAAGGACTGTAATGCAGCGTATCAAAGCATTCCCCTCTACCATCTCGATTGCAGAAATATCCGGTTCGTTTGGTGATATGGCTACTCTGCTCCCCATTCTGCTTTCACTGGGCAAAGCCGGTCAAATATCCATTACTTCTTCCTTGGTTTTTGGCGGTTTGTTTAATGTTCTTACTGGTCTGGCTTATGATATTCCAGTAAGTTTACAAATATAATGCAATGAGCATATTTGAGGTATAAAATGGCAATAACGGCTGATCAGCCGAATGAATTAGCTGCCATATTCACATAAAATGGAACATTTGCATTCACTGTTTTTATTTTGCTTTGGAATATGTTTAAATATTCATTGATTAGTCTAGTATACACTCAATTCTTTTTCAATAGACAACATCCATCTATAATGCTCACAATCAAACTTAGTTTTGATTTAAAGTATGTTTTTTTGAACCTCCCTTTTCTCTTGATATTCATACATTGCACGATCGCCAGATTCATCCATTGCAATCCATATATTGTGTTTGACTATCAATATTGTCAATACAACTCTGCACACTCATTTATTGTATTTTGAATTTCGGATACGTTCGCGATCTAGTTCAACAACAATCATGACACATGTCAATAATACAACTGTTTGTATGTCAATTACCACAAGAAATAGCAGTCAATTAAAGGATTTATGGCTAACAACCAAATATGATCGTTTTTAATAGATGTGTGTGCAGCCTATGAAAGCTATCGCTGCAACTGCCATTGCATCCAACATGACCCAGGCTCAGATCGTTAGTGCAGGCATGTTTGTATCGTCTGTTTTGCTATTTCTTGGCGTTACTCGTTTGATCCATGTGGTCAACAAGTATATTCCTGTTACCATTGTTCGTGGTATTCAAATGGGTGCTGGTCTGACTCTAGTCATGAAGGGTGCTGATTCTATTCTCAAGGCCAATCTTTATTCTTTTGCTGCTTACGATTGGATGGATAATTTTGTGGTTGCGCTCTTGTGCTTTATTCTCGTGATGGCCTTGTATCGTGCTAAAATAAACCCATCTGCCCTGATCATCTTTGCCATTGGAATTCTGCTTGCATGCATTCGATTGTATTCTCACGGAGACTCCCCGCCTTCGCCTAATCTATCGTTTCCATCTCCGACCGCACCTTCGTCTTCTGATTTCGCTATTGGAATACTAAAGGCTGGAATTGGTCAACTTCCATTGACTCTGCTAAATTCTGTTATTGCTGTTTCCAAACTCGCTGATGATCTTTATCCCAACAAGGCTAAACCTGTTGCGCCAGTATCGTCTATCGCTATTTTTGTCGGTGTGATGAATCTTACTGGTGGTTGGTTTGGTTCAACCCCTTACTGTCACGGTGTAAGTTTAATTATTAACCTAATTGATGTGTATATATTGTTGGTGCCATATGATGTTTGAAGCATTTATATCTAACTACTGTCATTGGATTGTCAATTGTGTAATGTCAAGTCTGGTGGTCTTGCTGCACAATACCGATTTGGTGCTCGAACTGGAACGAGTGTGATTCTGCTTGGTATTTTCAAGATCCTCATTGGCTTAATTTTTGGCAATACTCTTTTGGTTATTTTCCAAATGATCCCAAAAACCATTCTTGGTGTGATGTTGGCCATTGCTGGAATGGAGTTAGCTTCATGTGCTCGTGATCTGCACAATCTTTCTGATCCTGCCGAGTATCAAGACAACTATATTATTTTGATAGTTACTGTTGGTGGTATTCTTGGGTTTAAAAATGATGGTATTGGGTTTGCATTGGGTTGTATTGCTGCCATCATTCTTGGTATTGCTCGCCACCAGCGCAACAAACAAAAGAGTGCGACTTTGTTGGCTTAATTCAATGTTTTTCTAAAATCAGGTTTATAATCTGACTGTTGGACTGAATCAGTGCTCATTACTTTTTTTTGAATAAACAAATGTTTTGATATTTAGTTTACTTTTAAAACCGCACCAATGCATACCGTTACAGTATCCTATTTATTACAGAAATGTACGTGTATTTTAAGTCGTATTCACATAAATGGAACACTGAGGAGTCAAGTTACATGATAAGCAGTTGATTTCATGTAATGATGGATGCCAGATTTACTGAGCAAGGAAAGAATTGATTGAAAACAGTTGAATTAATATTTGGATTGTACAATTTACGTCAAATGATGACAATCGCAGTTCAAAATTGCCGTTTGTATGAACTCTCGTTGAATGTCGAGTTGATTCTAATCAGTGTAAAAATACTCGTTTCAAAGCAAAACCAACGACTGCAAAAGTCATCATTTTACGTGAACACGACGCATGTCAGCAAGATCCTCTGTTTCTTCAATGGGATTGCCTATGGGCCCTGGTGTCACTCTCGCTGATGGCACAAAGTGTGCATCAAATTCTGAAAAATGTATTATCATGCAGTCGTTTCATGTAGTCTTTATCTCTTAATCACCATGTTTGCTGTTGTTTAGGGATTATTGGTATCTGTGCTCTGGACACCAAAGGTATTTGAATAACCAATTCAATCCATGTTTTATATTGAATGATTCTGTATTATAGTGTATTCAGCTCTGTTGATGTGTTTATAGCTCGATCCAAACCAATGAGAAACATCTTGAATCGTATTATTGCTCATGGTGATTTTGAGGCTGTAGTGTTCCAGGACAAGGTTATCTTGGACGAAGGTGATTGGCTTGTATTGATTGTAAATTCTCATCTTTGTCTTGAGTCGAGTCTGCATGAGTACTAATCAGAAATCTCTTTATTTTAATGTATTCTTTTAATTCAATCTAGACATTGAACATTGGCCAAATTGCGACTTTCTAATCTCTTTTTTCTCTGCTGGATTTCCATTGAGCAAGGCGATTGCCTATGTACAGCGATACCAGCCTTTTTGTATCAACAATCTGCCCATGCAAGAGTTACTGCTTGATCGTCGACTTGTTCTCTCTGTGTTGGATGCCATTTCTGTTCCAACGCCACGTCGTATTATGGGTTATCAAAACGATCTTCCTCAGATGCGGCCAGATATTGAAACCCATCTTGCTACGCTTGGTATTGATTTGGATGAACTTGGCCGAAAACGTACATCTATCACTATGCTGGATAGTGAAACAATCCAGTGCATTGACATTGACAATCCACATCTCCCTTGTTCTACGCTTCGCAAACCATTTGTCGAAAAGCCTATTTCTGGTGAAGATCACAACGTCTATATTTACTACGATGCTAAATCTGGTGGTGGTGTACGAAAGCTGTTTCGTAAAGTAGGCAACAAGTCCAGCGAGTTTTGCCAGACTGAAAGCAACATTCGTACTGATGGCGTTTATTTGTATGAAGAGTTTATGAGCGTTGATAATGCTGAAGATGTCAAAGTGTACACTATTGGCAGCAAATACGCTCATGCTGAAACCAGAAAGTAAGTCTTGTGTTTTCAGAGTAATACCATTCAACGAGTAAATCGGTATCATTCAATATCTCTATTCATATGCTGATATAATGCTATTTTAGATCCCCTGTAGTCGATGGTGTTGTCAGGCGTAATGCAGAAGGAAAGGAGGTGCGCTATATTACTCCACTTTCAGATGAAGAAAAGGAGATTGCTGCCAAAGTCAGCAAAGTCTTTGGCCAAACTGTATGCGGTTTTGATCTTTTACGCGCTGGTTCACGTTCCTATGTCATTGATGTGAATGGATGGTCATTTGTAAAGGGAAACACAGATTACTATGATAATTGTGCCAGAATCATTCGTGAAACCTGTCTTCAAGAGATACTGAATCGTGGGCCTGAAGTTTTCAAGCGCCAACGAATCATGGAGAATCAATGGCGTCTAAAGGCATATCTGTCTGTTCTTCGTCATGGCGACCGAACCCCTAAACAAAAAATCAAGTTTACGTTCAAAAGCAAAAACTTTTTGCAACTCCTCAAGGGCTCACTCGAGGAAGTTGTTCTTAAAAAGGCTGATCAACTTCTTGAGGTTGCTGATTGTGTTCGTCGTGGTATTGATGAAAATGTGGAAGATCAAGCATCTCTTCAGCAGCTTATTCGCATTCTCGATGCCAAGGCAACAATGATTGGCACCAAGGTTCAGCTTAAACCTGGCTTTAGTAAATCAGACGGAAGTTTAGAGAAAATACAGCTTATTGTCAAATGGGGCGGTGTCTTCACACATGGCGGTCTTCATCAAAGTCGCGATTTGGGAGAGAACTTACGCAAAGACTTGCTCATCATCAACAAGAGCTTATTGGATCATGTGAGCGTTTATTCTAGTTCTGAAAAAAGAGTGACTGCTACAGCAGAGATTTTCTGCAAGTCCTTTTTGGAAGTCGATTCAATTGAAGATGATTTTATCAAAATTGACAAGGAAATGCTGGATGACTCGAATGCTGCCAAGGAACAAATGGACAAAGTCAAGTCACGTCTGCAGCGGATTCTGAATCCAGAAAATCCCGAGCAAGTACCACCTGAATTTATTATGCCACTGTCTGGCACAAACGATATGGCTTCACTTGTTCATAATATCGTTGAATTACTTGCTGTAATGCGTGAAACAATGCATAAAAACACTACAAATGGAAATATGGAAAAATTACAAGCTGTTTGGTGTTGTACCGACTCGTCGTTTTTGTTTGTGGCAAGTACTCTATCTCTTGGTTTATGCTCATTGTATTTTGACTTTGATTTGTTTGCTTGAATAATTACAGGCATTTAACATTCGAGTTGAATCTTGTTTACTTTTTGTAGGAACGATGGGAAAAGCTTTTTCACGATTTTATTGATGTTGAGCGAGCCCAATTTGAGCCCTCAAAAATATCAGAGCTTTATGATTCATTAAAGTATGATCTTATTCACAATCGTGATTTTCTTCAAGGAGTATTTGCCTCTTCCACTCAGGACAGTCTAGTTCGCAAGCTGTATAATCTTTCCAAAGAGCTGTTTGATATTATTGGTCCACACGAATATGGCATTGACAACAAAGAGAAGCTTGAAATTGGGTTTCAGAATGCATCTTATTTATTGAAACATCTTTTAAGCGATCTTGATACTGCTCGCGCTTCTCCCACTCCATCCACTTGTTTGTACTTTACCAAGGAGAGCAAGATTATTTGTCTATTGAACATTGTTTTGTTGTGTGGTCTCAAAACTAAAGTAACTTCTCCTGCCAAAATTCCTGAACTTGATTGTAAGATGTTGCCTATTTTTGACTGGTTAAATGCATTGTTATTTCATTTAGTAGATGATGCATCAGATTCTGACTGTTTATTTAATTTTACATTTTTAAATTGGTTTAGATTTGACTCAAATTTCGTTTGAGCTGTACGAGAGGCACGGAGGTAACACAGAGGCAACAAGCGACGGTCAACGAGAATACTCTTTGCGCATTGCATTCAGTGCTGGTGCACACGACTCCAACTTGATTGACTTGCATTTGGATCGCAAACACTCACTTTCTGTTGCACCTCGCAGGTATATTTCTTTTTTGAATTTTAGATACAAGACAGTTTGATACAGTACTAATTCCAGCAATGTTTTTTAGATGGATCAGCGATCATATTGATTTAAATGACGCTCTCAAGTCTCTGACTCCATGAGAATTTCATTTAAATACAATCTTGTTTTTTTGCTTCAAGAGTGACTGAGCACGCAATAAACAAATGTAGTTCAATATGCATGTCAATGTTTATTTTCAATCTATGGATTTGCTGTTGGTTGAGGTTTTGCTTGCACATCAAGCTTAGAATTTAAATTCGAAGCATCATCAATAAACGCTCGAACTTTATCCACAATGCTCATATATGCTTTGCTTGCAGGCGATTCAGCAAAGTCGTCAAGAAAACTACGACCATGATCAGAAGACAGACCTAGTATTATTATTGATTGCAAATTACGCATTAGCAAACCCAATCTCGTACTTTAGCATACCGGCACATATAATACCTAGCCGAGGATCCATGGGAATAGATCCCAAAAACGGTATATCCATTTCCATGGCCATTTTAGCTGCACCGCCAGTTGACGGAGAAAAAATGGCGGATGTTTTTGTACATTTGGGACACACAAAGCCAGACATGTTTTCAACAACGCCAATAATAGGTACACCGACTTTTTTACAAAAATTGATTTCCTTGCGCACATCTTGGAGTGACATTTCTTGAGGCGTAGTGACAATGACAGCGCCATCAATGCCACATTCCTTGAGATATTGCACTACAGAGAGATGCTCATCTGATGTACCTGGAGGTGTATCTACCAGCATAATATCTAAAGTCCCCCAATTGACATCCTTGAGGAATTGTTTAATGAGTCCTGCAATGATCACACATTAAACCTTTTATAAGTGCCTAGTTACAGTTTAAAATTCATGCACAGAACACACATGGATGATTTACCGTTTTTCTTTGCACCTCGCCAAATTACTGCTTCATCTGGATCTGGAAGCATAAATCCGATTGACATTACTGCAAGATTATCACTGACATATACGGGCGACCATCCAATATTGCTTTGATGTACTTGTTCTTTTTCCACGCCAAGCATTTTTGGCATTGATGGTCCACAAATATCTAGATCCATAACACCCACCTAAAATGAGCAAACATAGGGTTACCATGACAATCAAATGGATACACCACTCGAGAAAGTATCGATATGAGAGACAAACGATCGAGGGTCAAAAGTGATTTACTTGAACATCTTCGTCAAATGAGAATGCAAAGGCAAGGTTGGTTGTGACAGTACTTTTCCCGACACCGCCCTTGCCACTCAACACCAAAATCCGTTTGGATACTTTGGCCATCCGTTCATTGATTAATGCAATTGCTGGATCTGGACCAGCTTTTTGGCCTGTTGCACAGATGGATTGGTTAGGACAGCCTGCACAGGAATCAACTTTGCCTGCCTGTTCACTTTCAGGGCCTAAAATTCAATCAAAAACTCAGTATGTGACATTAATAAAAATAGAATTGATAACAAATGGGTTATGAATAGTATTGGTAATTTAAAAGTAAAGAACGCTTCTCAATGCATTCCAAGTATTGCTAGAATGTCATGTTCAAAACCTACCAGGACAGTGCTCAGGAGCATCACTTGGAATTGATTGCAATTGAGTTTCAGCTTTAATTGTCGTCATTCCTCGACTGTTTATTAAATGTCGAGTGAAAATCAAATGTAAAATTTGTATTTCGACTTTGGTTTTAAATAGTATTCAATATTGATTACGCTTTTCTACTGCAATTAACTGTGATGAACATTCTTGCTTTCTTGTTTTAGAATTTCTCTAAAAATCCATTTTTATTAAAGTATCGGTCGAGTTCAAGAATGCACAATATAAAACTAGCGACATTGCTGTTGAAGATGAACACCAATTTAGTCTGAATCGCGTCATGTTTTATTTGGCCAAATTATCAAGTAAAATTGGTCAAATTTTTAGTTGGATTTATTTTTTGAATTCAACTTTTAATTGTTCATCACAAAACTAGCAATGTCCAGACAAGGGTAATTAGATGTGCAACTGTATTTGTAAATTGTTGGTTTTCATGTAAAATATTGATTCTTATTTCATTTGATACAATCAATTCAACTGACTATTAGTTGGGAAGATTCCGAGTTTCCGATTCTGGTAAGTTGACTAATAGTCTTGTCTGGACTTGTCTGGATTTGAATAATCTAAAATACATTGCAGCTTCTAGTATAGATATTTAACCTATTTATTTGATTGCATATCCACACCAGTGTGAGAGCTGTCTTGGGAGCAATCCATATGTGCGTATGCTAAGAGAGAGTTATGGAAAAGAATGCAAGTTTTGTGGTCGTCCATTTACAGTGTTCAAGTGGTCACCAGGCGAAGGAATGCGCTGGAAAAAGACTGAGGTGTGCCAAACCTGCACCAAGATCAAGAATGTTTGTCAGTGCTGTCTGTTGGATCTGGATTTTGGTAAAATTATATCTATTAGAACTCGGGAGTTATGGCTGTTGCTCTACTTTTTATGGATAGATTCTCATTTAAGTTTGAACATGTATAGCTCTTCCTACAAAGATTCGTGATGCTGTTTTAGAGTCCCATGGCGGAATGCCAACTACAGATGTTAACACTCAAGTTTACGTTCGCAAAATGGAGGAGCAGGTAAATTGATACTATCGAATATTTCATTTTCATGTGGTTGCTATAAATCATGATCATCCTGCATTCATGCGTACTATTTGTAAATGCATTTACTCATGTGTATACCAACTCAATCTTAGATGGGAGATGACAAGGTGGTGAATCATGGCAAGGCAGAATCAGCAGCAAAGGAGATTCTGAGAAAAATGGCTAAAAAGTCTTTGGATCCACATCAACAGCAGAAACGAAAGGTCATGTGTTCGTTCTTTTTTAAAGGGATTTGTAAACGAGGAGAAGAGTGTCCTTTAAGCCATGATAAACCATATACTAGCGCCAATCGTCACCATAATTCAAACGAAAAAGGACATGGTTTAAAGCATACTGGTGCGCCTAGCGAATCTCGGGTTGCTCATGGAATCCCATCCGGATCTGACACAGTCACGGCTTCTGTCGATGCAGGCTTATCACAGGAAGCATCTATAAAATCACACAAGCCAAATCAGCGCCGAAACTTTCCTCCACGTATGTACAGATATTTTGATGAGTACTTGTTAAACTTGATTTATTCTGACAAGCTTTTGACGTGTCTATAGAATCGCATGCTCAAGCACATGCCCAGAGTGAGCGAATGGAAGCCAAGGCAGATGCAGCTTATCCTAGTGCACAGGCGCTCGTAGCATCCATGACCCAACTTCCTACACCACCACCTCCACCAGGTCAGGGTCCACAAATATTGTATCCATCACAAAATCCAGCCATTTTGGGAACAACGACACGTTCCTTTAGATCCTAACAACCAGGTTTATTTTTAAACAAAAAGGCTAATAATAAAAACAAATACTTGGTAATGCCTACTATTCCAAAATAGCACATGTGCATGCTCCAAGCTGTCTAGCTAGATCTTCTCGATCAGTATCATGACTATCTTCAACTTCTCCCCATTTTTCAATCTGATGAATGACTTCCAATCGACCTGCAGTGGTAGCAAATTCTACAGAAATTTCGCCTTCCATCAATGCCAGACCAATAATAAAAGATTTGCTCCGCATCACTGCCTTTTCAAATGCAGCAAGTTTGATGTTGTCGTAGCCTTGAATGATTTCGCGAAGTTTGTCCATGACTGCATCTGATTGAGTAACACTTATAATTCCTTCAGTAGTGACAATGTCAATATTGTGCGCTTCCTTGAGCCAATCAACGAGTGGATTCCAATAGCATTTCTGCAATTCCACCAAGGAACTTGGGTAGCTTTGCTGATAGCTAGATGAATGCCAGTTGGAATGGTATTAGTTGAAAACAACAGTCACGAGTATAATAGAACTGACTGTGATCATCTAACCAAATATTTATCGCATTTTCATTCAGGCTTACCATATTGAATCGGTGTGCACATATTTCAGCATGGTGTCAATAACACCCTGTCTGATGGAATCATCTTTAAATGTATCGACTGCACGAACAATAATAGAAGTCTAAAAGTAATGCAAACCAGCAGGTATTAAAAAAGCAATTTTAGATTCACGCAGTTTGTGGATACTTGAATTCACAACTGATCGGATCCAAAACATAAAGATTGTCTTACCAATGGAAGAGAATGCGATTTAAGTACTTTGTCTTGTCCTTCCCATTCTGCAGCAGTTAACGCAGCAAATGCTGGCCTACTCAATGGAATCACTACTTGATTTCCATCTGGTGTTTTGAGTATGCGTCCGTCCAAAAGTAGTACAAATCCATCTTGAAATTTATAATCCATATGAATCCAAAACGTCAAAATAAAGTTTATAAACCAGTCGACTATTGATTTGAATGCAAGGCGACTTTACCTGGCGTCGTACCCAACGATACTGATTTCCAAAACCGGTTGAATTGCTTTGAAGTAGAGGTCAACTCGGATGACTCGGATGAATCGGTAGAATTCGGAATATTAACCATGTCTTCAACTTGACTGGCAGGTTTTTTAAGTTCAGATGCCAATCCAAAGAATGACCTTTTGATCAAAAAAAACTGGGTTGTCAATTGGATCGTTGATGGATTTCGGTATTCAGATCCCATCCATGGCGATTGTGCAAAAACATAAAGTTGTCTGGTGGATAAGTTTGAAAAAGAAGGTTTAAATACAAGTCTGGCTTGATCTCCGGTAGCTTTAAACCATACGTTGACACCTCGTTTGATTGATCGAGAAGCAATCATCGAATATTGACAATTGTTGAATTCAAGGAAAGAAATTCAAAATTGAATCAGCTGTTCACTACACAAGGTCACGTGAATATTGCATTTGAATTTAATTCAATCTCGATCCATTAGTTGGCATTTATGCAATCATGTCAGTGCGACATAGAGATGTTATAGCATCGTACAGAGCTCTTTTGCGAGCAGAGCGAAAGACATTTTCTGGAGATAATAAACGGATTATTGGTACTACTTTTTGATATGTATAACTTTGAATCAATCCTGTGATGCAAAGCCTATCCATTTCAAACCCATTTTAAAAAAGTTCAACCTGCTTACTAGCAAAACCTTTTATCTAAATGTAGATGCCGCAAAAGCTACTCGACTAGAATATTTTAAAAACAAGGTTGGCTTTGTTCAAATGAAAGCGAATTCAGCAAATTCAATGTATTGATCATACTAAACAGCTGTTTCGATTATATTTGGATAGGATGAACAAGATCCTGCAAAGATTGATCAATTAATTCAGATTGCACAGCAGGCAAGAACCATTATTTCAAGAAATATAGTGCAAGGCGTGCAAGCAAAATCCAACTCGGATTTATACTGTATGTTCTGTTGACTGAATATTTGTAAAATCAAAAATGTGGATTTCAGTGTTCGTGGTTGCGATAAGTCGAAACTTACAGAATTTAAACTCAACATTAATATCTAGCACTTCGTATCACTGATGAGACGGAAATCAATTCAAACGATACCATCAAACAAGCATCTAAAAATGGCACAAAACATAAATGCTGTCAATCTGACGAGCTTGTCTTTGACAAAAAATAACTTTATGGCTTGTTTCAACCTCAAAATTTGATTTAGTTGAGCATGCTCACTGCCTTACATCCAAACCACACCACCCATTTTGGCTGGATGCCATTGTGAATTGTTTTCAACTTGTCATTTCTGACTGTATGGAATCAGAGAAATAAACGTCGTCCATGTGAGTGATTTAACTGGATATTCATCTGTGTCCTCGTCAGTGCGCATCACAATGTCTGCATCCTCGGCACGATCAACAAAACTGCCCTTGGAACACATTGTCACAAGGCAAGTAATCTGCTCTTGGCGATTATCTTTGAATTTAGGATCATTCTTGAACGACGGGGCCAAAAAAAATTGTTTACCTAGAGTGAATACAACCAGTCAGATATTTGAAATGCACAGTTAATAAAGTAGCAACACGAGGTGATAGATTGATCATAGCAACAAATATTGGTCTTGAAGAACACCACGCCATAATCCATTACCTAGATATGGGTTTGTTTGGCTCCGATGACCATATTTGTCTTCTGGAAGCCAGGCACCATTAGAAACAGAATCAGTAATCCATGCTGGATCGTAAATCAACCACGCTCCCATGAGGCTTGCTGCAAAAATCTTGAGCGTTCTTGTGCCTTTTGGAGAAATCACATGAGCTATGAATTAAAATCAGATTAGCTTAGCTGCCCGCTATTTGCCAGTATATGGAAACAAACTATGTTTTAGACAAACATGTTTTAAACTCACTAATACGGGGATCGTATATAACTGTGGAGCTACTAAGAAAACATGCGTCTGGGAGGGTTTTTGTGGATTTGGCAATGCGCTAGATGCAACAAAAAAGCCTCGGGTTAGAAAATGTCTATTCAGTCTTGAAACACCAAAATATTTAAATCTAAGATAAATTACATCTCGTAATGCCGAATTGAATGGAGGGACTTCCTTGAATCCAGAAATGGAAATTAGCATAGAAACATTGGCCTCGCGAGCTCTCCTCACAGATCCTGGCGTGCAGTTGATGGCACCTTTGCGAGTCCAGTCATTCAACACCGATCCTCCAAGTGAACTGCCTTGTGCTAGAAAAATATTCAAAAATTGGCAACCGCTATTCCAAATGTACAGCCACAATCAAACTAAAAACACATAAGCTTACACAAAACATCACCACGAACACGCTTCATTGTAGGAGTAATGTCGCCACGATGCCCTTCCACCACCCGTCGTTTTACTTTAGAAACTGTTGCTACATATATTACAATAATGTAAAGGAAATAGTCATGTAAATACAAAGTACATGTGCATCGACAAAGCTTAAAATGTGATTACCTTGACTAGAACTAGATTCGGATTGAGGAAAAACAGTCCCTGCAATTTCAGAAACACCGCCCATAGGAAGAATACTCTCAGATACAATAGATCCTTGTGTGGCTTGAATCACTATTGAATTTTTTGAAATTGTGCGATGAAGTTCTGAAGTCTGCAGTTTTCCAATCTTATTATATAAGTAATCCACCTGCTTTCTTAGCTCAATGTTGGCAATAACAGCCTCTTTGTTTTGAGCCATAAGCTGCATCATTTGATTTTTAAAATCTGACTGAATCTTGGTCTGCGCTTCTGTATGGATTCTAGTTTGCTCCGCAGTATCTTCTGCATGTTTTTGATTCGCTTTTTCTAAAGCATCACGAGCAGCATTTAGTTCCAAATCAGATTGGGCATACTGCGTTTCAACAATTTCAAGACGCTTGGCTAATTCACTAGTTTGCGCGTTGGCCAAGTCGGTTTCGGAGAGCACGTTGGCTAATTTTGTACTCAGTAATGCATTATCATCAGCCTTTTCGTTCAATGATTTCTGCATTATAGCCATCTGAGCATCAATAGTATCAAAGCGAGCTTGCCATTTTGAAATGTCTTTTCCAGCTGCATCTAGGCTAGCATCTTTCAAATAAATTTCTGATTCTGCTGCAACAAGGGATTTTTGTATAGATTCAAGTTTAAGCTCAAAATCTACTTTTTGATTCATATATGCATCAAGATCTGTGGTGGCTTTTTCAAGTTGACCAATGTTGATGTGTTGCACTTTAAGCTGCTCTTCAAGATCTCTATTGATCCCTTCCAAACTGGCTACTTGAAGATTTCTTTCGTTCATCATTGATTCCATCAAATTGAAAGATGCGCATTTTTCTGAAAAACTATCCAGCAGCAAGTCGTACTTTGCAAAAATGATGGTGTTGTCAGATAATTGCTTTACTAGCTCCTCTTGGATATCATTTACCATGCTTGTATGAGCAATAGATTTTTGCTCAGTATCATGTTTTTCTTGCTGAAGTTGACTGGCTAAATTTGAACGCTCATTCTGCAAATCAACCAAATTATTGTTGAGCATGGCAATAGACTGTGAATATTCGGCAATAATTTCCTGAGCAGATTGCAAAGCCGATGCATGATCCGACTCCAGCTGCTTAACCATGTGCTGATGAGCCAGAGTTTGCTGATCTAGATTCATGCGGAAATCAGACTCGGCCTGTTGAAGTTCTACAATGTGGTCTTGTAATTTCTTGACGGTTTCACAAGTCTCACTCAGCTCAATCGACAATGCATCATACTTTTGTGCTTCTTTGGCTGCCTTGACTTGTTCTTCTTCAAGATCGCGTTGTAGAGATAAAACGTCATTGTCAAGTGCATCACGGCAAACTGCATTTTGCTTAAGCTCAAACTCGAGCTTTAAAAAGGCTGCATCTTTTTCACTCATTCTCATGCCAAGTTTCTGATATTCATGTATAAACTCAGCATGAGTTGCTGTTAGCATTTCAAAATCAGACTGTATATCAGCACGTGTCTGTTGTAAATCTGACAAGATTGATTTGGTTCCTTGTAGAATTTCCCGTGTATCTACTAATTCCTTGTAAAGTGTTTCCTTGGATGTAGCAGATTCTAGTAAATCATATTCTAGTTTGGATATGACCGCCAAGTTTTCCATACTAGTTTTTTCAGCCATTTCAACGTTGACTTGAATCTCTGATTTGGCAGCGTCAAGAGCAGCGGATTTACTGCAAAGTTCCTGCTCCATTTCAAGCTCTCGCTGCTTTAAAGCATCAATGTGATTCTCGGCGGTGAAAAGTGCTACTTGAGACTGCTCCAAATCCATAGATACCTTTTGAAAATCATCCATTGATTTGTTTAGATCTGACATGGTGGTCTCAAACTGTTTTGAAACTTGATCGAATTTGGTTTGCATTTCTTCCATCGATTCTTCAGATGTTTTGATTTCAAGACGAAGTTTGTTGATGCATGCAACATAATCGGCTTGCTTAACTTCCCATAGCTCTGAAGCGTTGCGAGTACATTCAGAAAACTCTTTTAAATCAAGGTAGGCTTGAGCAAGCTCGTCGTCACGTTCTTTTAAAGTAGATTTGACTACTTGAAGATTTTGTTCAGCAAGATCCAGAGATGTTTGAAGTATAGACTGAGCAGAACTATATTGAAGATCACGTTCATCAGCGGCAAGTGCTCGTTGTTCAGCCACAGTTGCCATTTCGGTCATTTTTGATATCTGTGCTTCAAGTTCTTCACGGTGTGTTTTACCAAGCTGACATTCCAAAGTTAATTCAGCAATATTCTGCTCTAGCTGTTGGTATTCGTGTTTATGAGACTCTAGTGATTTTAAAAAGTTGGATTCACGTTTAGCAAAACGGTCGTGAATTACAGTCAACGAACACTGAATTCCCTTGAACCGTTCAATAGCAGTGTCGCGCTCTGTGCAAGTTGATGCCAATTCGCCGTACGCATTTTCAAGCAAAGAGTTTTGTTTCTGTAAATTGTCTGCAAGTGTAGCAATTTCTGTCGAGTATGACTCCTATCATCAAAAAGATTCATTATCAAAAAATTAGCTGCACATTTTAAAAGAATAACCCAAAATAATTTTAAATAATTTTAAATACAGTAGCAAGACCAACTCTATTTGGAACAACACCTTAAACACTACCTTTATGCTCGCTTGAAAAGCCGCCGTCTCTGCTTGGTACTGAATCAACACCTGTCTAGTGTCGTCAAATAAAGTCTTGGTAGATGTAGCCAACTCATCTTTTATACCCACAATGGATTGCTTTATCAAAGAACACTCTGATAAAAGCGGAGAAACAGTTGCAATAATTTTATCAGAGTTCATCTGAGATGACTGCTGCAAAAGCTCTCTATTTCGAACAAAAGTGTTTCTTGATTCTTCGCTTATTGAAGCAAGTTGAGACTTGAGGGATGAAACAAGAGACTGACTTTCTTGAAGTTGATACTCGGACTCGATCATCTTTTGCTTCATCAGAGATTGATCATTTAACCACGACGTCTTCATCTGATGATATACAGCAGATACTTGAGCAGTAGACTCCAAAATAGTGTCAAGTGTGGTAGATACTGTATCCTGATGCGCAAGTAAAGGAGTGTTTGAATTATTTTGCGATATCTGAGGATTGGAATCGGGTTGGAATTGAAAATCTTGCGATTCCATGATCGAATCATGATCATCAAAGGCAGGCATTTCAGTAGCAGACACGGTGCCAAAAGAAGCACCCCAATATCGGATATCATGGTCTGTGGTATTTTTTCCTGTTGTTCCTATGTATGCAGAAGTAGTTTTTTGAGAATGATCCACGCCATTGTCCATGCCATTAGCAAGATCGGCAGGTAATTCAGAAATGGCTTGAGAAGCTTGAATCTCAACATCACATACTTGTTTGGTGTCAAAGTGAGTTAAAGGAAGACTTGCTAGTGTAGACACAGACAGTTGATTGTTTAGTTTGTCGTCAACCTCGATGAATTCGTCTTGTTTGCGTGGTATTACAGTCCTATTGCCAGAATCGATACACGCTGATTCTTGCTCCATGACAATGTTTTCCTGTTCAGATGCAAACAACAATTGAGCAGAAATGTCTGCATGTTCAATGACAGTACTAATGGGTTTAGTAGGAGTCAATGTTCCTTCAGATTCATGCTCGGTTTCTTGAACAGAATCTTGCTTAATCATGTCATTACAAGCATAAACTTGCGTTGCAGTAGAGAGAACATCACGCACTGCATTTACATTAGAATCAAATGGTATATCAACATCACAGTTCATGGTTTCTAAACGAACAGGACTATTAGAAGCCGTAGTGTCCATCAAATCAATTTGTTCAGTAGTGGATTGGATGACAGAAATGTCCGAAACACAATTTTTTAGTCCAGATTCACAAGACTGCACATCAGATTGGACAATATTTGAAGTAAAAAGTTGATTAGAATGCAGAGAATCCTGTTTAGATGGAGTCAAACTTGACAATTCACTTCCAGAATTCAAAACAGACAATGGCTGCTGAATGGATTGAGACTGTGAGCCAGCATCAAGCTGAGTAGGAATAAGCTGAGAATCCGAATCAGTGTCTGAATAAAGCAAATTCACTATAAAACATACACATGAAATGAATCTTAATTAGCTGAATGTGTTGTCAGTTGTGTAACGTCTTGATACGCTAATCAATGCAGTTCAAGTTTACTGCATGACAATCAAGCAAACTCAACTTGAATTGCCATCACAGTGAATGACATTGTTTATGGTTGCAACTCTCATAGTAGGAATGGATTGAGTTGGATCGATGTGATCATCAGGCGTGGGTTGAGAACTGCTCGATTCATCTCCATACAAACAAGTAAAAGATTCCATTAGATAAACGGCAGGTCCAGAATTGATAGTAAATTTGTATTCGATTCAATCAACAATTTTCTAAAAAAAACTTGTCCGAAAAAACAACGTTTGCAATTCAATCTTCATTTTTTATGCATATCGACCTTTTGCCATTCCTGCTTTACTGCTGGGATATTCTGCTTTACTTGTCTTTATATTACTTGTCGCGACTTCTGATGACACTTTTTCTACTTTTCCTAATACGCGTCGTTGATCCACCGATCGTCTGCGTTGGTGTGTTGTCCCTTGTGGTTGATATCCATCTCCACTTCCCAATATATCGTTGCTGGAATATCCTGAAATATCTTCTTCTCCCATCAGGTCTGATGATACGTACATGTCTTCACTCTCCTGAAACAGTGTATAATCCAACATTCCTTTCAATGCTGTAATTTCTCGGCCTCCATGCTTGGGTGCCTCATTTTGCAATGTTGTTCTCTCTGGAAGTTCAATCTATAAATAGTCATACTGGTTTTAGCATACAACTATATACCAGTGACATTGGGCTATTTAAAAAAACATCATGTAAATTTAACCCATGAGTCAATTACCGGAAGTGTTAGAATATTATCATATCGATATCGTGGATTGGTATCACCCATCGTCATCATAATTTTGGAGTATTGACATATCGGCCTTTTGATTGTTGGTATAGACACTGGAAGATCCACGTGCTGTTTTAGATCTCGCTGTGTAGTCATTATCCAGTCATCCTTTTCTTCATCGTACAACGCACGCTTTTCAATTTTAATTCGTTCTTCTGTGGGTATAAAATTATCAATTATTGTCAACTTTAAACTCAATTCTCTTGATAGTTCTCTGATTGTATCGAGTAGATCCTCGCGTTCATTGCGAAACTCGTCCTTGGCATCTGAGATCTCTGTTTTGACTTCTTGTAGTTTTGTCCATAGCTTCATAAGTTTCTTGGTTTTGACATCAACTTCTTCTTGTAAAGATGCATGGCTTTCCTCCAACTGTAACTGTGCTTCTTGCTTTTGCTCAAGCTGTAGCTGCAATTCCCGTTCGCGTCGATGCTGCTCTTGAAGCTTATTTTGTGCCTCCAATAACTCACGCTCCTGCTCATTAATCTTATCTACAATGTTCAATCCTCCTATTAATAATTTTCCCTCCATTGCCTTTAACTTGGATTCTAAAAACTCTCGCTCCTGTCGCTCCTTTTCAAGATCTGCTGCACGTTTCTCTAGCTCCATTGCAATGCGCTCCTTTTCTTCAATAACAATGTCTTTTGACGCAAGAAGCGCTCGTTTTTCAGCCTCTACTTCAGCTTGCAGTTTAGCAATAGTTTCGGGATCAAGTTGTGCTAAATTACAGCTAGAGTTTTCTGTAATGATGTTTTGCTCTACATTCAAACTACTCTCGTCATCTCCCTGCTTGTCTTGAGTTGCTATGCTTTCCTCAATCACATCGGAAAAAGCATAATTTTGGCTTTCAGACTCTGTTTGGTTACCAACTTCATCAACTAAATCGGATTCAGGTGCATTCTTTTTTCGCTGAATAAGCTTTTGCACCTTTTTGGTAACCTGCTTTTTGATGACTTTGGTAATAATACGCGGAGCTCCTCCTCCTTGCTTTCTAGCTTCAAGAGCTCGTCGAAGGTTTTCAATTTCTTCTTGGTATTCTCGAAGCATTGTATCTTTTGGATCTTCATTGACCACTGGCTTATTCTTGATACTCTTGGCACGATTTGCATATCTCAGAGTGCTTAGTGTTTCTTCAAAATTGTAGCTTGCTGGACTAAGAGTGGCAATCATGAGCGTTTTTGCATTTCCACCCAAAGAGTCTTGAAGAAGTCGAGTGAGTTTAGAATCGCGATAGGGAATGTGTGAACTGCGACCATCTACAAGTGCTGAAATGCAATTTCCAAGTGCTGAAAGTGACAAATTAATCTTGGTGGCTTCTTTAAGTCGGTCTCCCGACGCACCCGTTTTGGATTGTCGTTCAGATCCTGCAAGGTCAACCAAATTAAGTTTTCCTGAAACGTAACGATCCTGTCCATCCGGTCCAGGCTCGGATGATTCAATAGTAATACTAAAAATAGAATGCGATCGTGACGAGTTTTCATTCATCAGTGTCGCGCCAACAGACCGATGCTTATTTCCTACATCCATCAAATGCTCCATCTCCTCAACGCTCTTTACAACAAATGCTGATAGATCTTTAACATAGATACCCGTTTCTGGATGTTCTTTGAGATCAAGACCACCTTTTGGATTTTTGTTGGCTTTGATAAGCAAGTCCTTGATTTCCTCATTGTAAATTTCTAAAAATGAAACTCGTACAAGAAACTTTTTTTGTGATGTTTGAGCAATGTGATCAAAAATATGATGAAAAGTCTTTGGAATGATACCCCGAAGATGCGGAGTGGTTGGTATACCCTGCATTGAAAAGGTTTTACCCGTACCAGTCTGACCTAAATAGTGCAGTGTTTGACAAACTCTTTAGTATGATATCCCAGTCTATGAGCGTATTCTACAGTTCAAAAAATGACTTGAATTCAACCAGCATCCTATGTACATACCATATACAAGTACTGTGCCATTAAAACCTTCTAGGGCAGCATCCACAATGACTTGCGCGGTTTCAGAGTATACCTCGGTCTAATATGGTTTAAAATAGTAGATTGCCCCAGTATTTGATAAAATCTGGTTGTTAGTCGCGAATAAATAGTATTGAATTGACCATGTATCCAACCGATTTTTTTGGTTAAACAAAACTAGCAAAACCAAATCACTTGCCTGAGTACATCCTTCATCAAATGCCGAGTCAAACGTAAACGTTTTGATGTCGCTTTCTTGTTTTGGATTTTTTAACGAAATGACACAGTTTTTTGGATCAATGTTGCATATTTTGAAATGACCTGCAGCCTTTTCCTTTTCACTAAAAGGCCTACATCGACAAACCACCATAACATTTTCTGCACCGTGCGTCATAATTGTCATGTATTGATACAGCTATTGGTTTTTAGTAATGTATATTTGGTTCGCGTGAATGAACAAGTTCAGCTAAAAATGGGTTGGAGAATTAAACTCTAAAGATACTAAACAGAAAAACTTGCTTTATAGATGCATTAGTATAGGTTAAACCATGGGTTTATGGCCAAAACTTGGCAAGTTTCCATCACGTGTTGTAGATTAAATTCATATGAACATGGTTTCGTGTCGTATCATTAAATATTTAAACCGACAAACCACGTTTGGCTGTATTATTCATGTCAAAAGACGATATTCTAGATAAACTACGGGCTGCACTTGCACTTGTTGAAACAGTCAAACAAGATAATGAGTGTTACCGCGAGAATTTCGAGCAGGTTTGTATATCAACGCCCGAGTTTTTAATGTGCATCTACCGCCATGTAACATTGTAACTACAAGCCAATCAAAACTTTAAACTACAGTTTAACTGTATGTGAAAAAATGTTTAATGATTATGATATATTTTCAGCTCATCCATTTTACACTTGAATCGAATTTGATGACCATGTAACAGCTCAAGGAAGCTTATGCAACACTTCAAACTAAATCTGAAGAAGCTGCTAAAGAGTATAAAGTAGCTCTCAAAGAAAAGGTGAGTTTTATGTCCGTCTAGTGCAAATGTCTATACACAGATTTGTATTTGAATCAAATGAATCATATCAAACTATTTATTTATACACTTTTAGGAAATTGCTGAACAAGACACCACTAAATCATTGCAGTTTTGGAAACAGTTGGTTGACCAAAGAGATACAGAGATGGATCATATCAGGGCTAAAATGGAGTCTACATCGTAAATTCACACTTTGAGTTTGACATTGGTTTGAATGATCAATGCATTGAATCGTTTTTATGAAATAGAGATATGGAGGTACTACGACTGCAGATTCAAAATGAGCTTGAGCAATCACAAAAATCTAAATGGGTGCTTTTGTCAAAGGTTAGCTGTATCTCGGTGAAACTCTGCAAAAGTGTTTAGATTTGTCAAAATATTTGGATAGGATATTATGTCTTGACAAGTATGATGGTTTACAGTAGATTCTAAATTCAAACCTTTGAGTTGATTAGGAAAATGACAAGTACAGAGATTTGTACTATAAATCCAAACGCGAGGTTGAATCACTTTACTTGGATAAGGATCAATTGGTATGTTTAAACCACATGATTAAGCATAACAGTTTATTTTGATAGCACTGTTGCTTATATTTTTATCTATGATGAATGTGATATGATTTCAATTCAGAACTCGCGCCATGCCAGAGAGATCAAGGAAATCCATATAGCAAAATTGGAAGAAGTTAAGCAATGGGAAGCACGATTTTTGACTTTGCAACAGTCTTTGGGTAAGTTTATAAACCTGGTGTGATCAATACTGTATCAGGGTGTAATATGACATATCAAATAATGTATTGATTTTTATTTTGTACAAATAATATGCATTACTAGATGCCGAATCTGATACTGAACGGCTTCGCATAGTCCAGCGTGAAAAAGTGGAATTGGAGCTTAAAACAACTATGCTTCTTTCTGAACTTGACGAAGTGAGGTGAGTTGATGAATTATAGTTTATTGGCTCAAGTCAATATCCACAGTAATATTCTTGCCATAGATTCACGAGTACAAATATTGCAAATTGCTAACATTTACACCAACGTGATTCAATGCAATTTGAATAAATTAGGGCAGAAAAAGAACAGCTTAGACTAGATTATGAACAGAATCTGCGCTCTCACAAACGGCAACTTGCTGAACAGCTTGGTGAGGCCAAAGTTCTTCAAACAGAAAAAGACTCACTGCAAGCAAATGTTGCATCTTTGGAACAGGAATTGAGCAAAACATTGCGTCATCAAGATGATCTTACAGCCGAATGTATATCTTTAAAAAAGGAGCTTGATAAGACTAAAAGTAGAATGGAGGAAAATACTCATCAATTCAAGTAAGAATCGCGGTGTTGGCCATGTTACTGAAATGTGTTGATATACTAAACATGCACAATAATCTGCTACTGGTGGAACTTTATCATTTATTTTACACTATTGTAGCGTAAATATCAGCGACATGAAGATGACAGTGTTGAAGGAGCGTACTGAAAACCAGAATGTGGTTGGTGATTTAAAGGATAAGATTGTTGAGCTTAAGAGGTATTTTACGCCACTTTTGATCATTTAATTGCTATCAAAACTAACTTTAATTTGTTGTGATATCAATTCAAGTTCAATCAAGACGTTAAATAGTACAATTCAAGACATGTCACATAAAATATGCCATAGTGAAAAGGAGCATATGGAAAAATGCAGATTGATCCGAGAAGAAGAGTGGGCCAAACTGTCTACTCTTGAAAGTGAAAAGGCGGATGTAAGTTGCGCTTTTATCTTGTACCCAGCATTGATTGTTTTTAATATATCAAAAGCTAATTTAAAAATAAATATATTGATAGATTGAGCGAAGCTTGGAAGTGTTTAAACAGCGATTGTCTGAACTTCATAATAGAGACGAATCATTCCGTCAGCAGACATCTACGGTAAATAGTCGATTCTTTAAGCAAGCAATGATTTGGATATCAGTGCTGAATTCCATTATTGTGCATGGTTTGATTTCAACTATATACTGTATAGGAGCAAGATCGTCTCAAGGCTGAAATACGCGAACTGACATCCAATCAAGAGTCATTAAATTCCATGAACAAATCATTGATAAGCGAAAGAGACAACTTTCAATCAGAATGTAATCATCTTCAATCACGCTGTCTTGAAATAGACACTATGTTGAGTACCGCAAATTCCAGCCTGGAAGACTACAAGCAGAAACTAAATTCACAACAGTAATACATTGATGGATGATCCGTAGACTATTTTGGATAAAAGTATGTGTTCAACATTTACCCATCAACTAATTCATGATATCATTTAGTCAAAAAACTACACTGCTTGAACAGTCTGTCAAAAATCACATTTTGGATCTTGAGCTGTTGCAAGATCAATCCAACAAAGAGCGCGAAGCACTTATGCATGATTTGGAAAGACAAAAGGTAAGCCAAGATAAATACATACTAGTTCTATTTTATAATTCCATACTGATTGTATTTTATATTGCGTTATGACGTTGTTAGAGTTTTCTCTTGCAAGAGCGACTCCAGTCAGCCAAAAAGATAGAGTCTTTATCTCAAGATAATTTAAAAAATCGTGAAAAAGCAGCAAAGCTATGCAATGTTCTTGAACAGGTAAATGCAGTTCAAGCTGAAGAACAATATAATTTGTATAGACACTGTTTCTATAAGATACCAACAAAGTTTTATATTTTTAGCAAGATCAACGTTATGGATCCAAATTGGAATCTTTTAAAAACAAGATTCGCGCATACAAAACAGAGGTTCAAACTCTAAAGTATGTTTTTTGAATGTTTAAATTAAGAAATATGATTTAATCTGTATATTACACTAGGCAATCGCTCGATACCCAGATCAAATTGGCAGGAACTCAACAGGAAGAAATGCATCGCAGACAAACAGGATTCATGAGTTTCTTGCAATCAGAAGGAATATAAGCAAGTTTCAATTTTATTTATATCTTTAATAGTTTGAAAATAGAGGTTGCTATAAATTGAATAGAAATATAAAGCCCAGCACAAATCTGTTATGCTTTACTGCGTAAATTTACATTTTTATTAGAGTCAAGTTATTGCATTTGGCAAATCCAAGCACTTGGATGGATGCAGTTGGAGAGTTGCATGAATGCAATATATGCAATAAATATATGCAATTTGGCTGAATAGTCAAGATTCTTACCATACCAGGTCACGTGTCTAATATAAATGCGTTCTAGTAAAACCCGAGCTTGTTTTCCAAGCAACCAATATCTAATCTTGACTATCAATATTTGGTCAACTTTATATTGCATTCTCAACAGCAATGGAGATAATCACAGCAGTATCCAAACTGGACGTAGTGTTGTTACGGAAACTAATTGATGGACCCGAGTCGGCTCAGCATGATATTAATTTTGCGGGACCAGATGATGGACGAACGGCTTTGCATATTGCTGCCAGTAATGGCAGTAGTGCATGTCTTGAAATGCTACTTCAACAGGTACTGTTCAATATTGCCATGCATTGATATCATTTCACCGTGTTGCAACAGGCACGGAATATTACTCGATATAATATGGGGCAGGCGACACGTAGGGTGTCGAGTATTGCGCAACTAATGGAATGGTAAACAGTCGAGGCCATTTGTGTATACAGTAGTTGTGATAGTGGGGTACAGCCACGCTTACTACACCTCAACTCCTGCATCTCCATGTCCTGGATGTCCGTACGAGTCTAGCTTCATAGCAGACACCCGTTCAACAGCAATAGCTGCATTTCAATTGGTGAACTCGTACTAATACTATCGAGTTCCTGCTTTAGCCTACAATTAATATTGACGCTGTAGATTTACAAGGCAACACCGCTTTGCATTTGGCTGCTGCCTGTCGAGAAATGGATGCTGTGCGGCGGATTCTTAGCTATGGGCCGGATTTGCTAATCAAAAATAAATTAGGCAACTGTGCTTGCGAATATACTGACGATCCTCAAATCGAATCACTTATCCAAGGTATTTGGCTTGAAATATACTTGTATCCATAGATAGTCGGACTATGTTGTATAGATGGTCAATACTAACACGTTTAAATAACCGTGATTCAATCGTTAGAACGCATCACTGCATCTCGAAATATATTGCAGGCAAGCCAGTTGATGAGTGCAGTATTTATTGGCAGTCATGATATATGTCACTAACTCTGTTTGTGGGCTCATGTTAATATAACAGTGGAAAAAAACACAATTGGGCCAGCTTGACAGCGAACTACCTTCAGATCCTGTCAAACTCAAGGAGCTTTGCATAGAATTACTTATAGGACAAGCCATATTTGAAGACAGATGCCAGGTAAGTCGCTGCATCTATTATAAAATGTCGATTGTTTATTCCAGGATATTTATCGAATTTTCAATGATGTTGTACCAACTTTATCATGTTTTTAACAGGACGCTCTTCATCAGCTTATTGAAGAAAAGCACATATCAATGTACAAAAATCGACTAATGGAAGTAAGTGTCATGATTAACAAAAACCATGTTTATTTACACTTGCCTTTGCTTTGGAATTCCATGACACATGAACGTGATTACCATATTGATTGAAATCTACCAACTATACTGATATCATTCTATATGTGGACACTTGAATAAAATAGCAATCAGTCGGTATTCCAGATAGAGAAACCGGAGAAAAGTATATGATGCAGCTTCAGTTTTGGCAGGACGAAATTGAGCGACAGGCTTCAACTATATCGTATTTAAAGGTACTTTATTGAACCACATTTTTGATTAAATATTCATACTATTTAATTCAACTAATTCCATGAAAATTATCATTTTGTCGTATAAACAATCTGGTGTAAAGTTGCAAATCCAAGTTCTTGAAACTACAGCAGCGCAACAGGAGGATTACTACAAACAAAATCTAGCAAATATCACAAAGCAGCAGAAAGATCAAGTTCAAACTATTTTTAAACGTGCAGAAGAAACAGAACGAGCATTTTTGGTAAGAGTATATATAGCAGTAGAAAAGAAAGTGTCAAGATTTTAATATCAACACATGAATCTTTGTAGAACTATCAAAAAAAACATTCCGAAGATGCTATTAAAGCAAGTCAGTTGCACATTTTAAACGAAAATGCTGATGCTAGTGTTGCTTCAAAAGAAACTGAAGACTCTGAAGGAAATACAAAAATATACAGACAATATATTGAAGTGAAGGCTCAGTTGGATGATGCCGAAGCGCAACGCATTATGCTTGAGGAGCGTTTCAAGGTAAGCATGGATTGGAGTGTGTTTGGTAAAAGTAAACAATGCAGTTACCTATTTCCAAAAAGCTAAACCATTGACAAATTATTTCATCCTCTAGTCAAGTGAGAATCTTAGAATGTTGGCGGAATTAGAAGCACAGGATCTTCGTGCAGAAATTGAGAAACTTCGCAAAGGCATTACTGAAAAAGTAATATCTGCTTATTCAAGGCACTATTTCTCGAATCATGTTAATGGTTTGTCAAATGATATATTGCTGACATGACTGATTTAATTGGTATTAGGTCATGTTCCAAATCGAGGAAGGGCAGCAGAAACAAAACAAACAAGACGAAAAAGATGAATCACTTGGAGAAATTATATTTTTAAAAAACGAAGCAGGCCAAAAAAGTGTCAAGGCTGGGACAATCGACAAACTTATTGAGCGTCTTGTAGATCCTGCAACTTATGGTGAATATCTCGATATTTTTTGGAGTTATAGTTCTTGATTATGATATACTTGATATTGACATTCATATTGGTGGATTTTAGACAACCAATACTTGCAGGCATTACTGCTAACCCATACTGTTTATATTGACAGCAAGGAATTGCTTGAACGAATCACAAAGATTTGCCGCGATAGTATTAGCTCAGCATCCAAATCTCTAGAACCTGGATCAACTTCGTCTAATTCATCGTCTGTTATTCTAAAGTATGACTGATTTAATATAGTATTCATAATTCACTTGTGATTTAATATCGACTATTCTAATCACAGTTTTTTTATGTTGTCAGGGCTGCAAATATGATCAAGTATTGGATGGAGCAGTATTGGTCTGATTTTCAGTCCAATCCAAAGCTAGTTCAATTGTTGACTACATTTATGGATGCTCTTGAAAACCCCAAGCTTGCACAAATGCTAAAGACATGCATGAACCGAAAGGTAGAGAAACATATTGGAAAGATATTTATTGTTTCTCTGGCCGCGTTTAACGAGTATTGTTCAATATTGCATAGCTTACCGGAGTGGAAGCACCACTAATTGAAATGCCATCACAATGTCCAAAACCAATTCTTCCAAAAGCGTTGCTAAAGCGTGTTTCTACAGACATTGCATCAAACCGCGAATCAAAAATGATGGAAACAGTATCTCGTCCAATCAGTGCTCCATGGAGTGCGTTCAACAAGAAATCTGAAATTTTTATGGATGATTTGAAACTCAAGATGGTTGATTTAGATCCCATCGAGGTTGCTCGCCAATTGACTTTAATTGAATTTGAGCTTTTTAATGCAATCAAGGTACAATTTCTAGTGGTCATTTATATGTTTATCTAGAGTGCATTGGCGGATGTATAATAGACTTGACATTTACAACTATCCAATACATGATTAGGCCCGCGAGTTTTTGGATTTGGCTTGGATGAAGGATGACAAGGAAACACGTGCACCCAATATTATTCGCATGGTGCGCTGGTCTAACCATGTCGTTCATTGGTTGATTACTGAAATTGTTACCATCAAAGACAATATCAAGCTTCGTGCCGCGATGATGGAAAAAATTATTGCATTGGCTCAGGTATAGCTTATTGAAAATTTGTTTAGACCGAGTTGATAGTGATGAGTATTAATGCATGGCTTGAGGAAATATTAGCAATTGGAAAAACTCAACAACTTTAACGGGGTCAAGGAAGTGCTTGCTGCACTTCAATCTTCCTCTGTCTATCGACTCAAGAAAACTAAGGAGGTACGTGTTTATTGTATGGTGGTAAAGCCAATGGATTACAATGAATATCATACTAATTTTATGCACCCTTATATACTTGATTGAAACTGACAACTGTGTTTGTACTGGTATAGCTGATTGGTGGAAAATTTATCAAATCTTTTGAAGAGTTGAAGCGGTTGACGTCGAGTGAGCTGAATTACAAGCTTTTGAGAACAAAGGTTCACGCTGTAGAGCCTCCGCTTGTACCCTTTCCTGGGGTTTATCAAGGAGATTTGGTATGTTTGTTTTGACGGGGATCCATATTATTTTAAAAGCAATTCAATATTATACTGACTTTGTAACTGGATGAATGGCTCAAAATGATATGGATATGCAGGTGTTTTTGGAAACTTGTGGCAAGACAAAATTAGAGGGCAATTTGATCAACTTCCAAAAGTTTCAAAAGATTGCCAGTTATGTGCTTGAACTTCAGGTAAATTGATATTTCCACTTGAATACAGGATTGCTTATTCTGTGGGCTGGCAGTATTTCTGACCATTTTCCTGTGGTATCTCAGACATATCAGCAAGTACCCTACCAACTAGGTCCAGTGCCAGAAATTCAAGATTTTCTTCGGAATTATCCAGTTTTGGACGATGATCAAACATATGGATTATCACTTGCTTGCGAGCCCAGATTTGCAACTAGAGGTGGTTTTGCAAATACTTGAGTTTGCAAATGTTAATGTTGGATTTTTTCAAAAATACAAACTTTTTCATTTGCATTTTAATCAAATGTCGAGTGGTATGCAGCCCTTGAATGTTCTAGCACTATTTCCAAAATATTGTCTTGTAAGATCTTTAAACTAGGTGAATTGAAATTGCATATTATTTGGTTCGTGCAGGTTTTATTCAAGACAATCAGAAACAGAATCGGTAAGTCACATATTTTCCAGCAGTCTCGCTTGGACGAATAATCTTGACCACCTGTCCACGTTTCAAACCATAGTATCTTGCCACTGGATCTGATGGTTGTATGCGAGGAAGTTGTGTTTCTTTTAAACGACTGTCAAAATAGAGCATTTTATAAGAGTACAATGAAATTTCCATAAGATTAAAACCGATACCAAGTGTGGCTGAGATGTCGGTAAAAACAATAATACGTACTATCGAGCAAGAAGCGTCTTCTTTTCGTCTACTGTCAGCACTTCGTGTACGGGAACCAATGTATGCTGAGTGATGTTGACAAGCAGTTCAGATTCTTGGAACAGCTCCAACTGATACTTGGGTGCCATTTCTTGAACAACCTAAAAATACATGATAAATAAGTCTGGATTTGGAGAAGCAGTTTGGCTTTTACATCTAGGCGTCTACAATGGACTTCATAAAAGTCATCAAGTCGAAAAAACAAACCTTGTTTGCTGATGGAGTCAACGATTTCTTGTAAATAAGAATTCCCTTCATGATACTTTGTGAAATCATACGTTCGCAAATCCTATTACAATAGAAACAGAAATATGCATTTAAAATTTTCAATCTGTCATATAACCTCATGAATCATGCAAGTCAAATTAGGTAGTCTTACTTTTTAATAGGCTTAATGCCAACCGAGTCGTCGTCTGTAAAAAAAACCAACAGCTGATCATTTTCAGAAGATGAGTGCTGCACTAGAAAAGTCAAGCCTTGGCGACTAGAAAGTTGGAAATAGCCGGGTTAGCATCACGATCCGACATATCCAACAATTCGGCAAGATGAATTGTGGCATTTCTAGTAAAAATATAGTGTTTTGCTCCATCAAGAAATAAATAATATTGTTTCTCGTGGTAGAAAACCAGTATATGTCGAATCCAGAAAATGCTGAATCAAATCCAACTTGAATGTACATGTTCCTACTCTATGATGCCGCCTTTGGTGTAAGTATAGCGGAAATCGTCAAGAGACATTTCCAATTCAGCCTTGGATACCAAATAACCTCGATGGCTGACCATTTCATGAATAGTTCTATAAACTCGCCAGAGTTTGGAAACCTCTCTGTCTTCATCCATTTCTTGTGTGTGGACTAAGACTTGTGAGCGTGAGTTGAACCAACATGCAAATTTTTAAACCAGAGTGAAAAATAATCACGTGATATGATATTGTACTTGTTTGCAGCCATTGACCAGGAAAACACACAAAATATTTATATTTCGACCTAATCTTGCCATTCTTGAAACCATTCTGGTGACAGAAAGCAAGCTGTTGTTGCAGTATTTCAACCATGTAAATAATTTGTAAAATTACACGATTGGTCCAGACTAGTGTACAAATTCTGTAGAGTTTGATTGACAACAGTTGAACTCAATATCTGGATTGCAAAATTGCCAATTGTACAATGTATGATCATACCAAATGAGAACAATCTCATTTTCAAACTGTAGTTTGAGAGTATTATATGAATATTTATTGTAATTCCAAAGTCTGCAAGTATTCCATCTTGCGTAAATACGCTGTAAATCTAGAATCGAGTTGGGAAATATCGATGATTTGAGCTGTAACAATCGAATCAATGCTTTATTCTACTGCTGTCTGCTTTTTTTTGAGTATATTCTGATGGTCTCACATCATGACTCTTCAAGTGTTGTTGATGCTACAAGAGCAAGACTTTATTCACTCCTGAATGCTGCAGATGAAGAACTTCAGCTTGATTCTCGGATTGTTTTCAGAAACAAGCAACTGATGCTTCGTTTATCTACTTACAAGGACCGTTGCTGGCCACTTAAACCTTGCCAACTATCTCCTTTAATCTGTGCTTCTCATGGCTGGTTTAATGATTCGCTCAATACTCTTTTATGCACCGACTGTGGTGCTCTTGTGGTCTGTAATGTCAGATTAGGATCTACTTCAGGTAATCCTTGAGTTTATCTGTCATGTATCCACTGGTCGAGTCACTTGGCATAATAACTAATTGCTTGTATTTTGAATGGCTGGTTTGCTCAATATTGCATAACAGACACTATAGTACAGAAATATGTGGGCTTGTTGCAGTCAACTCACAAGGATAGTTGTACATGGAGGATATATGCTATTCCTGAACATGAATACAGATTTCCTTTGATAGGCTACACGCAAACTCTTTTTGCCTTTTATAAACGACGGGACTCGCTGGTTGGAGTTGTTGCAGATCTGGCAATCACTCTGCAGTCGGTAGATGTCCAAGAAAACATTGAAAGTGTATTACATGACATAGCTCAACTCAACAATGATTCGACTACAGATTGCTTGCAACATCGCAAACACTCTCAGTTTCCATCATCCTGCACTGCATTTCAGATGGCTTTATTCGGGTGGGAATACGTTGCTTCTAAATCTGAAAAACCAGCAACTGGGATCAATACTGTTCAATGTGCTATTTGCCTTCGTGAATGTGGTGTCTGGCAGTTTGCTAATACATTAAATTCTCAGCCGAGTCGATCCCCATTTGACGTAATCATGGAACATCGTTGGTTTTGTCCTTGGATCACTGCTGCTGGTAGTCAACAGAAACCAGGATGGAAAATTACTGTGGATAAAATCACCTCAAGACTACCTAGATGATCATGCCAATCACTAATCTACTGGAAATCGACATTGGACATTGGACATCAGCATTCATTCTTGCATATATAATAATAAATTAGATGGTCAATTTCCACAAGAATTCATATTTAAAATGGATTATTGCACCAAGTATTGCAAACTTCAAGAATTGGCACTTGTCTGAAGCCAAATGATGTCGAGTTTCGTATAATGAATTAGATTTCCCCAAATATCAGCATCACTCTAGATGATTGAATATCTTCTGACTGTGATTCCTATTGCTGTAGCAACTCTACTTTGTGGTTACATTGTTGCTTTGCGGTTAATTCCATATCAACGACAAAGAGTAGCTGTTCTTGTGTTGGGCGATCTGGGACACTCTCCTCGCATGCAGAACCATGTTCTTTCGTTAGTTCAGAATGGGTTTGAGGTGGACTTTATCGGATACAAAAACTCACAATTAAGACAGGATATCAGCAAGGCAGCCAATTTGATATGTATTCCTTCTCCTGCCAAGATTCGCACATTGAATAAGCGACTATTTATTTTGCTGGGTTTGTGGAGGTCCATCTCTCAAACACTGCGACTATTTTGGATTCTAATATATGCTATTCGGAAACCAGAATATCTGTTGATTCAAGTATGTTACTGAGTCATTCTGTAGCTATAGATTAGACTGAGTCAGTAGTTGGACTCTGAATATATTGTTTTCATTTGATGACAGAATCCGCCTGCTATCCCAACTTTGCTGGTTGCTCGACTTGTCACCATTCTTTTGGGAAACAAATTGATTATTGATTGGCACAATTTTGGATACTCTCTCATGTCTGACCAATTTGCCAAGAATAAACTCTTGTTTCTCTTTCTTACAAAGTAAGTTTCAATCTAATTTTACTTGATGCTTTTACCAACCCATTAATACTTGTTCATCTCCAAATAGATACGAGCAGTGGTGCGGATCTGGTGCATTTTTGCATTTGTGCGTGACGGAAGCAATGGCTAAAGAGCTACAGTTTTCATGGCAGATTCGGTAATTTCTGGCATCAGTTTTTTATTGTATGGTTGTGTTCAATTGATTTAAAGTGTAATGCTTAATTGATTTTAGAGGCAAGGTGGTTGTACTCTACGACAAGCCCGCAGCACATTTTAAGCAAATATCCCCAATAGAGCAGCATAATGTAGGCATTTATTCATTCCTAGCTTTTGTAGTTTCAAAACTGGATTTGAAAATGTAGTTTACTAACCTCACAAACAGCTATTTAGTCGCCTAGACATGTCTTCTCAAACTATACAGTACAAGAATCCTAACTCGAACGAATCAGAACTCATTTTCACAAAGTCGACTGCTAAAGGATTGGCTGAATTAAAACCCGATCGTCCTGCTCTGATTGTTAGTTGTACGTCCTGGACACCAGATGAAGATTTTGGTATTCTATTTCGCGCACTATCACTTTACGACTGTGCTGCCCAAGATCGACTTACCAAAAACAAAGTCACTGTGCCACTGTCTAAATTGATTGTTATTATCACCGGGAAAGGACCACTACGGAGCAGTTTTGAACAGCTCGCGACTGACTTGAAGCTGCAACATGTATCCATCAAGTTTGCCTGGCTAGAACCTCAAGATTACCCAATACTTGTTGCTGCCGCGGATTTGGGCATCTCACTCCATACATCGTCATCGGGCTTAGATCTTCCCATGAAAATTATAGACATGTTTGGTTGCGGTACTCCAGTGTGCACCTATTACTACCCAACGTATGTTATATGCTTGCTCAAACCTTTGACTGTTTAAACACTTGTTGATGATGGATTTCAAGTTGACCACTATTCTATTTAAACTTTACAGCATCTGTGAACTAGTTCAAAACAATCAAAATGGCGTATACTTTCAGGACGAAACGGAGCTTTTTAAAAAACTAGTTGACTTAATTGGCAATTTTCCAGCACCAAATGCTTCTATTTCTACCTTGATACAGGGTGTAGGTGAATTCAAGTCAACATGGGAGAACCATTGGCGCGAGCGTGTACTTCCTTTAATTCAATAAACTTTCAAAAGACTGCACTACCTTGGCACTTTAAACTTTGACTACCGCAAAATAATACATTACAGTGACAGTATTATCACTTGGATTTATTTATGATTTGAAAATAATAGTAATTAAACTATACAAATGAAATTGAAAAGTCGGTTGGAGTTCCTTCATTGCTAGAATTTAGAAATAAAGGTGGCAGTTTTTGGTGCGACTGTGACAGTTCTGTTTTTTCTCGAATTTTTGCTTTCTAAAACAATGATCAAAATGCTGTCAAGTATACTATTTATCATGTATGCATACATCTGCCATTACTAACCTTTTGAGCCAGAGTCATTGGCTGCATTACACCAACAATAGGTGTCTTGCTAAATATCTTGTTGAAAGTAGCATCACGATTGTTCATTTCTCTCTTGAAATAATTGAGTTCGCCCTAGTGACAAGTGTTAGCTGATATGAAAATACTACATTTCTATTGAATACTTACCAGCAACGATGATATTTTTTCCTTTTGTCCATCTATTTGCTGTTTAAGCTCGGATATCGTTTGAATATCTACATCCCTTGGCTCTCTATTTATATACTTTATGTCTGCATCTTGCAATCTAAATATAAATGAGCGATTTTTGATAAACTTGCCATTTCAAAATACCGTGTTACGTAAAAATAGCGCATAATCAACTCACTGTTTAGCTTGAAGAGAAATCTGTTTTTTCAAAAACAGTTTGGCTTTTTCAAAATCTTGAAGCATAATTTGCAATTCCCTAACATGTTCCGTTTTAACCAATTCAATCTCCTTTTGTAAATCGGCTTCAAATTGAATCACGCTTTCTTCCAGTATTTTGCGACTTTCAGCTCTATATCAAGCACATTTGTAGTATAGGAATGATCAATCACAAATTATATTCAAAATGAACTGCATTTGAAAACATGTATTGAGTGAAACCAAATATACTCTACCCATTTGTTTCCATCAGCGCGATTGTATCGGATAACTTTTTCAAAGCACCTGCAAGATTACTTTCCAGTACTTGAATTTGCTGTTTAAGAAGATTGATTTGCTCCTATATAGTTGACCGTTATCAAGCCCGTGAATTTAGTCAATAGTATCAAACAAACAAAAATCAATTGTGTTACCTGCTTGGCGATAATATCCTCCGACTGAGTTTGAATTTGATCTTCTCGAGCTTGTACTATTAAAGTCCACTTTTTGACAACTTTTTCAATTTCAGATTTCATTTTTGCTGAAAGATCTGCTTCCAAATCTGACAACATTTTGGTACGTTCTTGAATGAGAGATGCCATTTGATCCGAGTGCATAGTTTTCAGACGAGATATTTCAATTTGCCGCTGGGTCTCAAACTCCTGTAGCATAGTATCATTTAGTCAATGAGGTTGACGATGCTATCATGTTGTTTGGCTTACCTTTTTTGATGAAAGAGCAGAAACTGTGTGAAAATTCCGTAGATCGTCCAATTGCTTTTTATGAGTTATTTCTGATTCTGCAAGCGTGGTAGCATGCTGCTTTTCCAAATCTGAAATTGCACATGCAGATGCAATACTCAAATCGTTCTCCTTTTGTTTCATGAGCTCTTCTAGTCTTTGTTTTTGATGCGCTAGTCCATTTATATGATCCGTTTCTAATTTGGCAAGCACTTCGGTTTGTAGCTAAAAAACACCAAGCCTTATCAACATCAAATCCATCAGTCCATTACTTAAAATTTGTTTAAAAACAAACTCACGTATTTCTCAGTTTCCAAAGTTTCTTGCAAGTGCTCTTTTTCCTGCCTTAATTGATTCATTTCCTGCTCCTTTTCTGTCATCTCGGCCAGAAATCCTTCAACCTTAGCTTGATTGGTTTTGTTGATGTTATTTACTTCCTCTGCATGATATCCTTTAATTTTGTACACAGTTGTCTTTTGGATAGTGTTAGTAGGCTGTATGACATGAGACAAACAGTAATCAATACCTGAAGCTCTTGCTCATGATCTTGGTTGATCGTATCCTTTAGGTTTTGTATATCTGTGTGATGTTGATTGCGCCTATTTCAATATAAAATACATTATTATAATTCAGAGTTTTAAACAAAACTCTATTTTTTACCATAGAATTTCCAGGTCGCCTTTTTCCTTTTGAAACTTTTCAAACATCTCTGCCCGAATCTGTCGATCAATGTGAACCATTTTTTGAAATAGATCTGCCTTGTCAACCTCCAATGTATTGACAGTTGCCATCAAATTCTGACTCGATAAAAAGTAATTAGCCAACTACAGCCCTGATAAACCAATTATAAAACGTATATATGCACCTGAATGCTCACGACATGCTGGGCAGCCTCTGCACACTTGAGATTGTAGTTTTTAGTCAGCCTTTCTACATCTTTTTCCGTGTTAAGCAAATTCTCCTTTAGCTCTACTATTTGTGACTAGTGTGGCAGAAATACAATCAAAACATTAAACACTAATCCCGATGCAAGTATTACTGTGCTAAATAACCATATCCAGTATATAATAGCCTACATTTAATGATGATCTTTCTTGTTCAAATAAACAGTTGCTTTGTTGTATAGTCATCTCAAACTCGCTCTGCATACTGCAAATCTTGTTGGATAATAATTTCATCTCCTAGATTATCAAAAATAGTTAAAACTACACATTGAATCAGCTTGATATAAGCAACTATAAACTACCTCTAATTTCAATAATTCAGCTTCTTTTTGGCTACTTTCCATGTTGCTCTTTAATGCTGCAATTGAATCGATTTTATCTGCTTCCATAGTTTTTGTGAGTTTCTCAACTGCTTCTTTTAAATCCTAATATAAATAACAGTCAAAGTATTTTGATATCAAAAACTGTTCCATTTCAAACTGAGTTTTAAATTTATGGTTGTTTACCTCGATTCGCTTTTGCTCAAGAGCCTGAAGATCTTCCTCGAGTCCAACTATCTTTGTGTCTTGTAAATTAAATAGTAGCGTTATTACATTTGTTAAATGATTCAATGATTATAAATTTGCATTGATACACCTTTTATGGATGTTTGAATGTTTAGATTTTGGATCGTTTCCTCGAATAGCTGTACTTGCTCTATAAATCGGTCAATCTTTCTACACGATCATGAATTCATTAGCTACATGAGTTATATTTTCTGTATAGGACAGCTCAAAATTGCATACTCGTTGGACTTGATGAGATCGTCAGAGACAAGTGCAACCTCCTCTTCAAGAGATTTGATTTGATTGTTTGATTGCTGATATGCAATTTCGGCTTCACGAATCTGCTGCTCACTGACGGCCAGCTTTGATAGTATGTCTTCAAGCTTGTTTTCTAATTAAAATTTTAGAAAAATAGTGTAATTATAAACAACCAGTGCATATCACTTACCAAGTTTTCTATTTTTTTGGAAAAGTTCATTATTTTTCTAATGTGAAATGCTGTTAATTGATTAAACAATCTTTTGAAAAATAGTAACCATGGATTGCTTACCTCTTGCTCAGTTGTTTTGTCAACCAATAACCGTGAAACCTTTTCGGCTGACTCTGTGAGCGCTTTTTTTAGATCATCACTTTTGTTTTCCAAGTCTTGGATATGAGAATCCTTTCTATAATTAATCCAACATTTGCGTTAACAAAAGTACCCCAAAAGTCATCATAATCAACTTACTCTGCTGATAAATTTTGCAACTCGGAAATAGCAGAATCTCGTTCGGCAAACTGCTTTTGGTTCTACAAAGTCATCATATAATAGGATTATTAAAAATCTTGCTTGAAATACAACGGCTTTTATTACTTACATCAAGCATGGCTTCTTGCAATTTCTTTTCCAGTTCAACATACTCCATCTTGGATTTAGTCTCTTGTTCTTCAAAACTCAATTTTAATCGTCTAATTTCTGATTGGTACTTGATTGATTCCTCCTCGACCTATTTAATAAAACACGTTGTAATCATTATTAGGAAAATGTATTCAAACACTACAAGACTATCAACTTTCCTTATTTTCCATATTCTCCAATTTGACACGGACTTGATCATCGTTTTTCTGTTTTTCTTCAGTGATAGCTCGCACTTTTTTGGTATGTTCATTTTGTAGATCCTCCACCTGATTCAAAGTGTGTGATGTTTAGTTGGATCAATGTAAATCAATAATAATGTGGATTGAATACCTCTGAAGTCCATTCCAACTTGATTGCTTTAATTTTTTGCTCATACTGCGAAGTAATGCTTAAAATCCTGGACTCGAGATCTTGTTTGCTGGATGACAAATCAGATATCGCCAGCTCTGGAGTTTTCGCCAATCTAGAATCAATTTCTTGGTTTAGCATTAATGGTCCAACTCCATTCTCTGACAAATTGAACCAGCCTCGTTTTCATATATTTGTTGAAATGCACTGCAGATTCAAGTCATCCACCTTTTGGCACACGCCAGTTGTTCTTGCAAACTTTTTTCGGATTCTCGAACAAAGTTTAATTCTAGCTTTTGTGACTTGACTGTTTCCAGATATGTCTATTCAAAGTTGGACTATGCAGTTTAGAAAATAATCTTCACTACAAGGCGATACACGCTTGACCGTCACATTATTGCTTACATACCGCAATCATATCTTCTTGAGTTTTAAACTTTAGTTCACTCTCTGTCCACTTGAGTCGAGCATCGTCAATCATACGCGTGCCTTCTTCAATAACCTAACTTCAAATTGAATCAGTTTCAATAATGATCTAGCTACATTGCAACGCATTGAGAAATCTGTTTATGGACTGTTTGATTCAGTATACCTCTGCTATTTCAAGCTCATACGCATCTACCATGTTTTGAATTTCCAAAGAATGGTCTTCATTTTTGGTGTTGAGGTAATAAATAACTTTGGTAAGCTGGGCAATTTTCTTGGACATTTTGAAAAGAATGTCGGCACTGATATCTGAAGTAGAGCGTTTGATGCTTGATGATGAACTATGAAGTAATGGGTTACTTTTGAGCTCAGACCGACTTTTACGTCTACTTGCCCCATAAAGCTTATCTGTGCTCATCCTGAAAGTTTGGTTGGTAGTGAAAATACATCAAGCGCGACTTTCACCGTCATATTCACGTAAAATGAAACGCTAAATAAGTGCCAAGATGCATAATAAACAGTCCCATGATTGGTGCCAATCTTATTGGGCAATACTGTTTTTGAACTCATTAATTCACTGGTCTTTTTCCTCATGCTCATTCTTTTACAAAAATACTGGACAAATGTTCAATCTCTGTTCCAATACATTCCACATCTTTTCAACCTCCAACTTTTCTTTCCTCAAAACAAACATTTGAACTGAACATTGCGTGACCGGCATGGAAACACTCATTGCATTCTTGAGATACTCTCTTGAGCTAGATCGCAAACGTATCTGATATTAGAATAGAGTTTCAATAAAAGAAATAATCAATTCCAACAACAATGAATATTTAACGATTGTTTATTCCAAGACAATCATTACAAGATCAATACAAAAGTGTTTCACTTTACGTGAATATGGCTGTAAAATACTGACGAGACACATTGTATAGAATAAACCAAAAAAAACATTGAATTTGATTGTTTGCAATGTCTGTATCAAATTACATATCAACAGAACCTATATCATCAAGTTCTTCAAGTGAAAGCACTTCAATGACGCTCTGCTTAGAGCACACGCTTAAAAGTTGGCGTGCACTATTTATCTGCATGGCCACTGGAGGTGTCTCATTTTTACAAGAGAAAAGAAACATTATTTTGATCTGAAACAAATAAATGTCAGCTCAAACTTAAATCTCGGCAATATATCGTCAAAAAATCAAAACGGCATGCATCTATTACAAACCTTTGTGATTTCTGTGGAATTTTGGCAATGATCAGCGTGTGAAATATCAGCTATATTCACATACCCAACAGTGTAATTACTCATTGGTTGATTTTCTGTGTAATTAAGGCTTTCGTGCTCAAACAAGAATAGTAGGATTGAGTTGTAGAACAGCGCCGAAAGAATATTAACAGATTTTCCACTGAAATCCAAACAAAATTTGTTGTAATTTGAATCTATGCATGTGATACTGGTGAGTTGGACTATATCAAACGTTAGTAGCTGAATATACGGTGTCATGATGCAAAAGTTAAACCTATATACTTGCAATATTCTGGCGTTTGAAAAAGAAAATAAGAGCAGTTGATGGCAATGATATCTACAGCCTACGTATATTTCAAAAATGAATTCATACTTTAAAATAGAACGTGTTTGATATTATAAATATACTACTTACATAACTATGATGAATGATGGTTTTAATATCCAAAGTATCTGGATACAGACAAAGTAGCTCTTGGTTCAAGACCATCTGTGATAAAAGAGAAATATCATGCACAAGAGTTTGAATAGGCAAATCCTGCAAAAAGTTGTATAATAAATTAGTCAACGGGTAGTAATAGAATGAAAATCGGTGATAGAATCTATATATTGGCGTATATATGCTCACATCTGATTGATTTTTTATAGTATTTTGAAAATAGCGAAAAATAATCCGATGCATTCCAGTCGCGGGGGTTTCCTCCTCGCCGTTAGAATCACCAGCAGCTATACTCAAACGTAAGGCTCAAGTCAGTTCACAAAACATAGCTATCCGTAGCATGTTAAACGTACCATTCAAGATCCAGTTTACAAACAATGCAAATTCAGTAGAATCTTGATCCAGTTTTTGTTTGATTTTAGAAAGTCTTTCTATAAACACAATGACAGCCTCGGTAACTTTCAAAAGTTTATCGCTTTGTGATTTGCTTTGCCTCCATGCCGATCGCAAGGAAATGCCACGCAGTTCACTGATAACATAAATGAGACTCTCCGCTGCTGTTTTTATGGACATGTAATCTAAAATTGCACTAGAGTATGACATTGATGCAATGTTTGCCGCCCGTTTTAATTTCTAGCAATTTCAAATTATTAGTAAGGAAAAGCAATAGCTGGCTATGATATTCAAACTACCTTTTTTGGCGAATCTGACGCAAGTTGAGATAGAATATCGATAGTTGAGCAGCCAAGCAATAGCTTTTTAAGAAACTCTGCTGGAGATGGTTCACCTTGGTAATCGACACGGTTATGAGTTATTCAAAAAAACATCAGCAAGACCTTGTAATATTTCTAAATCTGTTGGTATGCATTCCCAACTCACTTCCGTGTATTTTCAAGGCAGTTGAAATCTCAGATGACAACTCGGATTGTGCGGCTTGAAAAGCATCGGCGTTGTTTTGAAAAGCCTCGGTATGACTATTTATTGTGCCAACTAGTCGACGCAGTTGATTCATGAGCACAGACACATTGGCTAAATCTGGATATATGGACGCAGTATTTTCGAAAGCAAAAGATACCAGTTTTACCATACTGGAAGTGTGCTCTTTGATCAAGGAATGCAATGTCATTGCAGATCTATTGTCATATGATATCCACGAAAATAGCCCACCAAATCCATCATCCTATGCATCAACGCGGCATTACAATTCCATTAAATCATGACTATTCAAGTCATTTCATTAAGCAATGCCACTGTCTAAACTTACTCTTGCAGGTAGGTCTGATACAATGAAGCAGCCATTGAGACTAATATATGATTATTTAAACAATCGAGTCAATTCCATTGGTACACTATTAAATAGAATTGATTTTAAAGTATAAAAATAAACATACATTACAATAGTCCGAGCAAAGTTTGTAGTGAGAGTGAGAAGAGAAAGCGAATTGTCAAGAGTCGATGATATCTGACTTGAAATTATATTTCAAAAATCAATAATTGATGCTAAATCTGTGGTGTTACAAGACAACTTACAGCGAGTCGGTTCGAGGAATGGCATTCAGCAGTTGAATGCTTGTGCGATTCTTGAATTATTCAACACACGATTTAATAAACTCATAAAACACTGCAGTTTAACCAAGATGCGAATCAATAAATATTACTTTGAATGCAGGAGCAGTTTCCCATCTACAACTGGCTATTTGCTCCCCAGAGCAAAGATCAAGAGTTAAAGAGTGCGATTGCTGCGCTTCGACTTCAAACGTAGTCAATAATCCAGATTTACTATTGATGGTGGTCAAGGACATTCCTTGAAATGTCAATGATATTGGTAGTAAGTCGTCAGCAGATTGTGATTACTGGCAATATTCGGTCATCACTGCAGACAAGACTGCTCATGACTTGATCTTAGATTCAATACCTTCTGGATTCCAAACAACCATGTCGGCTTCTCCAGTCTCTGCAGACGACCATTTTCGAACAAATTCCCAGACTCGCAACACCTGCAGTTCGCCATGAATATCCAGAAAGGCCACAACGTCTTTTTTAGGGCACCATTCTGTGCACTGGATCTCAACAGGGAAATTGTAACAAGATCCAAACCTTTTTGCTACTAGACAAGCCATGATATTGATTGATCAGCAAGTTGGCAAGTTTTGAATTTGCCGGATTTTACACTTGCGCTACAATCATCAAGTCTGATTGCATTGTGCACTGTTATGATATAATATATTTTTCATTGACGGTTTATCAGGAGTCGATTATGTTTAAAATATGGGTTTTACTGGACCATCGAATACGTGCCCATTTCAAAAAACTGTCTAGTTCAAATATCGCTACTATCATCCAGTGATAACTCTTATGAACATATTGGCAAAATGACCGTATTTCTATTATTAGGGTAAAACATGCAGTCAAACACTTAATACGATCAAAAGCTTCATGTTTGTGTCCGACAAGTAATCTGTGTAAATATATGTACTTTCAGTTGGAATAAAAATTCTCAATCTTGAATCCAAATTTACTCGACTTGCTTAATTTGCAAAGCAGAATATAATTTATTCATAAAACATTGAGTGCTAACAAGTCGTTGACAAGCCTAAAAATTCTGAACATCCCAAAACTCTCGTCATTCAAATGGTTTGGATACATGCAGATATGACGTAAATGCACCTTCGAGCATCTCCCGAAACCACTAAAGTAAAAATTAGATATATTGAAATTCAGACAAATTAAAGTAAACTTGAAATACGTACCTCCATACTTGAGGCGTCTGGGCATGGAATCATGCGCGCTTTGGCAACCTGGCGTGTCTTGCTCACAAGAGCTAATCCACCAGTTTCTGGTCTGATAATTTGCAACTCTAAAGGTCAAGTGTTACCAAACTGATCATTTACACAATATATAGTACATTTATGCTGGAAATATATCATGCTATGTATGCTCAACAAACCTTCAAACGGCATGTCCCATTCTATCTTGAGTCTTTTGATACGTGCCATCAAAACCCTTGATTCAGTCACAATTGCTACTAGATCATCGACGCGAATTTCTACCAATATGCAATTACCATGCAGTTTCATTAGATTCACAGAAATGCTGACCATAACTAGCCTGTTTGAACCGAATGGAACATTGTAATCATGCAATAAGTGACTCACCTAAATGAGCAATATAGAGCTCACGGAAATATCGGCCGTTTTCAATACTCTTCAGCCAACTCTGACCAAGTGCTTCGCGATGATCATACGGCTATATAATGAATTATAAATGGGTTGGACACTGCTACTATATCAACAATACAAACAAAATAGTTTAAAGTACCTGAAGAATTTTTTCCTTTCCTACAAATCGTGGAAGTCGCTGGCGATCTAGCTCTGTGTCAAAAACGGTCGTGGTATTTTTAATACCTACATGGCAAAATAAAAAATACATGCTTAATAACAGTCAAAAACTATCATAGTACACAACACAAATAATGCCAACTTACCCTCGGATACAGAAGTAGCAAGATCCATTACTCCGATCATGGGTTTCGCCACCACTCTAGCAATTTAAATAAATTGAGTTTCTGCTATAATACTCAAGTATAACCTATTCATCACAGTATATATATATATATTACCCAACCAATCCTTTTCCTAAACCCTTGAAAAAGCCTTCAATTCCAGCTTCGTGAGCTCCTTTTAGTGGTTGAGAAACAACGCCAGTCACTCCACTGGTTACACTTCGAATCAAAGACGCAGCACCAGACGTCATTCCATAAACAACATGTCGTGGACGATTCCTATACCAAATAACACAAGTGTGAGAATTCAGTTTTGAATAACATGTGGACAATTTAAATGAGTTGAATTTACCGATTTGCCAAACGCCGTTTTTCTTGAAACTAGAGCGTAGCCAGTACCGTCAGTACGCATTACATAAATCCAGCATAATGAAAATTTAAATTACTAATCAAACGCTTACCTTCTCATCCATTGTAATGACTGAGAGACCTATTATTTTGATACAGATTTGTCAAATTACATAATCATTTAAAAATAACCAAATGCCACTGTTTTGGCATGCACAAGCTTGTTGCTAAAAACCAATACCTTTTCCAATACTTCCAGTGAATTTCGACAAAGTGTCTGTTACTCCAAATACAGTTTTGATTACTAGACTCGAAGCGCCGCGCGCAACACCAATACCAAAGTCTTGAGGTCTAGTAATTTCAAATCCGTGTAAAGGTTCATAAAACATATCACTAACTCCGCTAGCAACATTGTTAAATAAGCCAACTGGGTTCCCAAGAAAATCTGCAGCACCGATTACTTTGTGAACCTGGCCTAGAATTTCTTGGGAATAAAATCGAGTAATCAGATCAATAAGCTGTGGTGCAGATACAATCGGATGCTCCAGCTCCAGTGCATTCAATCGAATCGGAGCATCCTTTCAAATTTTACAAAATTAGTCATCAGTAGCTGATCCAAAACCCAAACCAAGTGTCAACATCACTTACATGAATGTTTCCAATAGTCATTGTAAGAACCTCGAGTATAAATGACATGATTCCTGCTGATTGTGGACTAGAGTAAAAAAACTAGTCAATATCTTTAATCAAATATACAATCCAGCCAACACTCTAATCTTACCGAGCGTCTAAAGTGGATCCTGCGTTTGAAATCCTTGAAAATGACATGTTTACTTGCATAGGATGTAGTAGGAATTTTTCAAAGAAAAGATTGAAACTATCATCATGCTTGACCATGTTTGTATTTGATGGGGTAGAGTCAAAAAGAAGAGCATCTGAACTATTTTGTGTTGTCAAAGTTGCATCGTTGCTATCGAATCTAAGAAAGTCTGTCAATGCGTAAAGAAAATCTTCATCTAAATCAACAGAGAGCTCCTGAAGAAGAAGAGTAAACCATTTGTAATAATCCACACCAAAAGCTAAAAATTACGATGCGAATTGGCTTGTTAGTAAAAGCTAAACATGATGACTGGCCTCAACTTGAGCAAAAACAATAATACGCCAATTGGTTTTTACTTACAAGTATCTTTGGATTTGCACAACGATAACATTAATACGGGCTGCCACTCTTCTTTTCCCTCCTTTGGGAGAACTGTGGGATACATAAATATTGGGTTTATGCAGCCGTACATTTGATTGTCAATCTAGCAACATATAAACGGTTACTATCGATTCAGCAGCTATGCAAATGAGGAATAAAAACATAAGCAGTCATAAATCACGGTTACCTGCAACCACATAAGTGAAAATGATAAAGCTTGAACCTCTTCAGTATCTGTCCAAACAACAACAAGCGTTCGAGCAGATGCATATGCAATTTCCTAACATATGCATTTTAAAATTAATGTCAAATATCAGATAAAAGACATCCATTAAACCCATGTCTGTAAATAGTCGCAAAATAAAATAGCGAACCTGCATATCTCTGCTAATAAGAGATATTCCTATTCCTTCCATTCGCAATTGTACGGTTTTAAGAACCTTGGCCTCAACAGGCACCTACCCATCATTAATCTTTGAAGTCAGTAAACGATCCACAAAGACAGCAAAAATATCAATAGCACTCACAGATGCTTCAATTGGCTGAGCTCCCAACGAAGCCCGCTTATAAGCAGTAGAAGCAGGAGGATGCTTTAATCGCACAATTGTAGTAGGTCCCTCGGCAATGAGTTCAATCACCAGAAATCCAAATCGATTCGCTCCAACAATCTAATACGAATATTTAAATAGTTGGTAAAACAGTACGATATAAGTCGCTCACTTGTAAATTATTATCCTATAAAGATAGCAGACACTAGTATATTACCGGATACTGAAACGCCCTTTGTTTTCCAAGATGTGACGTATCAATGATTTGCTCTTTTCCATTTATTTCAATCACAAGTCGCTTATGATTAGCAGAAGGATGATCCCAAGCATATGGCAGCGACGTGCCTCGAGGAATAACATAGTGTGTAGTTGCCAACTGGTTATTTCATCAAAAATCCAGTTAGTCGACAATAAAACGCATGCATATCAAATATAAAATTAAACTGTAACGAAACGCATACAACACACCTGCTGCCACAATGATATATCTACATCCGTATTATTTTCAATTCGAAGTGGCCATCTTCCTTCTTGTTTTGAAAAAGTAATAGTCAACGTAGCTTTTACTAACGCAATATCCACTTTTATCAAATATTCCACAGTAGATTGCAATATGCCAACTTTAACATAAACAGTTCCAAGTTGTGTCATACTAAATCCGTTGGACCAGTCGCTCATTGCGTTTGACAATCGAACATTCAACTCAAACAAGTCATTATCGACATAAGACAGTGCCATCAGTGAAAAAGATTCTTTGGATTTCACCTCTACTGCAACTGTCGTTCCAGATTGACGGAACAGCATCGACTCGTTCATACCATTGTGGATTATAAATCTTGGAGAAAACGTTACTATTTTTGTAAGATAGTACTTGCCATCGCCCTCTTTAACATCAACTCCCAAGTATATATTTTTTTTCTCGGAAGGCTTGGCCGCAGTGACTTGGAATGCAGATCCTACAGCTTCAAAACTCAGAGGTTTGCTCCATTCAGAATTTTCAACCTTCACCTGAGCTCGACTACGTAGCGGCTCAAAGGTAGAATATGAAAACATAAATGGCTCAATCTCCATTGGTCCACGACCTCCACGGGCACTCTGGCTGCCGACGATACGCGATGTTGTTATCAGTGAGCGCGCACTAAACGACATTTCACACTCGGTGCGATTAAGAAGAATATATGGACTGTATATTTTAACCCGACGGTTGGCCCCTTCTGACATACCACTGTAATTGTATTAATAGCACACAAGTATTTACATCAATTGGTTCACATGGTGTGAGAAATTATACACAACCATTAAAGCATAATACAAGTAATGCTAATCAAACCAAGAGTTGCATACCTATATTTGAGTTTCAAATTCAACTGGTGATCAATTCGATCATGCAACACCAGTATGTCATCTGGGTATTGAAGTTCTGCACTGGTAATAAACACTGCTTCCTTTTGTCGTAACTCTAAATCACAATTAAAAATTAGCATGTCAATCCTTTACCAATAACATACACAACTAGAGTATACCTGTCCCGACTACTTGAATATTCAAAGCAAGCAAATGCGTTGGATCAAGAGTATAAAGGGGATCTGAAGATCCTTTTTTTAGCGATCCAAGGTGTTTTTGTTTGGTAGTCTTGTCAAATATGATATATTTTATGTCATAAGGCAAAAGATTCTCCAAAACAAATGGAGAAAGAAATGAAATGTCCATGTATGGATACTCGCTGCTATTAACTCTTAAATATTAGAATTTACGATTTTCTAGCCAATGACATACAATGATTTACCTGTTTGGTGAATTATTCAAATGAACATTTACTTGGAAACGAAAGCTTGGTTTGGAGGGATCCAATGCCTTGCAAATCACCAAGAATGCTGATTATAACAAGCATGTTGGTTTAGTCATAATATGTGAAATGTGGTCAGCTTTATACAATACGTGACAAAATATGTTGGTATATAGTAACGAACAAACCTGGCTGCTCGGGTTTAAAATCTTGCCAATAAATCAGTTGAGAACACCAATCATATCCTAAGCCTGTAAACAAAAATTAGAGGAATACTATGTTTGAAACATATATGGATAGCCAGAATTTCAAATAGAGATGCATTAAATCAAATTACCAAAGGGACGGACAACAATCGAGTCAGTGTAAGAAGACTCGATGGGAAATGAAAAAACATCTTTTGCCTGAATGCGAAAAGTGTTTTCTGAACTAGCAGCATTTCTTCGATTCCGATTTACAATCATGGCTTCAATTTGTAGTCCTGTCCGATTGCAAATAAGTGTTGTTGATCGAAAGGTTACAATCTTAACACGATCCTTGAGCTCCACGCTGCAAACAAGACGATGAGTCACTTTATTCAAAGATGGGCGAAGCGCATGAATAGTAGAGCCTTCACGATCCACAGCAAGACCCTTTAAAGCCTCCCATGCAGGACCATGGATTTGCACACACAAGCGATGGGATGTTTGATTTGATCGCTGCATTGCAATATACCATACATTTATTAGAAATACATTAAAAAATTGTAACAAAATAAAACAGTTACCTCTCGAACAGTGCGCCAGTCATCAAATTTCCAACCAAGATCCTGACCATTTTCAATCTTGGAAATTGTAGTATTTAAATTAGATCCATCCTTGTCAATCCACACGTGCACTGGATATCCAGTCCGATTTTTTAAAATATATGGATACTGTGCGCTTCGCTTGGATAGTTTTCGTGTCTAGCATTGTCAAGAAAACAGCAATTAGGGCAATTCCAAACTACACCATACTTATTACAAAACATTACAGAATCAAAGCCTTGAAATTTATCCACAATACACTTACTGTTGCAGTATTTAGTGCTGCTGCTGCTGTAACCACCGTACTCAAAAAGGCGTGGCTCATATTCAGCTCCAGTTTCTTTTTGCAGAAAATATCGATTGCAAGTTGTTTGAATTCATCCTCTTGTCGAGCCGCCTGTAGAAACAACGGTATTATTATGAAATGTAAACAGCAATATACAACTAAAAAATATCTACACCCTATACACAGACAAAAAGTCAGCATAAACTTACGCTGACAGAAAACTGCCACTGTTCAACAAAAGGCTCCCAATGAGAATTTTTTAAATTGAAATAATTTGCATGGAGAGAAAGAGTCGTATCAAATCGTATCTGAGAAGACCAATCCGCAACTTCCACAATAAATTTATCAAAAACAAGATCCAGAATAGGAACATGAAAATCATTGATATCATCAATCAACACCGCACGAACACCATCGATCGTAAGCCGAAACTAAAAATTGTAATGGTAATTTTAAAAACATGGCTAATCATAGCACTACAGACCAGCAAGAATTAAATTACCCGTTCACGGCGAATATCGTTACTTTCAACTGGTGGGGATTCGACAGCCGTTGTTTGCGGACTCTCTATACTCTGCGAACGATCGACTTGTAGCAGTCCAAGAATACGATTTGACAATTCGGAAAGCAAAACCATATCATGATACGACACCCAAAACACCAGTCGAGATAAATACACAGTAGCATTGGTGAGAAAATGATTTGGTGCAGTTTGGCGGCTGTCAAGCGAAAGTGTGGCATCAAAATTTTCAATAAAACGAAGCTGTGTTTTATCGCGGGCATCCATCGTGCAAAAGTACATTCCAAGATCATGAAAACTAATTGCTAAAATCTGATCTTGTGATAATACAAGTCGATCAATTAGCAGCACAACAGCATCTGTGCTAGGGGAAGTAGAATCGCGGATCAGAATAATTTCCGGATCAACAAAATTCACTCTAAATGTAAATGTAGACTGCTGAGAGACGTTGCCAAAGTCGTCAGAGCTGTCATTTCGAGAAACGGCTTTTGAGTTTTCATTTGCAGGAGAGCCCCATGGACGTGCAAAAAAGGCACGAACGCCAAAAATATGATCCAGGTCAAAAATCAATTTTGGATGGTCAATGGTCAATACAAGGCCTGATGACATCGGATAAGAACTGTAATGCATTACAAATTGATCATCAGTCTCCTCAGTTGGAGTCATGATATCTCGAAAGCATGTTGGCTCGTTCACACGTGTATCATACAGTGAAAGACTGCGGAATCTCAGTTCCACATCCATCATACCTTTATCACACATTTGCAGTTTTACGTTTGCACTGCTTCCAGCAAACTTTGCTAGTGATTTTTCTTCAATACTAGTCATGAGCTTGGTAGTTCCCGAAAAAGAATTCAAAATGATCGAAGGAATATGCACACTAATGCTAGTAAGAACAGTCTGCAAGACTGGGGCAATCGGTTCCGCTGACTCGGGTGACTGAACGGATTTCAAGTTTGATGGCGACTGAGTTGCAGGTGCTTCCGATACAGCATTAAAAGCTCTCCATATATCAACAGTTAGCTGATACTGATCATCAGTAAGGTTAAAAATGACTGGCGAAAAAGTGATTATAATCTAAAATAGTAAATGCAAATATGGAAAAATAAGTATTGCCTTGCTAGATAAATAAACACAACGAGTTCAAAGTAAATACCTGTTTCTTAGGAACACCAGGCAGACTGTCATGGAATATCGATGCAACTAAATCAAGATCAACTTTGTCCACCATTGGAAGAGGATGATCTGCATTCTCTGAAAATACTGATACAATACGCATAGATTCAACCTTGATACGATGCTCATCATCTAAAGCGACCCCAATATCGGAAACAGGAGAAACAACAGAATTTTTTGCTGCAATTTCTCCAAGATATAAAACAAGTCGGTCCAATGTAGCTATCTTGGGTAGTACCAAAATCGGTGTACGCAGCACAACATCAAAGGCAAATCTGCCAGCGCGTTGTTGCATTTGAATGGCTGATTTTTCAACAACTTTTCTTGCATTGTCCATCAACGCCTGCATTTCTTGGAACTTGCAAAAATAAGCATAAAGTCGTCCAATGAAAGCATTTAAATATGTTATTTTCAAAGATGCAGCACGCAGCTTCAAAAAACTGTCATAACCAGCTCGTCGTGACTCGGTCGCATCTAAAATTTCAAAGAAAAACTCGGCAGTTTGATCCTCTTCGACAATAAGAAAATCTCGAAGTAACGGTTGATCCGGTGCTGCCAAATCATCTACTATCGACAACCTTCCAAGAGTGCCATTCACAACAGAGTTACCGCCACAAAGCTTGGCTTGGATGACAAGACTTTCAAACTTTCCACTGGCAATTCGATGATCATTTTCCAAAACAATAGTCTCTACCGATTTCACGTTAAGATTGAAAACGAGTGAAGACCCTGACATTTCAGTTTCCATAGAAACATTATCAAATTCATTAGAATCTGAAGGTATTTCAGAGGAATCTGATGGCAAGTCGGAAACCACTTGTGCTGAATTCAAAGATTCTGGGCGACGCAAGATATCGGTCGAAAAGACGTACATACGTTGAATCCACTCACGTGAAATCACAAAACGAGTCGAATTGAAATTAACAGAAATCAGCATGGATATCCCAGCATAATCTGGAGAGGCTGGTTGAATACTGTCAAACTCAATCTTCACCAAATGACTGGAATCAATGGTTGAGCTATCAATGGAATCATCGCATATGCTGGATCCGACAAGGCAACGGAAAGGACTCGACTCGGGAAGCATCGGGTTTTCAATCGAAATGGACTTTAAACTGCATTTTGCTTGCATATCAAATGGACGCTGAGTAACAGATATTTGAAATCCTCTCATAGAAAGCATTGCCAAATCCGTTTGTTTGGTCGTGCTGGAATCTGACACTGTTCGAACTGTAACTGAAACTTGATGACAGTTAAACGAAAACAGCACCAAAGTACTTTTGAAATATAGATTAGAGTTTGCTTGAACTGGGCTTGAAATGGTTTCTTGAGCATCGTGGAATTCATCATCTGAATCTGTCGGAATCAACGGAGCCGAAGTCGATGTCAGTGCTCGATACCATTCTTCAGATTTGGATTTTGATGGAGGATTCAACGCGGGAACTGTAGCTATAGTAGGTCGAGAAAATGCTTTTTTTGAAGACTCTAATACTGCCATCAATACGGAATGATTATAATTTGAAAAATTGACATGTAATCGAGGAAGCTGGCCATCCACTTTAAGTTTAGCATATTCGTATGCTTTGGGCAAAATTGAGACTCCTACGGATAACGATACATCGACTTTTTCCATAAAACTGATTTGATCCAAAAGCTCACCATCCATGACCAAGTGATACTCGTCAATTCCTGCTACAACAAGTACCTAGTCATGTAAAATTTTAAGACATGGTAAAACTAGATAAATTTGTGATTGAAATTCAAGAAAGTACCTGCACCGACGTAAAATCTACAAGATACTGGTCGTAAAGAAACTTTTCCAGGTCGTGTAATTTAGATGAGCCTTCGTTTTGCAAAAGTTCTTTTGTTGCCATACTAATCGGGATACTTTTAACACTTAAATGCCCAGCATCTATAACTAGTATTGGAGCCTTTTCATCAATAAAACTTTTACCACAAATTAATACAGCACTCGTATATACAATAGCTCAATAAAAGTATCTTACTTTGTAGGAATCAAAAATATAGGCGCATCCACTTCAATCTTAAGATTTAGTGAACGATGTCCCTCAATGGCAAACTCAAGATTTGTTCTGGTCTGTGTCGTAACTTCTTGAATAGCATCCTGAGCCACAGCCTAGCAATATTAATTATTGAATAGAAATTACACAGATGGCATTGGTTATCAAATTCAAAAAAACCTAATATTCAATATGCAAAATACCTGTAATGTATAGATTGCATCATACTCATCCTTTTTAGGACTGAAAAAATCAACAAGTGTGCGTAGAGCATATGGGTTCAAAACAATCTCTAAAGGCAACATCTTCACTGTGAGGGCATCGTCAACACTTCCATCCAATGGTTTATGTTCAAACTTAATGCTGAAGAATGGACTAGTTAAACTGAAACAAACACAATTAGATACAAAAACCACAACAATAATTCCTTGTTTTGGAAACATCAGGCACTTGCCTTGAATTTTCAAGATCTATAGAGTTATGACGCTTTGCACGAATGAGAGTTGAATGCAATGACTGAGCATACACATTTTCAACAACAACCACCTTTTCCAATGCCATATTAATCTCCATTGAGTGCGGATATTGACAAAGGCTTACTGCCATTCCTTCAAAAGTTGAACTAAAAAGATCAACTGCTTGGGTTTTGGGATCGCGTCGAAGTGTCAATGAGCCTGATCGTAATTTCCAGTGAACACTTAATTGCACAAACTATATATGCACATATAATATCAGTACAGATCGAAAAATCAATGACTTGAGCAAATATAAACTAAAGATATATACATTATCTGGATAGTCACTTCTTGAAACAGAATTTGGATCAAACTCGATTGCCTCGTAAAGTTGACGCACATCTGCCGCAGAAAATGCACCACCAGTAGAACCCTGCTTAAAAATTTAAAAGTACTGTTAAATATTCCATCAAATATTTCAAATAGTACCGAGAAATTAAACACGTTACACTAAAATCACTAATACCTGTGGGTTGGTCAAAGAAGCGGTATCTGAATTGCTAGGCGAAACCGGAGTTTGACTTCCAGTCAACCAGCCAACCCACGTTCCAGATGTAGCTGGTGCAGTTGTTGCTGAAAACATGCATAGAAAATGTCAAAAAACCTTACATGACTAAAATCCTCAGTCCAAATCAGTAAAATATTAAACGCACCAATTACTGGTCCTGTGATTTCTTTTTTCAATGCATTTACTGCCAAATGTCGGTAAAGCCGAATATCATCAAAAGATAGCAACATTTCAAGTTGATCCAACTCTTCTTCTCCCTACAGATAATAAATCATCAGTAATTAAAATAACAAGATTAAACATCAAAACTACATATACAGCAACATACCTCATAGTCGAGTGTTCCGGACTTTAGCTGCATGTAGTAGGAAATATATTCTAAACGCAAATCTCGTCGCTCGCGAAAGAAATCCCAACTCCAACGACGCTTTTTTTCGTGAATATCATGTATAATAGACTTGGCTAAAGTGCGACAGTAGATTTAACATGAATAAAATATACGATACTAAACGCATTTTAATATGCAAATTGTAAGTTCATACCAGCAAACTGAAGCCAAGCACGCGGATCCATTTTTGGTGTGATGGATCTGGGGGGACGAAACATTCGATACTAAAATATGTAATGGTTAATGCTCTAAGTTGACCTACAATGTTTTAGACTCTTCTGGATGGGTCTACACATTCTTATGTCTATAGACTTTAAGAAAGTGCATTGGCTTACCGGATATGACTTCATATATCTTGAAAATGACCCAAACAACTCAATAAATGTAGAATACTGTTCCTCATCCAAATTAAATGCAAATTCGTCGAAAATCAACTGGAGATCTGTTTTGGGAGTATTTGGGTTGTACACTTTTTGCCAAGTCAGCTAGAAAAATAAAGTAACGTCTCAGCAATTATACCACATAAACTAAAGTATAGCATACAAAACATTTAAACTGCAGTACCTTTCCTTCGCCGGAAACGGGATTGAGAATAAACTGCTGAGAAGCAGCTACTTGAGAGTCGCGTGCAATCTGAAAAATATTGTTAATGGTAGTTTAAACTAGTTTTCAAATACCAAAAGTTTTCTGTACAAAACCACTTACAGTTGTGGAAAAAATCTGGGAAATATCATCAGCTTCTGTAAATGACTTGGAGCTGGTTTCCCAATACATACCCAATTGTGAAAGTCGAAAAAACTAAAAAATAGGATTAATAGAGTACCCGACTAGCAAATTCAATCTCTTGAATCTATTTAAGCAATAAGCCGTCGGTTTACCTTGTAGATGCACGGATGATCGACAGTAATGAATCCCTCCTTCCAGTCTGCATCGGTAGATACGGCAGATAGCTCTGAAAGAGTAAATCCCACGCTAAACGGAATCTATTTGAGATTCGATTTTTGATTAATAATGACTCGATTTATCATTACAAAAACGGTGATTGAAAAAACCTTTGTGGATACAGAAGAATCTTCATAACGTATATGGATATTTGATATGGATAGTTGTAGATTGTCCAAAAGCTTGGTAGTTAACTGAGTTAAAAATGAGCTTTCTTCCGTTCCTAAATACGATTCAAAATCAACCAAAAACGAATCGAATGGCGACTACAAAAAGACCATGATTTGGCACATACCAGATGATTTGGCCCGAGATAACATCTGCTCTGCAGCCGCAAGTTTCTTTTTTTTGAGAATTTGAGCATTCTTTTCCTCGTCCACTGGATCGTAATCTGCAGAAGCCTTTGGGGCTGCCAGAATATAGAGATTGTTGATTGCCACTTTCAAGGGCTTTCCCTTTAAATCACTCCATGGAATAGAAAGTGTCAATTCACCAAGGGACCCTGGCAGGTTGTTTGACAACCAGCACAACTGTTAATAAGCTAAAACTAAGATACTCTGTCAATGTCATGTATGTCTAATATCAAGATAATATACCATCAATCACATCGATAGGCAGATTTAGCTTTGACAAGGCATCCTTTTTGAGTCTCAAGTTGTGAAGAACAACGTCGCCTAGTTCACACAATACAAGCCAGTGAATGACATTGCACATTAGCTGCTACAGTTACAGAGCGTGATCCATGCTATCAAAAATCGACCACTTGCCTGACCAAATTCCCAAACTAAGCTGTTTGGTTTCAAGATTGGCAATGTACTCTCCAAGAAACTACCAGACAGTCGGGACGCAGGATCAACAGTGAAATTTAAAGATTAGCAATCAGGTTAGTCAAGACTGCCTTGAATTCGCTATAGCAAATGAGTGAATGCCGCAATAGGATTGAAATAGTTGGATGGCAGATTAGAACCACAGCGAATGCACAACGAATGCACAGTGACTTTTGGCTGAAAATGCAGTGATAAAATAGTAAAGCACAGTGCATGATGAAGCAAGTATATTCAAGCGAGATGTAGTGGATACCTGATTAACAACAGTCGCAACAACCGTTTCGAAAACCATTTCAAGCCAAAGTGAAGATGAAATGCCACAGCTGAAGACGAAAAGGACGAGAAATTATCAGCAATCATCTTTTTCATTCCGTGTCATGCAAAGTACTTGCGTAAAGCTGACCACACTTTTGGGTTGGAATGTTTTACAAATATCGGTAGATTAACTGCTGATTTGGATGAGAGAATCATCTATTGTTCGTGTCTCGTGTATCGCGGTGATAATAATATGACTTGTTGGCACGATCTGCTGCTTCTTTCAATTCAATATAAGGCGTCATTCATTTAGTCCAATTGCAGCTGCTTGCTAATCTTGGTTTTGTTCTGATACAATCCTCAACGTTTTACCTGTATAATCTACGCTAATCTGAAATATTCGTGTCATTTACAAATGAAAAACGCATGGTTTCAAGATGCTACAACAGCAACCTTTGATGTCATCAGAATACTTTTGAAATATGATGAGTGTGTGTTAAAATATAAATAAACATCCTTGTGCACTTTCATCCTCATTATCACCAACGTTAAATTTGTTTCTTGGCAATTGTTACGAATATGGCCTTTATATGGAAACGATTGCTTGCAACTCAAGGTCACATTCCATCTACAGCAGTCGGGAGTTTTAATCAAATGCATTCTTCAAATTCAATACAGCGCATTCTATTCACTGGAAATCCTCTCAATAGGTATACTGATATCAATACTGACTGGATCTACTATTCCAAATGCCTACTTGGTCTTCCTGCTACTGTTCTGTCGTAATACTCATGCATCTTAATGGGCTAGGCAATCATCTCGTAGATCCAACACCAAAGAGCTTCTGGAAGAGCGTAATCTAAAGGCACGATTTATAGTTTTCAACCATCAACAATTCCTTCAAACCTCTGTGGGAAGAGTGGCCTGGGTGCAAGAGTCCGATCTACAACCCGAGTATTCCTTGGAGAATGTGAATGCAAACAGCGTTTTTCTTGGCATGGATGAACAGATGATGCAGCCATATTGGGCTGTCGATGTGTCTAGCTCCAGCGCGCTTATACTTAGTATGCTCAGTCATTAAAACAGTGGTGTAATCAGTACTCAAGCCAGACTAACAACTTGATGCAAATCTAGAGCTGGAAATCCAGCCTGGAATTAGGAAATTCGTAAATTCTCGACCAGCTGCATTCTCACTGCCTACATTCGAGGCATCAATACTTGCTCAGGGATTATCGTTGGTCGATTGGAACCTACGACACGCAAGTTGAATCCCATCTTCTTTAAAGCTGGTGTATGGTTTTTTAAATCATGATTATGGACAGATCGACTGATTCTATACGTATCACTTTTATTCCAGGTATACTGCCCCTCATGTGGTTCAAAAACAGTATCTGGAGAGGTAGGCAGACTTGAATATCTTGGCAGTTTCTCAACAAAACCTATTGTTAAAATAGCGTCTTTTTACTTGTAACTAGTCCGGATACAAACGCTTATGCAATACAAAAACATGTGTTTCTTATCAATCAATTCAAAATTACTCTTATCCTCGAACAGATCCTGCGATTATCATAGCTGTCGGCTCAACAGATGGACAAAGATTACTTCTTGGCCGACAAAAAAAATGGGCATCAAAAGTTTATTCATGCATAGGTACCACTTTGCGTCTCATTTACTCCATCACAATTCAAGCCCAATTAACTCATTGAATTTCAGCGGGGTTTATGGAGCCTGGTGAATCAATTGATGAAGCCTGTAAAAGAGAGGTGTTTGAAGAAACCAACGTATTGCTAAGAGATGTGCGTTTTCACTCTTCTCAGCCGTGGCCTTTTCCGTCTCAGTTGATGCTTGGGTGCATTGGAGTCGCATCTAAAGAAAATATTATTATTCACGATGGAGAGCTTGAAGGCACGTTGTGTTGATTTAAAATATAATGTTTGGATTGTCTATACTAGTGGTAACGGTAATAACTTGAATAGATGCAAAATGGTTCACCAAGGACGAAGTTAAATCTGCACTAAATGGAAACTCGACTTCTTTGAAACTATCGACCTCTATATCGATCTCGTATTCGCTAATACACACATGGGCTCATAGTAGCTTGTCAAGTGCTCATTTATAAAATATATCAAGTTTGAAACTGACTATACAACTCAATGTCCAATTTGCACATGCAACTATTAAACTTGTTGTTTCTGGCATCTTGTTTTCTGATTGCGCTCAACTATCTGTGCCAATCTAAAGACTTGTATATAACTCATATACCAACATATTCAAATCCCATATCAACCGATTTACGATCGTATTCGCGTAGAATGGAACACTATCTTGCAGTCATCGTTTGCTTGGGAACAATGGTTGAATTTTTGTTGTGCATTCTCACCTTTTCTGTATCCTAAAGCCTCTCATAGATACCTTGATAGAAACTGGCACGCATCATTCTATAAGGCTTGCGTTTATTATATATTTTGATATCCCTATTCAATGCATTATTTTACGTGAACACGGCTGTAAAACGATACGCACTCATTGACAATAGCCAGATGCTTGGAATTTAAAAACACGCCATAGATCAGTGTTGGCTTTTGATAGAATGGCATATTTGTGCTTGTCTACTAATCTTATAAACTCCAATCACATGCAAACACAACAAAAGATTGTATGGCTTACAATATCCACATCTAGTCTAGCCAAACATATATTGCTTGAAAAACAAAATCAATTTTGCAGTGGCTTAAGCCCAAGACTTGCACGAATTTTGTTGGCCTCGTCTACAGAAAGAACCTCACTGCCTCCGCCTCCTGACTTTTCAACTTGCTGGGTTGAGCCAGCATCGGGTTTCTTTGATCCTGGCTTTTTAAATAATGCGTCCACTCGTTTACGAGACCAAGTATGTTTTACACGAGACCCATGACTTGATGCAGCATCGATTGAATTTGCACTTTTTAAATTGGAATCAAAAGCTTCAGAGCGACCGACTTTACCATTATGTGTATCTTGGTTTTCATTCGAATGGCCATCTAAACCATTTGTTTTGGTCCTACTATTGCGTCGATACTCTTCGCGTTCAGAACTAGGACTTCTACTTCTGCGACTCCGATTTCGAGATCGATCGTCATCATGGTAAGCACTCCTACTACGTCTATCACGTTCATCACGATAGCTACGTCTATCACGCTCATCACGCTCATCACGATAGCTACGTCTGCTAGATTCATAATCTCCTTTATTCTCGCGATAAGAGCTGCGACCTTGATATTGAGTTCTGTCACTTGATCGAGCTTCATGACGAGTAGATCGATCATCCTCATTGGTCTTTATTCGTTTGGTTACATCTGACTTGTGGTGGAGAATGGGTGATGAATTACTCGAAACGACACGTACATCTTTAGTATGTGGTTTTTCGTCGGAATGTTGCTGAAAATCATCCAACGACTGTATACTTTCCTCGGCATCCAAATCATCCAACTCCATGTCCAATGGGCTTGCTCTGGGCTCGAGATCGCCTTGATCTTCCAGAATATACCTTTTGGTAAGTCGAGGTAAAATGGTATCACACATGCGATCCTCCAATAGCAAATCTGATATAAATTGATCCATAAAGGTCAACTCATACCCTCCGACTGATAAATGATTATAAAAGTGACATGCAAACTTTAGAGACGATCGTAATGAAGCCAGATATCAAGTATTGCTATCAATGGCAGAATCAACCTACCATTTGTCCGTCTTCGCAGCTTTCGTCTATCCTGCAAGAGTGGTTCTAGTCGTCGATACACCTGAGAATGGGACTCGGTAAGACGGATATAAAATGCTGCAAGAGCAGTGAGATACTTGAAGTCCGAGTTGGTAAGAAATAGAGTTATTATCTCATCATCTGGCTGAAGTTGAAGTATCTTTAAAGCAAGACAAATAAACTCTGTAGGTTTTTGACTGCCAAACTGGCCTCCAATAGCCTGCAACTCAACAGCTCGGTCCAGCAATGTTTCTGCAGACACACCAAAGAGTTTCTCCTTCCAATAGGCACTTTCATAAATGCGTTCACGAAGGATTTTTTCAATAAGAAACTGAGGATTAGTGCCATGTATGTTTTTACGTTCGTATGGCTGATCCGACATGGTTGTTTGTGGTTCAAATAAAGTAGAATAGAATGTAATTGAAACGATAATATTTGCATACGAATAAAGCGCTGTTTTTGTCAATCAACGAATCCTGAATTAAGCCAACAGTGGTTTAGTATGTGCTAGTCTTTTAACTAATTAAATCAGCATTCTCTCTGGAATAATGACTTCTTACACTGCTGCCAATCGACTACTCAAAGAACTGAATGCACATCAACGCAAGATTCGACTAGGTTGCAGTCATGATTCTCAGTTGGTTATCCTGCAACCACAATCTGACCAGGATTTATTTCATTGGAATGCAACCATCTATGGAAGGAGCAATACTCCTTATGCTGGTGGTCAGTTTGAATTGGAAATATTAGTTCCTAAAGACTATCCCACGGACCCTCCAAGAATTCGGTTTATCACTACTATTTGTCATCCAAATATACATATCAAGGTGTTGTGGTTCTCGCCAAGTAGGCTTAATATGATGCAACCTGGATTATGCTAACTGTAGTCTATTTCCAATGGATTTGCTTGATTCGGCCTTTATTAAATTGCATGTTGGTAATGCTGCTTCCAAGACTGGAGAAATCTGTCTGGATTTACTCAACAAGGCGTGGAGCCCCGCCTGGACTCTAGAATCTACGTGTATGGCCATTTTGGATCTTTTATCTGTAAGTATATCTACAATGCGCAGTAGCATACACTGCTGTATTCAGTGCTAATATGAACCCTATAATAAATACAATCAGAACCCCGAGGCAGACAGCCCTCTCAACTGTGATGCTGCCAATCTCATTCGATCTGGAGACCATCGTGGGTACAACTCACTTGTTCAAATGTACACGGCATTGCATGCCTGCATATCAGATTCACAGTGCTCCCGTCAGCAATGATATATCTTGTTCGACAAATTTGGCAATCTCCAATAAAGCATCCTCGATCTCTATGCACGCAGCATTATCGAAACTAGCACTAGGATATGTAGTGTCTGACAATGCATCCCGAGAGAGCCTACTGAGTGAATCTCTACTTTGTGTTTTATCTGTGGTGGGTAAAACCTGTAATAAAAATTGTCCAGTCGTTAATGCCTGTTGATACCATACCGACTAAATAGCTGTTTGTGATTTTATAAAAACTGAAATCTGCACTTACCATCAATGAAGAATCTACTTCTGGCACTGGCTCTATAGCATTTGTCTGACAAACTAAATCTATGATTGCTGGTTCATGAGCAATAAATTCTGATTGACCAGCAATAGTACCAAGACTAGGCGGTACAGGTTGAAATTCTGGTACAATATCCAGTGTCAGATTAGTTGAAATATGATTTACGTTCTCCACATTGACTATTGTATCCGTATTCTGAAGTGTCTGGTGTATTGGTAGCGACGACACTATAGAAGCTTCAATTGCAGGAGTTATGGATTCAACTTGTGCAACAGCACGGCTTGGTGGTAATGCATGTGTGTTTGCATCACTATGGAATGGAGTTTGAGCATTTATATAAAGTGGTGGAATCTCCGTCTCGATAAACTGAATAGTTGAATTAGAATCCGCACTGTTGCATGAATTCAAGCGATATTTCCTTGAATCGCAGTATATAGAAATATCACTATTTGCAGCTGTTACAAACTGCTGATGCTCAAAAAATCTACTAGAAGAAACTAGTCCTTGAAATGATCCATGTATATCTGAAAGAAACTGATTTCGATAAAAGGCCACTCGTTTCCTAAATTGAGCCATAAAGCTGGTGCAGTTCAAACTAGAGTCGGTGTAATAGGAAGCTTTGAATTGGTCAATACCAGATTGATGAGCAAACCAAGATATCAAGTCACTGCTTTTGATAATTCAGTCTACTCTGACTTGATACAAAGTATGTAAAAATTGGTTCAGGAAAGATTGAATATTTTTACTGTAATGAATGTAAAATAGAACAAATAAAAGTATCAAAATCCATAATAAACAGCCTCATCAAACGATGGGTTGGTTTACTGAACAACACTACACTTTAAACTCTATTTGATTGAGTTCCTGGCGATTGACATGTAAAGTTGCATTCCTGAACTATACAACTGATTTTTTGGACTAGATCGTATCTGATTTTAGGACACAACAAAGATGAGTTTGCAGAGTTTGAGAATAGTACAACTCAATATTTGAACTACAATGAATCTGGTGATCATACAATGTATGAATATACCAAACGAAAAAAGAATAATTATAGTTTAATTGTGTGCATCATATGATGGGTATTGTGTTGGCTAAAGAATTGATCATGCCAATTCAAGTCAATCTGTAAAAGTAAATATTCAACCATTGTCTATTCAAAGCAAGTTAAATACAAAAACATTTCATTTTACGTGAATATGGATGTAAATCAAAAGTATTTATTGATGGCGATGATACTTTATCGAAGTTCTACTCCACACTGTTGTACAACAGCAATGCGCAGTTTCTCTTGTGTAATATCAATCTCGGCATTCGTGCATGTTTTATCCATGGAGCGGTAGTTGATTCGATAGCAATGACTGGTTCGACTGGTTTTTGGATGCTTAAACTCGTCAACCTTTAAACACAAATAGTATGCATTGAAACATTAGTTTAAATCTAAATTCGCTTATAAACTAAACTGAAAATATTGACAAGAATCAAAAGCGTACCAATTTAACTTCTTCTGCTAAATCTCCGGCAACATCTCGAACAACTTCAAAAAAGTCGTTTTCGTGAAACCATGAAGGGATCCAAAATGAAATGTCTTTGTAGCATGAAGGATACTTTGAAAAAGGTTTAAATTTAGACATTTTTCCAGACATAAACTGAGATGTAAATCGTGGATCGGTTGACCAAAACAGTCGAATATCAGGAATATTAAACAAAGGCATTGCAATACGTTCCAATCCTAATCCAAAAGCCCAAGCAACTCGATCGCTGTTTCCGCTATTGTTCATGATCTCTTGTCTCACTACTCCACACCCAAAAAGTTCAAGCCATTTGCCATTATAAAACACTTCTAGCTCCCAGCTCGGACTAGTAAATGGGAAATAATCTTCGTTCCAGCGCCATTGAAGGTTAGGCTCGTCAGCAAAAACACAACGAATCAAATTTTCAAGAGTGTCCTTTAAATGCCGAGATAAAGCCATGACCTCTGCGGGTGTATGCATTGATTGAATTTTGTTTTCACTTATACCAATGGCTGTAGCAGCCTCGGCTGCTGTATGCTGCGAGCTGGAAAACTGGCGACGGTCAAAAGTGCGTATACCTTCCATTTGATGAAAAACTGGATAATGTGTTTGATCCACTTCATCTCTGCGATATACATCTGCTGTTAAAAGGTATCCTTCAGACGATTTGCTTGCCAAAACAGTCGATTGATGAGCAGATGTGTGAGTACGCAGAATATTGTCGCGATTCAAATAGTATGTATCTGTTGGAAGTCGCCCAGGATGATCTGGACCAATAAGCAAATCATCAAAATTCTGTTTGGGTGATACAACTGGCACCATAGAATCTATAATCTTGTATATAGAGGGTTGTGAATGTAGCATGTAATCTTCGATCTTGGTTTTAAGAATAGCAAGTGGATGGTTTTGCTGAAGGTGAAGTCTGTGCTCTATTTTACTCAAAACAGATGGCGAAACATTTGTCCATGAATCCGAAGAATACGCAGTTTTCAAAACATCTAGTTATTTGATATCAGTTAGTTACAACACTTGACATTTACTGTAATGAATGTAAAATAGAACAAATAAAAGTATCAAAATCCATAATAAACAGCCTCATCAAACGATGGGTTGGTTTACTGAACAACACTACACTTTAAACTCTATTTGATCGAGTTCCTGGCGATTGACATGTAAAGTTGCATTCCTGAACTATACAACTGATTTTTTGGACTAGATCGTATCTGATTTTAGAACACAACAATAAAACGAATTATTTTGTAACTTACGATGCACAGTTGATTCAGATGATTTCTTTTGAGGAATTGTAGATAAGGATCTGTTTATGAGCAAGAATTGACTAGAATTGATTTTCACGATATTGAGTTTTTGTGAACACAACAGCGCAGTTGATTGTGCAAAATGCCAAACACAGCGAGAAATGGCAACAGTTTTCATTCCAAGCAAGCAGAAGTGAGTGTTGTTATTACAAACTACTGTTTTAAGCCCGACTAAACCTCGAAAAGATTGCAAAAAATGGCTTAAATAATTCACTGCAAATTTCAACCAATTATAAAATCAAACCGATTAGATCGAATTTTTCTTTTGATCACAAACTGTCTTGATGAATTCTATTATTGCAAGACACTCATTTAGGTATGCGCAGCATATTCCTATGCACCAGGCTCGGATATGTGTAGCGTCACCTTTATTTCCTGCTATTAAATGCGTCAATCGAATGGTTTCGAGACATTACTCTGAAAAGAGTACTTTAGACAACACCACTGCTCCTCCCAATGCTGCTGAAAGTAATGATCCAAATCCCAGCACGGAGACATCCACTCCTGAAGATGCCCATATAAAGGCTCTTGCTGAAAAGGATGCTCAGATTGCACAGTTACAGGTACGGATTTAATCTGTTATTGATCTGGTTTCTCTTGAGTTTTGAACCAAATCTGCCATGGATCAGTAAAGCATTTAATCAGAATGCCTTGCTTTAGTTTTTCAAGATTTCATACTACTAGATCAAGAGATTAGTCAGACTTTTAAGTTGTTGGCACATGTCTGCATAATTACTGATTCCGACAATCTATTTGGCAATTCTGCCACTTCATTTGAATCGATCGATTTTTAGGATATGTATCGTCGCGCTCTGGCTGATGCTGAAAATGTCAGGCAACGTACCCGCAAAGAAATTGACGAAAAACAGTCCTATGCCATTCAAAAGTTTGCAAAGGAGCTACTCAACACTGCTGATATTCTTACTATGGCTCTTGATTCGGTTCCTGCAGCTGAGCGCTCAGAAAAATCCACCAATTCACATCTCAAGGATTTGTATACCGGAGTCTCCATGACCCGTGTAGAGCTTCTCAAAACATTCAAACAGTTTGGGGTCGAGTCTTATAATCCAGATGGAGAAAAGTTTGATCACAACCTACACCAGGCTTTATTCCAGGCTTCTGTTCCAGGAAAAGAGCCTGGAGTTGTGTTTCAAGTAACAAAAGTGGGATACAAGCTTCATGATCGTGTATTGAGACCTGCCCAAGTGGGCGTTGTCCAAAGTGAATGAATTCAGATTCAATCCATTGTTTTATTCAATATTATTTCTTACTATATGGCTCAGCAGTGTGATACCTTCTTTTTCCATCATCCATTCCATGTCCTTGCAGCGGAGGTGGTGGGCCATTCTGTGGATCCATTTTCATCCGACCGTGTTGTAATGGGTGTTGTGAATGTTCCTGGGAATCTCGAACTTGAGGAAGTTGCTGGTGAAACTCGGCACCCCCCTCATTTAAAATAGGTCCAGCGGATGCATTGTGCATTTGAATATGAGATGGCTTTGTACCAAATTGTAAAGGCTGTTGAGGATAATTTTCAGAATCACCACCAGGTATTTGTCCTTGCTGATAGTGTGGGGATGGACCTGTTTGAATTCCACTTACAACTGGATAACGATCGTGTGATGCAGGTTGCTGAGGTTGTAATGCTTGAACAGGAGCACCACCTGTCTGAGAGTTGCGCAAAAGCTGTAAACGTTGTTTGATTTGCACATTCCCTTGATCAAGCTCTAGTGCTCGCGTGTATGCATCCAATGCATCGGCAACCTGATTGTTGCACGATTCATACAAGGTCCCCAAGTCATACCTGCATTAAATACAATTGAAAGTTGAAAAGCAGCATACAGTGCGTTTACAATAGGATTGTTATAAACGATGAATCATTCGATAGATAAAAGCAACTGGTTACTTACCAAACCTCACTAATGTACGGATTAAGTCGAATGGCACGACTATACGCATCCAAAGCATCTGAATATTGATTGATTTGATAGTAAAGAACACCAATAGAGCACCAAAAGGTAGGATTCCGACCATCACGATACCTATATTATCATCCAAAACGACCATGAAACAAAAGTACCAAAAATCGAATGATTAGTCAATTCAGAGATGTATGCAATTCAAAAACTTGTTTCTTACACTGCTTGTTGATACGCATCGTAAGCATCATTATACTTTTGTTGTGCCATATAGCATCTGCCGAGCAAGTACCATGTCTGTGCATCAGCAGGATCTAAACAAATCAATATTAGCACAGAATTTTAAATCTACATGATCAAGCATATAAAACTCTTTCAAACTAGAAATGAACTGTACCCGAGTCAAGAGACTGTTTTAAGCATGAAATGGCACGCTCCTGACTACAGAAAGGTGTGCCAGACTGATGAAAAAGCCATCCCAACTGCTGCAAAACCTTGGCGTGCTTTGGATTTTCACTCAGTACTTTTTCATATGCTTCCTTTGCCAATGTGTACTAAATATTATTGCTAGTGTCAGAAATATGCGTATAATCAAGTAGCAGTTCCAACTACAAACACCTGCCTCTTTCTGCTGCTCATACAAATGACCGATTTGAAACCAAATATCAATTTCCGTGAGAGGACTAGGCGGGCACTTTAGAATATATTTAAAACACTAGCATACAATATATACAGTATGAGTTAAAGATAAGCCAAAATAAAGTAGCTTCTAATAATAAAAACCTGACAAGTATCTAAAGTATATAAAATAGCTTACGTCGAGAGATAAATCAAACTTGCGTTCCTGTTTGTAAATGATTCCTAGACGGAAATAAATCTCATTCGCCTTTTCAAAGGTAGGATCCATTCGAATAACGGCAGAAAATGCTTCCTCGGCGAGTTCGTACGAGCCATACCTGTCATAAAGAATTCCAATTCCATACCAAAGCTTTGGCTCCTAATGATCAGACCAATCAGTCAGGACTGATCAAAAAAGAATTTCGTATAACACAACATGCAGCGGCGGTGCTAATGAAATACCTTTGGATCGGGAAGATGATACAATGCACTCTGATAGGCGTTGTAAGCTTTTTGCAAATCATCAAGCATCAGATAGCAATGGCCGAGCGCACCCCAAATTTCGCCACTTGTTTCATTAATCTTCAAGATGCGTTGATAGTAGTCGGCAGCCTATTCAGATATAAAGGGCAATCCCAAAAAAAAGATTCAATAAATAGGTGGTTAAACAACGTCAACAACTATTGCACAAAAACAAAGCCATGCATTCTAAATTCTGCTTGATCAGCAAAGCCATCACTCCAATGGTTATAAAACCAACCCAGATTTGCGTACAGTAGAGATATATCGAGATTTTACGAGGTTCAATCTATCCTACCTTTCCATACTGTTCCAGCGAGCGACAAAGAGCAGCAATGAGTGTAAGTGTTTGTTCCGAAAACGGATTATGACGCAAAGCAGATTCATAGGATAAAACAGCACGTTCAGGCTCCATCATAGTTTCTGCCAACTGGCCTGCAGGACCAATAAAAACATCAAGTATAAAGTTTCGTGACATTGCATTCAAGTCCAATGAAAGATTCATCAAAATACAGTTAGCTGAACAGAAAACTCCAGAACATCAAAAGCGGTCCATTCATTTCAAGCCGTCTTTGAAGCAAAGCAATAGTGATTGCAGTCAAATGTGTCATGTAAAAGCTCGTGCAAGCAGTTTCCACACAACTCCAAAAAATGGAATTACCAGCAAAGCTGGATGAGAATGTCTTTTATGCTGCAGTTCTAAAAACACTCCAAAATACAGTTGAGCAAGTTTAGAGAGCATTTATTACCTAGCTGTAGCCAGGTGCGTTCATTGAGCAACTGTAAGTCTTGCATTGAATTGATGGTTTATGAAGCTGTTTTATCTTTAGTCAAGACAAAAACTGGCAAGATCTCGCCTAAAATTATTCTGATTTTGGCCAATTATTTAATTGGCCAAAATCAAATCATTGTCGATTCGGTCACTGCTGTTTGTTCTAGACATCTACAACATACTCCATGGTGGGCGTGGCCTCTTGTTACTGTTGATGTCTTACTATCTTGTACTAACGCAGCTCTATTTGTTCTTGACATCACACAAGGCAACTACCTCGGACAGACTGGTTGGAAGTACTCTTCTCATCATCGCTCTATTGGTCTTTAGTTATTACACTATTTGGGTATTTCTTCTGGTAAGACTGATTCAACCTCTGCATCAGCATTTGACATGATTCTACTCGTTTCCTTGGTGTGTTGAGAATTGCTTCAGATCTAAACTAAATCATATTTAATGAATTTAGCCTTTTGTACGTCCCGATCATGTACTTCATGCCTATTTTCTAGCTCCAGAATGGGCCATTCGGATTCCTGTTGGCCTACTTGTTGTTGGGTTTTCGGGGATTTTTGGATTTATTTCATTGGTATTGCTTCAAAATGGGAAAAAGAAACAAAGCTGATCAGACACATGTCGACAGCCAGATTAGTCGCCGTCCTAATCGTCGTTATTCGCGAGGCTCAAGCTCGAGTGATCGACGGAATGCCTCCTGTATGCATAGTGATCATGCGCATAATTTTAAAATGTGAATCAGTCTATTCTTGCATAGTGAGACAAACCCATTTAAATACACTCTTTGCACATGTCTACTTTGGGTTTGTCTAATCAGTTGGCAATGGTGTCTCACCTCTTCACCCATTTTTGGGAAATTGGCAATCATATTTGTGATCTGCAAGTTTGGAGAAATGTCATAAGGTCTATAAATGATTAGACAGAAGATTAGCTTCAGTCAATATTCAATAAGCAAGGTCTCAGTCACAGACCAACAGCTGTTGAATGTTTAAAAACTCACCTAATCTGAAAGTTGGTAATCATTAGAATTACATCGCCCATCAATACAAACTTTTGCAAATTGATAGTTGTATCGATTCGGAAATCCCTGTGCGACTCGTGTGTATAGAGCAAATCTCTCAAAAACACTCCACTAAAATATCACAAAAATTAAACACATGTCGATTGGTCATCCAATTGCATGTCCAATATGAACAGATGTGATTCAGTCAAACACTCACAGATACGGAATACATGGTAGACAGCTATGCTTGAGTGCTGCACGATAATTTGCTGATGACTTTTCTGAACTCATGAGTCGCTCAAGTGCTGCAAATTGTGAAACTCCTGGCTGGTCAGCAACATACTGTCGTGTGTATTTTAGTCGAGAAATTGAAGATGAATTGATACCAGCTATGACAGCCATAAGACTGTTATAGTTGTTGAAGACTTTAAGCCACTATATCATATACAAATTATATTCGACAAACAGTGTAGTCAAAGTAAGTGTCAAATAAACCCGTAATACCAACACTACTAAAAGTTTGAAATGTGTCGCAGTAGGCTACTGATATAGGATTAGATCTTACCTGACAAATACGCATAAACTTGGCAATTGTTTTTGCCCGTGTTTTGGGCTCGCTTTCTGAGAGAATAGATGACATTACCCTAAATGTAATAGAAACGTTTGTAAAAAATTGTATGGCATGTCTTAATATGCACCTATTCCAGTAGCCATTATTTACCATGTGGAAATATCATTAAACAACTGTACACTTTGAGCAACTGAAGCAGCGTGTTTTCCTTTATCTTTTTTACTCCATAAATGGTGCACCAAATCTCTAGGCTTGAATCCCCAATTAAATGACAATCGCGTCCAGATACATCAAAAAACAATCAAGGGTTAAATTTAAAATGTAAAGCAATGGGTATCTTGAAAATAAAACGGTACCTTGATACATCGAAAACAATTCCATTCCATAAGACACAGTTGTTGAGCAATAATATCGCTTTCGTTCTCAAGTATAGCTCTTGATAAAAATGTTAAAGTCACACTAAATGGGAGCTGAGAAACAAAAGGTTTTGCATGAGTAGTCTGGGAAGATTCAATGCGTGCTGTAGAGGCAGATTTGGCGGCACTGATGTCAGCATCGGTTGATCTGTGAAGGTCAAAATGAGACGATATAGACAGTCCACTCAGATCAAGTTCTTCAGCACTCATGACATCAAGATCGGGTACACCCCAATCAATCATGTCGTTTTCCGAGATGCATGCAGGTAATGTTGACAGTAGCTGCCCAATACGTTGGGAAATTGCAGAAAATTCGGTACGACTTGAAAAAACATCCAAACAAACAAAAAGAGTAAATCTCATTTTTTCAGAATGAAAGTCTTGCGGATAGTTTGTGATCCAGTATACAATGACATTGCAAACTCTGTAAAATTAAAGATATTTTGTAAATATTTAGCAAATGTATATAAAAGGCAAATGAAATTAGCAAGATATACAATCATACCTTAATTGAACCGGATGGATTGATCCAGAACGTCCCTCACGTCGCATACTGTTCAAAGACTGATTCGAATAGTCAAACAAATCAAACCTATCCAATAGTCTATCAAGAAATTCACTTGGACTGAGAAATTTAGGGAAAAGAATCAGTATCATTTTAGTAAACTCCATATCTAGATTCAAATAACTAAATTAGTATCATAATTAGCGAAATGATTAGCACAATACCCCGTATAAAAATAAGCTTTTACCATGAGTATCTTCTGAAGTAATACGCTCAATAATATCTGTAACAAGATAGCCTTCATATAATCTTCTTCGCTCCCCAGTGGAAGTAAACGATCCATTTGAAACAGATGTGTGAACACTATATTTGACAAAATCAGTTCCACAAACACAAAATACACCATCAATAATTATTGCAGATTAAAAATGTACATAATCAATAAAACTGACCTGGAACCATGCGAAGGAAGATCAGAAAAAGATCTTGCAAGACTATTTGAAGAATATGCCTCATCTGTGCTGATTTTAGGACATTCTTTTTGTATCTGTGAATTAGTGGAAGCTAGCGTATGATTTTCTTCAGAGTGTGATGTAGGCTGGATTTGATTAGAAACGCTGCAATCATGGGAAGGAATTACTTGTATTGCTATAGTTGAGTGTATCAAACAACGTGTCAGTGGCAAAATAAAGTCAACATATGACTGTCAATGTTTTTAGAAGCATAATTACAATTTTTGGGATCGAATAAAACATTGGTTGGTGGTTGGTATAAATTATCTTTTAATTTGTGAGATGGAGAAGCAGACACGCTTTGAGATTGAACCTGTGATTCAGAAAGGTATTCTTTACTCCCAGAAGTATTCTGCATTTGAGCACTTAATCTACGCATTGTTCGCAAATACTCTTTAAAAGTGTCTTGCTCCAAATGAGCATCATCATGATGTTCCTTGACTGGATCTTGTTGAGTAGTATTTACAGAAAGATCCACTGGATGAGAAGATTCTGTCGACAACACATTCAGATTAGCAAGGACGTGTAGCATTGCATATCACAACCATCACATTTTAAACGTTAGATACCAGTAATTTTAATGGCATGTGTGACGAGATCACGACAGACTGCTTCAAACATAGACTTTTGGTCATCATCTTTACTACTGTCCAGATTAAATTCAACAAATGTTACACCGAATACAGATGCAAGCTTTTCTCCTAGCTTGTAGTCCACTTGACGTTCATTGTCAAGTGATCCTGCATTGCAACCTAATAATGCAACAGGAATTCCGAGTTCTTGTATAATATCTTTGTAAAACACCAGTAATTTTTGTTAGTGCCATGGATTGACAGCTTAAGCGGAATAAAAGCTTTCAAATGGCACTGGATTGCATTTGATACCTAACAGCGCTGGCATACTAAAAAATGTAAGGCGATCGTTGATGTTATAGATCAGCAAGACAGCACCGTATTGTTTAATGGACTATAAGAGATTCAATCAGATTTAAACTTTGTATTAGCCGACTTTAAACTTGGACATGTCTAGCTTATACTAATCCATACTACCTCGTTAGCAACGCTCGACTCTATTCCGACGTCGCCCTCGTGCACAAGTTCAAAAGATACCGAACACTCAAAGTTTTGGGTTGAATTGGGGTTTCCATCAAACGTATATGACACAGGATCTACAAACATGACAACCAGTCAGTCTATACTATTTTGGTGTAGAAAACAACCAAGACTCAATCAACACTACTCTGCAGGTTCCATTCCGGACAGGCCAATTGGTTTAAAATCTGAGTGGAGAGAGTGGAATCTGAGCTAATACAGCAAATCGTATGGCTTTGTAGCACCATGATATAGTCTGATAATTGTTCTGAAATGGTCGAATCGAGCAGTTGAATCTCCGCCATCAATTCTAAAGCCGTGAATGGCAGCAGATTAATTTGGGGTTCAGTCGGTAAATATGGGGTTTGTTGGAGAGTAAATTCCAATTAAATTGCTTCGGCAGTTGACTCGAACTTGTGTCAACGATGAGCATTACGAGTGACGAAGTCAACTATTTGGTGTATCGCTACCTTTTAGAGTCGGGTAAGCTCACAAATTCTACTGTTGAGTCGTTAGAATCACTTTTACTTGCAGCTTTATTGACAGCAATCTGACTGTTTCGATGAATTCGACAAGCATTCGTTCATTAAGCTTGTACAAACACTTCAGATACCTCAGTGCAGAGAGTAATCCGGATAGAATGCGCTTTTTGTTGTAAATGAATGTTTAAAGTACTTTTAAATAGATTTGAATCTACTTGAAGGATAACTGTAATGTCTTGTCAGCTGGTTCAACTTTGCTGCTTTGGATATTCCATTTCGTTGGCAATTATTGTTATTTAATACCATATCTAAACATCTCTACTTGTTTAAATATGGTTATACAGGATTTACGCATTCCACCTTTTCATTTCAGCATGAAACTGCAATTCATCGAGCCGAAGTCAAAGGCAGCAGCGTCAGACCTGGTGCATTGATCAGTCTTTTGCAAAAAGGACTTCAGTATTTGGAAGTGGAAACCCATATTCAAGAGGTAGTTATCTGAATTATCATTGAATTGTGTTGATTCTCATCCTGTTTGCCGTTGTATTCAACTCCTAATGCATTCGTACGTTGAAAAATATCGTCTGGATAATGTCAGAACGGCAATGAAAAGCGATGTATTGCCCCATTTACACTTCTCGGACCGCACGAATGTCAAATAGTACCAAATGATTTTGAGGATGATTTTGAAGAAACGTTTGGTGGAAATAGACGAGGGAAGCGTAATGATGATCTGCAATGTTCTAGGCGTGAGCGGAGAGATGAGCGCAAATCGACAAAGAGGTCGGAGAATAGGGAAAAAAGGCAAAGAAAAGAATCTATTACTATTGATGACAATACAGACACAGCTAGTAAGAAATCTGCTTATATCAAAGTGTTTCAATCAACTGACATGTGTGCTTGTTTTTTTGATGCAGCCTCGCAGAAACACGAAGGCTTTGGATCTAATGAAGTAGAGCGTGAAATTGATATGGATATGGACACATCTGTTGAAGCTGTATCTCATCACTTTAATGCTACAGAGATCCAACTACTCATTGGCCATCAAGCCGAGGTATTTGAAAGTTTTGTTGTTTACGACTCAGCCTTGATTGCTAATTAGACATGACTACTAGGTCTTTGTGTGTTCATGGAATCCAAAAGAAGCATTGCTTGCCACAGGGTGTGTTGATATGGTAGAATATGTATGTTTTTTGCTTGAATCAAAAACTGACTACTTAACATGAACGTATTCGTTAGATCTGGAGATGGCACTGCTCGAATTTGGAGTACAAGCGAAAACACAGTGTCAAACTCTCAATATCCGGTGGTGCTACAGCACAGTTCTAGTTCTGGAGAAACCAAAGACGTCACAACTTTAGATTGGAGTGTAAGTATTTGAATCTAGTTGGAATTTGAACTTGATAGTCAAGTATCATTAAAAATAAGAAATATACATTTTGGTTGCTATTTAATAGCCAGATGGTGTATTCCTTGCGACCGGGTCATATGATGGACTTGCGCGAATTTGGCACAAGACAGGTAAGTTTAGTTTGTGCTCTATTATTTTGGTGGTTTACATGGAAGCTGCTTGACTAGAGTACGTTTTGGTAAAACATATTTACAAATTATTGATGAATTCAGGGACAATCAAGTTTACCATGCATAAACACCAAGGGCCAGTGTTTTCTTTGAGATGGGGTAAAAATGGTGATCTGTTGCTGAGCGGCAGTGTTGATCGCACTGCAATTGTATGGGATGCAAAAACTGGAGAAGCTCGCCAACAATTTCAGTTTCATTCAGGTATGCACACTATTTGTACCCGTTGATTCTTGCTTATACATTTTCTAATCTTGGACATCCATACTCTTTTACTTGTTTATACCCAACTGCTTAATACGGTTATTTACACTTGCAAGGACCAACTTTGGATGTGGACTGGAAAGATGACTCGACATTTGCTACGTGTTCCACTGATAAGCAAATATATATTTGCCAACTGGGGTCTCTCGAGCCTCTTAAGCATTTTACCGGGCATGAGGTGAGAATATGGCAATGTAGTGCGTTTTAGCTTATTTGCAACACCTGTTTATAGTTTATAAAACACTAGGGTGAAGTAAACGCAATCAAGTGGGATTCGAACGGTACTTATTTGGCATCATGCTCTGACGACCACACTGCCAAAGTCTGGAGCCTTGATCAAGACACTCCTGTTTGGGATCTGGTGGGTCACCAGAAAGAAATTTATACAATGAGATGGAGTCCCCGCTCGGCAGAGAACAACAAGCTTTTTCTTGCCACGTAAGTGATTCTATGCTGCTTGTATGCATAATTTTAAACTAATTGGCAATACTTTTGTATTTAGAGCTTCTTTTGACAGTGAAGTAAGGATCTGGAATATTCAAGACGGCACTTGTATGTATGTTTTGACAGGCCACACCGATGCTGTATATTCAGTATCGTTTAGTCCCGACCTGATGTATCTTGCAAGTGGGTCTTTTGATCATTGCGTGTTTCTATGGTCATTGAAGGATGGTGCCCTTCTCAAGACACATCAAGGAGGTGGAGGTGTTTTTGAAGTTGGATGGAGTCACGTTAGCAACCATATTGCAGCATGTTATACAGACAAAAAGGTAGGTTTAAACATGTTTTCACTCTAGTTACTTTTAAAACCACTTTACAATCTACTCGGACAGTTATTTGAAGTTGAATTGTTTCATCAATTCAGAAACTCCATTTTTATGACTTGAATATTGTTGAAATGGAAGCGTTTTAACCATTTTAATATTTTTACAATCATGATACAGGTGATTGTATTTTCCGTTTAAACTAGTATGAGCGTAGATGCGCAGACAGCACATGAGCTACAAACTTGATTTTATTTGATGAGCAAATAAACTTGTAAATTTCATTGCGGCCAATGTATGTAATTGAATGTGCAAAAGTTGAAGTGCCAGCACTGGTAGTGACGAGTGATGGATCTGTTAAAATGCATGATTTCCAATGCGCATAATGTTGTATAAAATTAATGACCACATCAGTCTTGACAAATCCCATATTCTTGAGAGTTGTTTAATCTCTGAATAGTATGACAGTGATTAGCATGTATAGTTGCAATTATTAATTTTTTGAAGTAGATTGTATCCGAGTTTTTAGAATACAAGACTGTATTGACAAGAACGACTAAAATGGATGAAATTAATGATTGACAATGTAGGGTCAAGTTAAAAGGATAAAAAGATGGTCTGATTTTGTATTGATCAACTGCAGTTGGTTAGTTGTGAATACAATTGATTTACAGTCGAGATGTTTACGATTGGATAGTTGAATTTTGGATAAACTCGATGCTCAATGAAATTGATAAAAACAGCAGCAGCGATGACAGTTTATGGCCCAGCGGACAGTTGCAAAGTTGTCCGGAAAGAGTGAGCCATGCAGATAGGGGACGATCACCCTAGTCGCAATTTCAACCAAACTACTTGGCAATGCTTAGAGTCATTTTCAACCTTTATTCCACTCAACAACAGTCAATAAGACTGCCCATTTCATGTCATCCAATATTAGTAAAGGCGATAGGAGTGGAAGTGCTTTGGATATAGTAGCTAATGCTGATGCTACCAATGGGTCAGACCAAGAAACAGAAGTCTTGGATGAAGAACCTCGTAGCATTTTGATGGGTGTCATTGCACAGTTGAGCAAGGGGATGGACTTGCATCGAGTGACACTCCCCACTTTTGTATTGGAGCCAAGAAGTATGTGTGAGCGCATATCCGACTTTTTAGCACATCAGACTATCATTCTCAGGCAAGCTTATGCATTCTCCTTGTCTGTATCCTCCATAACTATCTGATGAGCGGATAAAGCTTGTCAACTCTTGTGCAAATGTGTGTTTTTGATCTATCATGCAAGTCTTGCTCACTACAATCAAAAACTCTTGACTATAAGAGTAGTATAACTCCCGTCGTTTACATTGCTTTCTTTATATGATGATTATTGACCAACTTGGTATGAATCCCAACCGTGTTTCTCTTGATATTACAATCTTATTCTAAACAGCACATCCAAAAAAGACGATCCTATCGAGCGATTCATTGACGTGCTAAGTTACTTTTTTTCTGGTTGGCATATTCGACCAAAGGTAATCTACCAATCTGGTCTTGTTCCTGAAGCATTCAATTTAGACTTGTCATGACTGCATCAAAATAGACTCGATGTAGTGGATGATTAAAGAGTCAAATACACTTGTAACATTGCAGTTGATTCAGCGAGTTTACCATAGTATTCGCTCTAATATTAAACTATTTATTTTAGGGTGTAAAAAAACCATTTAATCCAGTTCTTGGCGAGATATTTCGTTGCCATTGGAGCTTTCAAGATGCCACAGAGTCGTTTTTTGTCTGCGAACAAGTATTGCATCATCCACCTGTATCGGCATACTTTTTTTCCAGTCCTGAAAACGATGTGACCATCACTGGAGAACTCAAACCTCGTGCTCGCTTTCTAGGAAACTCTGCAGCAACCATAATGGAAGGTGGCTCGACCGTCACGTTTCCATCGCGTCCGGGAGAATCTTATGATATCACATCGCCAAACGTATATGCTCGTGGTATACTTTTTGGCACAATGTACATTGAGCTTGGTGACACTGCTATTGTTCGATGTGCAAAAACAGATCTGATTTGTAACATCGAGTTTAAAACCAAGGTGATTTGTTGGGTTGAAAGCATCTATTCATGCTGTAGAGTATTAGCTGAGATGGTGTACAAGTAGACTTACTGTGGTGATCCGATATTGCAAATTGTACTAGGGATACTTTGGAGGATGTGAGAGAAATGCCATAGCTGGAAAAATCAAACGGGAGAGTACTGGGGAAATACTCTATAAGGTATCTGGCTGCTGGTCAGAGCAAATATGGCTGCAGTCTACCAAAAGCGGTGATAAAAGAATGATATTCGATGCCATTTCTTCAGCACTTGTTCCAAAACAAGTAGCTGACATCTTGGATCAAGAGGAGTTTGAATCCCGCAGGTTAGTTCACCTTGGTTACTACCTGAAATTTTCGAGTTACACTGCAACACTAACCATGCTAACATTCCACTGAATGACTACCCTACTTTTTAGATTATGGCAACACGTAGCCAAGGCTGTCACGGATAGAGATCTTGACATGGCTACTTTAGAAAAGAGCAAAATCGAAGATAACCAACGCTTGGTCGTCAAGGACAGAGAAGCAACATCACAAGTCTGGGAGCCCAGGTTTTTTTCCCCAGATGGAGAGAATTGGAAACCAAAGTTTATGGAACAGTAAGAAACCATCAGTTTTTGATTTCAGACATTATATAATAACATGAGTGCCTAACGTGAATTCCAATATTCTTGTAGTATTCCTACCGAAGCAGGCTTGGCAAAAGAGTGGCTTCGAGAGACTATTTTCTCCAAAGCAACCACGGATATGCATGTACACTTTTGGTCCAATAAATGATGCCATGATTTTCTATCCATTTGGCGCCAATCTTTCAAGTCCAAAATCAAATTGTGCAATGAAAAAGTCACGTGTTTAGTAGTCTCGAATCTGAATTTTTTAATATTAAAAAACAAAAATTTCTTGATTTGCAGTTGAACTTGAAAAACTAGAAAATGGGAGTTAAACTGTACCAACGCTACAAGTCTCTGACACCGTTTGGGCTAATTACCTCTCCTAGTGCAAATATTCTCTTTGACACATCGGCATGCAGCATTTCAACTTCTGGTGGTGCACAGCACTTGTATGCACCACAACTACACTCTATTGGAGTAATTCATTTAAAGCAAGGAATTCAGATTGCTACACTTGCAGATGAATCTTCCTCGGCACAACTTACTCGCCTTGTTCTTGGACCTGCTGGAAAATTACTGGCTGCCGGGTAAGTTTTTCGATTCAGTACTGGTGTGATCGCATGTTTTTAGATTATAATTGATTGGCAATTTGAATTCATTTTCTTTTATCAATTCTTGGTTCTGCATCATCGATACTGTTGGACGAATTGAAATCAAATAGATACTCGGACGGATCCATTCGTATCTGGGACACATCATCAAAAGTTTGCATGGTCACCTTCAATGGACACCGTGCTTCTGTCACTGCACTTGCCTTTGATGCACTTGGAACACGTCTGGCATCTGGCTCAAGCGATACCGATATTGTTTTATGGGATATTGTTGCAGAGTGCGGTATGTTTCGTCTTCGTGGGCATAAAGACCAGGTCTCTTGCCTTCGATTCTTGACTAAAAACGGACTAGACCACTTGGTTTCGGGCTCAAAAGACTCTCTAGTAAAATTTTGGGACCTCGCTTCCAAACACTGCGTGGAAACTTTAATTACACACCGTGGAGAGGTTTGGGCTTTAGAAGTATCCCCCACAGACGAAAACCTTTTGTTCACCGGTGCTGCAGATGGTCAGATTCGAGTTTGGATTATCAACGCAAAAGCCTTGTCTGAAAAATTAGATCCTGTTCGCTCTGTACCCAATGCATTACAAACTAATGCCAACTCCATAATAACCGATATTGCAAACACTGTCGAGTTTCTTGGAGTGATTGAACGCCAAAGTAAAGAGCGGATTGTCACTCTTAAAATGGACACGCATGGTCAATATATTGGTGTTCATGGAACAGATAGGCTTGTGGAAATATTCAAAGTACGATCAGATGCAGATGTTTCCAAGATAGTGGAGCGTCGCAAGCGCAAGAATCGGAAAGACCCCAATTTTACCTCGACTGAAGACAATTCGACCAATACCATTGAAGCAACCATGGCCGATCGCTATGCAAAAGTTGCAACTATTCGATGCACTGCCAAAGTTACTTCCTTTGATTTTGCACCTACTTTGATTGTAGGTGCAGCTATCAAGTCGGAAATGCCTTTAAAACTAGTCTGCTCACTTTCAAACAATTCAATCGAGGCATATGATCTTTCAGGCATGACTGGCACTACAAAAAAGGAATCTGTGCCTCGCCTTGTTTCTACAGTGGATCTTGCTGGTCATCGCTCTGACATCCGCTCATTGGCCCTTAGTTCTGACGATGACCTGATTGCAACCGGATCAAACGATCTAATTAAAATATGGTCTTCCAGAACACGACAATGTCTTAAAAGCATGAGTTCGGGCTATGTACTTTGTCTAGCATTTCTTCCAGGAAACAAACATGTAAGAATTTAAAAGAGCATCTACTTGATATATTTCAATCAGGAAATTTCACTTTAGCATAAACTTTACTGTTTTAGCTTGAATAACTGATTCTTTTATTGTCGTAACTTTAGCTTGTGGTTGGGACAAAAGCTGGCGAGATTCAACTTTTTGATTTACCCTCATCGTCGCTCATTGAAACTATCCAAGCACACGAGAGTGCTATCTGGTCATTAAAAGTACGTATGGATAACGGCGGTATTATTACAGGATCTCAAGACAAGCAAGTCAAGTTTTGGGATCTGCGCATGAAACAGGACGAGTCGTATTCCAATGTAATATTGAAAACCATAGAAATTATTCAAGAGTATTGCCTATATTTTAATGCTTGTCTTGATAGGTTGCCAAGCGCGCTACACTGGTACACACACGCACACTTAAGATGTCAGAAGACGTTTTGTGTGTTCGACAGTCTCCCGATGGTCGTCTTCTTGCTGTGGCTTTACTAGACAGCACTATCAAGATTTTCTACTATGACACTTTGAAATTTTTCTTGTCACTCTATGGACATAAACTTCCAGTGGTGTCTATGGATATATCTTTTGATAGTAAACTTATTGCCACCGCATCATCTGATAAGTCTGTAAAGATCTGGGGATTGGATTTTGGAGACTGTCATCGCAGTTTGCACGCACACGAAGACTCTGTTATGGCCTGCCAGTTTGTATGGGGCACTCACTATTTGTTTACAGCAAGCAAAGACCGAACTGTAAAATACTGGGATGCCGACAAGGTGAGACAACTATGGATGTTGTTTTAAATCAGCAACACTTGGCATTTTGGCGTATAGTTTTATTAAATAGCTAATCCATTTCAGCTATAGTTTGAACAAATTACGCGGTTAGAAGGACATCACGGAGAGATCTGGGCTCTTGCTGTTGCCAAATATGGCAGCTTTATTGTCACTGGCTCGCATGATCGCTCTATTAGAATTTGGGAAAAAACAGATGATCAGGTTAGTGTATATATATTACCAACAATCAATTGTCAGATATAGATTCGAAATTTTATGATGCTAATTTTGTATCTACTAGTTTACTCTTGAAGAGGAGAAAGAGCGAGAACTTGAACTAAGACAAGAAATGGAAGCAAATTTAAACAATAGAGACGATCAGGCTATTGGGTCAGAAGCTCCAGATGCAGAAAGTGCCGAAAAAGACTCGGCCTTTCAGGAGGTTGGTGTTGCAGGATTCAAAGCCACTGATACATTGAAAGCAGGAGAGAAAATTATCGAAGCTCTTGCTGTTTGGGAAAAGGAAAGAGGCGATTTTGATAAATATGAAAAAGTACGTTATATTTGATTGAAATTCTTGGTCAAGTATACAGCTCAAATTGCAATGTGCCAAACTTTTGTTTTCATTGGTGATGCCAACTCAATTTTTATTTGCTACTTTAGTTGCGACTTAAGGATCCAAATGTAGCGCCTCCTCCTCGTAGTCCATTTGTAATTGCGCTTGGCCGGCCAGATATACTTCCAGAAGAATATGTTTTGCATGTGATCACGCTAATTCGGTCCAGCCAGATTGACGAAGCACTTTTAGTATTGCCCTTTTCTAACGTCATAGATTTGTTAAAATGCATAAGCTTTTGGATTGAAAAGGTACAACACTTTAGTCACAACCTTGGGTTAGTGACTATGTTACCAAACTCGGTTGTGTTTTTTGCTATTTGGTGTAAGCAATCACTTGTTTGATGACTAAAGTTGTGTACAATATTTAGGGTTGGAATACGAGACTGACAGCAAAGATTCTGTTTTTCCTATTACAAACTCATCACCATGAGATGACCAGCACCCGTGCTCTACGCCCTGTGCTTGATAAGATACGTCTTTTGACTAGGCAAGGCCTTGAGCAAGAACGCGATCGGATTGGTTACAATGTTGCAGGAATTAAATTTCTTCAGCGTGAGCATGAAGCCAACCACTCTGCCTTTTTTGGCGAAGAAAGCACTGATGGCCCAACTGATCCAGTTGTATCTGATAAAGTTCAATCCTTGGATACGTCAACGTTGAAAAATAAAAAGCGTCGCCATATCAAGGTTGTCTCGTAATATCGACCTTGCTTGCTGGAATGCTGCTCTCTTTGGTTTATGACACCAATAAATCTAGCTCATTTCTTCATTTTATTTCAATGAGAATTATCAGCATGAGCTACGTGAAATAAATGTCTTGCTCTAATGCTCTTGTTTTATCGATGCAAAATCAAACTATTATAAGTAGGAAAACATTTAGATGGAGACCAGCATTTGGATTTAATTTGACAAGGAATAATATTTATACAAACATATTGTTCAGTTGTTGTGCAGCACAGATGAAAATTCAAGTTCAATCGCATGAAATCAAGCCTGAATTACGAATATTGTTTTCAAAGTTTGATAAGCCATGAATGTGTTAATCAAGACATTCAAAATATTTAATCTGAATAAACAACTATTTTTGCAGTTTGAATCTTTAATCCAACATCAAATGTTTGAAGCGTTTTTAGCACAACCAGGAAACCGAAGCATCAATCGACATCTGCACGATACTCTTTTGCAGACTGTTCGTATGGAACTACTTGGCTCTAAATCACCCGACCAAGCTGCTAAACTTGTTTCTTTTCTATTGCAAACTTGGAGAATGCCAACTCTTAGTGAACCCATACCCGGCCGAGCAACTGCGATTGAAATGGCCTGGAAAACTGGAATTCATATTTTGAGATCCAAGGCTTCATCTCGGGATTGTTTAGAGGAAAATACTATGCAAAGCGACCTTGCTGTAGAATCTGATGAGCACACAACAGCTGCAGAAACAGAGATGGCTAAAAAGATTATCTCGTTTCTTTTTTCAGTCACTACAGTTGAATCTAAGCAAGTATGTCAATATGTTATTCTAGAGTTATATTTATCATCATTCGATCATTCAGTTTGAATCATTTTGATTATGCAGCGTGCTACTATTTAAAGTAGTGTAGTCTATTTCCCAAGAAGCATTTATCCAGCACGATGTCGATTATTAACTCGGTACCATCTTGATTTACAGAAAAGTCGGGAACTTGTTCTTGAGTGGGCCTTGTATTGTATTCGATTTGGTAATTTGAAGCCTGCATACGAACGGCTGGAGAGGTATATTGGATCAACTGCTACTCGTTATTTTGAATTGTGCTACGTAAAATTCACCGCTCATTATATCTTTGGTAGTCTAATTGCCTTGCATCCATACAACGAACACTCATTGCTAATTGGTTGTGCTGGAATCATATCCTTTCTTATATGGAAACAAGAAGGCAGCTATTTGACAGACACGCATTTTTTCCGTCAAGCAACATCCCACTTGGAAGAAAGTTTATTGTTGGATCCTACTGCAGATATGTTTTCATTATTATTGGAAACTGTAAGTGTTGTTTTTGTATCAACTGAATTTTCAAGCTTTGTCTAATACCATATTCCTTCAGATGTATAAATTTGATCATCAATTTGCTACTTTGGAAGCACTACTGGTTCGTATGCATATCAGCAACCCAGACAACCCGAATACTGCAAGACGTCTATTGGAATTTTATCGAATGCCAGACCAAGAAGATATTTATAAACAAAAATGGGTTACGTATGCCGAAAAATTGCTAGAGCTTGATCCATTAATGGATCCAGCTGTAGCCCTCGAGCCTCTCGTATCGTTTTACAAATCAACAAATTGTGAGTTTTACCTTGTATATTCCATATCTACTGCTTTATATTTTTGCTGCGATTATATAGTTTACTTATTCTCCGTTTCTCATGTCGGATACAGCACCAGAATCAATCGTTAAAATTCTATCCAATCGACTGGATTATGGTATGGGGACAACTTGGATGTGGGAAGAACTATGCAACCATTTGGATGCAGATAGGTAGATTAAATTTTGGATACTTGATATGAATTTGCATTTACTATAAGATCAAATGTTTGCCAATATCATGCTCCGCACCTTATTGACTCAGTCTTTCAAATCATGCTTCTTCAATAACTAACCATACCATGTTAGTATTGATCCGAATCATTGGGAAGATCGCATACAATGGTGGCCTGCGCTGCATTTTTATGAAACCCCTCCACTTGTGCCCCAAGAGCTTTTCGACTATTTAAGTGAGCCAAATTTTTGATATGTTTTATGTCGAGTTCAATTTATTATAACTCTACCAAATCGCTGTGGTGCTAAAGTATACATTAAACTGTCAATAACAGAGCGTCGTGGTATTCAGCTGCAATTTGCCCAGAAAACTTTCAAGACTGAATGGCTTTATAAAAACCTTGGAATTCCTTGGAATCTCGGATTTGAAAATCGTCAATTCAACATTAAAACCATCTTGACCAAGAGAATCTCGACTTACCAAAAAAAAAGTGGTATTTTTCCTCCACTAAAACTAGCTACAAAACTTCGACGAATGCCACCGAAAAAAGAGTCCTTGCGTCAAAGTACTAGAATCAGTGATAAGCGTCAAGAGCGACGTAGTAGAAAAGCTAATGCTGCCAAATCACGCAAATAGGTTTATTCCTGGATCGATACATTCCAGTCTGCTAATAAAGAGCGAGTATGCTTGACGTTGAATTTCACAATTAGTATAAATTTAAAGGCTGCATAAGCTCAGTGTTGAGACATGCTAATGGCTTGTTTTATCGAGTCGGCATCAACCTTTGCTCTAATCCCAAGATTCTATTCAATTTATGGAGCAGCAAAAACCGCAAGTGTCATACACTGAAAACGGCATGTTCACTTGATCTAACCTAAAACACCTAATCAGATATATCCCAGCATGTATAATGTACAACGTAAATAGCAATAGCTGCTAAACTGTTCACTTTTTAATATTTTGAGCCATGGTCTGTAGCTTAACAACCTCGAGCTTCTTTTTTTCTTGCTTCTCTTCCAAATCTTTGATCTGCAGCTCCACACGCTTACTGAGTTTTTACAAACAGATGATAAAGTTTAGTGTTAATGCATTGAAATCAAAGAATAGATGTTCAAAAATAGCGATGATAGGCAACGATCTGGCTAAATAGTGCATACATTTCTCCACTGATATACTCAATGCGCTTGGAAACGTTCCCTACAGCTTCCGGAGTATCCTGCTTTACAAGAACCGGGCCTACTAATTTATATATGGTGGCATCATCCTTGAGAAATTTGAACTCCTAGATCATTTATGTGTAGACAAGGCCTGTAGTATCAGCAATGTATTCCAATTCCAAATCACGGTATTTCTAGATACATATGGCAAGGAATCTCCTGCATATTTCCAAACTGGTGGTGTCATACTGTACAAGCGACAGTTTTAGACAGCTAAAGGTTTGTAAGTTGGCAGAGTACGCACCTTTGACACCTCTTCGTTCTCTTTAAGCTGAGACTCAAGCTGTGTTCTGTTTTGAACAGCTTTGAAGTAGTCTGATTACAAAACAAAAACGCAGGGTCAGTTATACCGTCAATACTGTATTAATCTAAAAGTCAAGACTACGTTTTCAAAATAATACTAATGTGCACCAAGTTCAATTATAGTAAAGCAGTGTCATGCACTTGAGATGCAGTCAAGGAAAACAGCAGAAAATACCTTTTTGTAAAGTCTGAAAAGCAGTGACTTCTGTTTGCAGCTGCTGCTCTAGTGACATGTAGATGGAAATTGCTGTCAACTTCAGCAACTTGTCCAAAGCAAGATAAATGGAATTCACGTGATATTATACTGACTCGTTTCTTGCAACACATTTAAAGATTGGCACAACTATTGAAATACAATCAGAAATCTTGCTTATTAATATAAAGTGTTGGTGTGTAATAAACAGTCAGTGACATGAACTCATTGATAATTTAGTGTTATTGTTGGTGGTGATTGACATGCAAACAGTTGCATTATTGACATGTATCATGATTGTTGTTGAAGTAGATCGCGATCGTATCCGAAATTCAAAATACAATAAATGAGTGTAGAGTTGTATTGACATTGACAGTCAAACACAATACATGAATGTGGGTTCAAACTTGGTGATCGTACAATGTATGATTACTAAAAGTGTACAAAGTGTAGATCCAACACTATAGTCTGATTGTGTGTTATATGATGGTTGTTGTGTTAATTCAAGAATCGACAGTGTTTATCCAACCAATACAGCAAATATCACCACTCAACTCAACGGGTGATCGTTTAATGGCATGTTATTGGACTGACAATTCCAAGAGTCAATTTAAACAATATTTGTAATATAAAGTTTGGATTACAATATACATTCAAGGTTTCATTCCTGTACTGAAATGATTAAATAACTGCAGCCATATCACTCAGTCATACAAATATGTACCAATCAAACAATCACAATTAAACTACACACTTTGGTAGTATACATGAAACATTGATACCAATTTTTTAGCCGATAATCACTGTTAAATGCTGTCTGGAAATGTAAAAACAACGATTTATTAAAGATAATCAATCCAGGTCAAAATATTTATAACAGAATAATGGGTAGTTTATTAGTTTGAAATATTAGGAGTTTTCTGTGTCAGACTCATACTTGATGCTTTAAACGGACACGTAGTAGTATAAGTTGAACCGTCTGTCGTTTTTATTTAAATACATCTAACAAATCATCATCATCAGTGGCCATCTGAGTTGGCTTTTTGACAGCAGAGTAATCTTTAATCACTTTTGCCCAGACCTGATTGAATTCCTTGTCAAAGCAGTTTTCGATTCTGTTCCATCTGCCGTACAACTTTCCATGAGTAGTAACAATTGAAATGTTGAATTCTGCACTCTTGTTTTCTTCAATCGCTTTGAAAAATAAGGAACAGCAATAACAAGGTCGTTCTGACACTCCAATATAAAGTGTTGTAGATTTACAGCAATCTTTGGCAGTCTTCAAGATGGCCAATTCAGCGTGACAGTCAAGTGAAATAAATTGGAATTGTGGTGCCAAAGATTTGAGATATATGTCTTGCTGATGTCGTTGAACCTTTTTCCACACGAACGCAATCTCTTCGGATAGTCTAATCATTTTCAATAGACGAACCGCCATTTTTCTGGCTGCTTTCGAGATATCTTGTGTAATGCCGTCTTTCATTGCTCGAAGAACCTTTCTATTGTCCGTGATCAAATCCATCAATGCCCCAACGTCGTCCAAGGTCAACCCTTGTTTAAATATCAGCTCGGTCATAAGCTTGGATAGCTCCTCGGGTAAGTTGTTTTCTTTGAATAGTGACTCTAAGAGCTCCAGACGATTCGGAAACTTTTTGAAAAAAGTACATATTGAAGGCTCCAGAACCTTTTTGAATTGTTTAATAATATACGACAAGTGACGGGGAAAGAGTCTGGCTGCTATTTCATTGACTGGTTTTAAGTCCAGGAACATATTGATGATCTCTGTGGTTTCTTGCTGTTGAGAATCAGTCATTGGATCATTGGTTGCAATGTATAATTTGTTGTGACCCATCGTATCCACAAAAGAAGAAACGACAGTACAGGTGAGTTCTTCACTCCTAAGAGTAAATGCGAGTGACTGCCAGAAATGAAGCGGATCTCTCTTGCTCCATACAATGTCTTTTTTTAAAACCATTTGAACAGGGTTTTTGAGCTGCTCACAAAGTAGCTCAAACTCTGCTTTAGCTCCAGCGGTATCAGAAAACGGACTTTGGTTTGGTGATATTTTTGTAATTGGTGAAGCCTGAAGATGTTCTGCCTGGGGAATATACTCTACGGCATCGTCAGTTTCTTCGTTGCTGTTCATTAGAAGTGGATTTTGGTTTTGGGAAGAGTTGGTTGTAATCATTTTGTGAAAGAAAATAGTCACAGAACTGTTTCAGTTTTATCTCTTAAAAACTAATAAACAAGTCCGAATGGATGGTTTCCAGTCATTTAATGAAAAACAAGAATATTTTAGCCATTATTGAAAATGCAGACGACCAGCTTTTATCCAACTTTGTTAAAACTGTCAAGTCAAACAGCAAAGAGAAACCATTGCCATTTCCTGAAAAACAACGGATAAAGACTCGGAATCAATCAAAACCAAAGAATGTATTTTATGTTGAATCGAAACCTGTTACTGCTGATAGAAATGGAATTCAAAAAACCAATATTTCACTGCCAAATTCTTACTCAAACGAGCTGACCAACTGCAGAAGAGTATAAATAAGCTTCAAAGGAGAAATCGGTGGATATGTCAAGTGTTGATGGTATTACCGAGTATATTATTTTCAAGTTGGAACAAATCAAGTTTGAAAATCACAATATATTGGTTCATTATATGCAAGTAGCTCAAGGCTTGAAAATGCCAATGCAAAAACCATGAATTGTGTTTAATGGAAAGCTAGTTTTTACGGACAAGCAAGTCTTTCCAAAGATGTTGACCTGACCAAGATTGCAGGATCCGCTTTTAAGAGCCATCAGGGCTTTCTGTTATTCATGGAATCATATTCCAGATTTGTTCATAGCGATTTAACATACAATCAGATCAAAGAGAATATAGGCAAGTTCAAAGATTCAAATGTATTGCCAATATTCCAATGGTCAGTGCGATTGTAATTATATGCAAAGTTATTTAATACATCAATATACTGATTGACTTTTCTTGATTCCTGGTATTTACTAATCATTCTTTCAATGGTTCTATTAAATCGCTCAACCAAACCTTGCTTACTGTGATCACCAGAATTGACTGATGTGACGAACCCTGTTCTGTCTCGATAGTGTTCCGAGTTCGTAAATCACGAATTCGATCCCATTATCAGTTTGGATGAATATTGTCATCCACTCAATAGAAACTAGTTTCATTTCCTTTGTGGTATTTGTTTTACTTTTCAGTACAACTACGAATGCTCTTTGGGTAAATGCATCAATTTTGCACAATAGATATTTCAAGCCAGCATTACATCTGGAATATTTAGAAAAATCAATCAAATCAACTTGCCATTGATCATTCACTGAATACACGTTGATTGGACTAAATGTCTGACTGATTTTAGATTTTGAATGGAGTTGATGGATTTCTTGTCGCTCAAGGAATGGCTTGATAAGTTTTAAGCTGATTTCTTTAAGCTTAAGGTTTAATTTGTAAGTAGATGTGAAACCAGTTTTTGTATTGTAGTAAAGTTTATCCATACTCTGCAATAAGAAAATAAATCTTTACAATTCGGTTGGAAATGTTTTAAAACCAACTCGGCGTCTTTTGCCATTAAACGATTTCATTCCTGCTTTGGTTCAGGAATACGTGTTCATCTGATTCTTTTTAGCTTTGAATCCACCAACAAGTTTTTGAGTAGCATTATCATTTAAATACCTTTGCTTTGTTACCGTATTTTGCTTCTTGTTGATGTTTTTAGAACTAAACTTGTTTGAATCACAATAGTATCTTTTACTGGTTAACAATATGATACAATCTTCATATTCAAGTTTAAATAGTCCAGAAGTTCTACATTGTACAATTTGTTTTCCAAAGCATCGTCTCTTTCTAACCACATATGTTTTGTCAGTTTGAATTGATCAAATAGATGTGGTTTTACTATTTGCTTCAAATAATGTCCCGAGATAGCAAAATGTGTCAAATTTGTATCCATTACACAGTACTGAAAGTCATGCCAGTCAATGTAGCAATCCATAAAATCATAATAAAACAGAAATATTTGTAACGTTGCCAATCAGTACACTTGGAACCAGCGTGGACTGACAGACTTTATTTGGACAGTGTTTTGTTGAAATGAAACTCATACTTGATTCAAGTCTTGATGACTCAGTGGTTTATCGTCTCAGTATTCTTGTTATAGTCGACCAACAATCTTTACTGTCTCGTGCTTCAAGAAATCTGTAATGCATTTGCCATAGGAAGACTTTCCCATCAACTTCATCATTTCTCCACGTAGTTTATAATCAGGACTTGTATCTCCGGCTCTCCTTTCATTAGATACTTGTTGAGCAAACGACTTGAATGGTGCTTTACGTTCGTACTTGACAGCATATGTGATATTTGATACCATCAATCCGTGTTCAAGATACCATTTCAGCAGTTTAGTAGGAAACATTATCTTGTTGCCAAACATACTCCCAATTAGTTTCTTACTCTTGTAATTTGGTTTGACCTGTGCTTTTGTGTCGCTGTTGAGGTCTTTGTATTGAATCTCTGTATTTTTGAATATCGGTGGCATCTCTGCAAAATATTCCTTTACATGCTCAGGTACAGCAATATCACATTCAATCTCTCCAAAAAACGATCCATTCATAACATCTTCCAGTATATCAGGATACGGTTCAATCATTTTATGCTCACCACAAGGCATATCTTGACTGAGGGCCCAGAGATACAACGCATTCGCATCATATCCAAGAATCTTCTGACAAAGCCTGCCTCCTCTTATTCTTGTCTTGTTCCTCTCGTGATAGTGATGAAAAACGATACTTGGACCACCCACAAGATTATCTCTGTACTTTTGATACAGTTCTTCGTTTCCTTTGAACAACTGAAACTCACATTCGTTGGCTTTTGTGTTCCAAAGATATTTCAAAGTAAGTCCAGGAATGGAAATGCCATCCTTGTGCATATCGAGATTCAAAGACTGGAAGAAATTGCAAAGCTTCTTTGTCGCTTCCACGCCTGGCTTAACATCTAAATTGTTATAATCCATTAGCAACTCGTACAAATTTGTATACTCAGACTTTAATTCAATGTGTTGTTTAGATGAAATTGCTTCACCTTTTAGGCCATTGTAAAACCACTTTTTGGATGGAATGGGTGAATGTTTGAGAAGTTGGATGACATTACCAGAATATTGCTTCAGTTCTGGATGCTCATCAGCGTATTTCGTCAAGTTTTGGGTTACCTTGTATGGAAATATCCCCTTTTGTGAACTTCAGTGTCAAATGCCTTCAGAAACTTTTCTAATGAGGTATTTGGAGCCAGATATGCAAGAATGTCTTTGAAAGTAAAGGAACCATTAGATATCATTCTGCATTTATTGTTGCATTTGATGATGCCATTTACCTCCTCGTTTGTTGGCATCCTAAACTCGCAACCCCAAACAGACTTTACATCGTATCCCATCTGCTTCAACTTTGCCTCCTTTCTCATCGTCTTCTCATACAACACGTTCATTTTGTCTCCTGTAAGAGGATTAACATCATCCGGGTGATAACACTTTCGGCAGCCGTGAAAGAAGCATCCATTGAATTCATAGACTGTGTTTGTCTCTCCATCATACCCATCAGCATTGTATCGTCCAATTCTTTTGCTTTGTTCAATGTTGCGTCCCAACTCTTCCTCAATTGAACGAATCCATAACTTTTCACTCTTTGATACATTTCCGTGTTTCTTGTTATATTTCATCAACACTTGTGGAAGGTATTTCTTTATAACATGATATCATACGA